TCAAAAACTGCCTCAAAACATTTTATTTTCGAAATCATAGGATTGCACTAAAACACCATGGATACAATCCGACTCAATAGAGTGAGTCAATATTTGATCCTAAACGATGTCTTTTCGTGTTGCCCCGTAATGGAGGAGAAGTTGTCAAAATATTCTTTCTAGCCCACATTAGCTAGACAGTAGAATACACACATTGAATCGAACCAGAGATCCTTTCATTGCAGTTCATCCTGCACACTGGTTTATAAATAAATCCCCTTTAGTATTTTGACATGGTTTTAAAGCCCTACTTTGGATGCCAGAGGCAGGGACGGTTTGCTGCAACCAGGTCATTTCAGTTTTTCATGCCGGACACGCCCAATAGCCCTAAAACGCCGACACACACTCTGATCGCATTTACTGTCCACAACATGACCTGAAACTCAGCGTGCACACTAATCTGGCTCTAATTGACACAGTTGTTGTCGCAGCAGAGTTGTTGTGGAACTGAGAGCAGTTTCACCGACAGGGAGAGCCTGGACCGTTTGGCCTTTGGCCTTTTCTTACAGTTAGTCAAACACTCATGCTGAGTCGCCAAACTCAGAACTTTTGGTTCGTGTGGAGATCCCAGATACCAAATATGTCACGCTGAAATTTGCTTAAAAGTGGAATTAGCCTCTTTGCAACCAATCAAACCTAGAGACAGAATTTCTAGACTGTAAATAAATACTTCAGGATGAAGATAGAAAATAATGATAATAATTTATATAATAATAATAATAATTTCACGTTTTTTTCACGTTTGTATTTATTGCTTTACTTATTTTTTCAGTTGCTATTATATTTTGGGACCAGCACCACTGGCTGAATTTGGAAGTAAATTTTAAACTTTTGACAACATTTATTTCAAGTTCTATAGGATTATTGTTCATTAGTTGAAGATTTTCCAGAGTAGTTTGTAGCTTTTTAACATGATTAATTAAATAAAATCTACTCAGGTTCAGAATTTATATCCCGATTATCATCCAAGTCAGTCTTCAGTTTGGCATGTCCACTTTAAGGTGCATACATGCATTTGATGAGTTCTCCCTCTGCACTCGTTCACATAGATCCCCTGTGAGATTACGAGCTGATCAGCCAGTGGTCAAAGGGGCCCGCCGGCATAACTAACCGGCTTAATAGGATATTAATCGTTCCCCACTCGGCTCAGGAAGCGGAGGCAGGAGAAGAGGAAGTGACAGAAGAGAGAAGACAAAGAGGAAAACAAGATTGGGAAACAGGAACAGACTGAGGCCGTTAAGCAGACAGATGTAGTCATCTGGAGGTAATGGAGAGACTAACGTGACACCAAAGTGGGAGCAACAAAAAGAAAAAAGGAGAACTGCAGGCCTTCATGATTCATTTTAAATTGCTCATTGCATGTTATATTTTGGACGACTTGCTTGCATATAATTCATGAGCAACATCAACATGAGCGGACAGCAATCACACAAATACGGGCAGGAAAACAAATTAGTTTTGACACATTTCAGTTACAGTCGGTTCTCGGGAGTCCAGACTGAATGACCGAATCGGGTTCAATGTGCAACACAATATTAGGGCACAATGTATTCCATGTGTATGAATTCATGTCCATTTCCCCAGAGTCTTTGGACTTTGTCGACTCACAGGTTTTCCATCGATTATGAACGTATGAGGACCCGGGTTGTGGCGCTGCTCATTGCCATCATTATTGTAATCAATCATATTTCAGTGACTTTTATCAATACCGTAACTGCCGTTATTATCATTATTGTTATTACTACATTACATCTGTTGCGCCTGTATTTTTTTTCTCACCTCTGTCATTATTTTAATTATTTATATGATATGCATTGAATGTTATTTGGACACGGGGCCCGATCATATCTGTACAGATTGTAAAGCCCTCTGAGGCAAATTTGTGGTATGAAAATTAGTTGGTTAATTTGCAATTACATATTTAAAAAGAAAACGGGGTGATCGAAATAACCCAACATGGCTAAACCAATTTCTAGACCATTTGCAGAATTATTTGAGAGTTCTTTTTAAATATATACGGTATCTATTTACTTGATTTTTTCTTTACACCTAATTTAAAGTAGCTAAATCCGATGTAGAGCATCTCTGAGTAAGAAGACACATGGATTCACGAGTAGATGCATACAGTGGATGGATGGGGGACCGATGGACTGGACAGCTCCCGCCCTACATATCGGTCTCTTCTCCTCTATCTGCAACCTCCACTCATTTACTGACGACTAATCCACGGCCCAGATTAATCCCTCGACCTCCACACACACACACACACACACACACCACACAACCCAATCTCTTACATAAAATAAAACATACTCAAATACACAGAAGCACAGTAAACACTAACAGTGACATTTCGATAGTGAAAACACTTCCGAGTTCAACAACATTCATAAATGATTGTCCTACTTGTACGAATGCGATTACAACTCTTATGTAAGCAGGGAAACAGGACCTGGACAGGCTCAAAAGCTGCAGGCTCAAATGAGCTGGGTTTTATCAACCAGAAGTCAAATAAGTCTCACATTATTGCAGACATGTTTCACAGATCACCGCTCACATTGTTGGATCACTTCCATACTATTCATTGCGCATAAATGACAACAAACAGGGAACATTTTGTGATTCTTAAATTATTGTTCCAGTTGTGTTTTCTTGGTGTGGTAAACCTGTTGGTGAGCTCATTAATGTAAACTACACGCAGTTCACGCCTGGTACTCTAAAGCATAGCAAAGGACCATAGTATGGACATTTAAAAAAAATATATTAAACAGCAAACACCATGATCCACAAATGATTCCAGGACTGCAGAGAGCCTCCACATCTTCCGCCGTAAAGACACACCTCTTCAGACTCTACCTCGACTAAAGACTAACAAATTGTAGCACTTAAATTGTACTTGTAACGTCACTCATCTATAGCAAATTGTAAATTGGCTTATTTGAGGAAATTGCACTTTCTTGTTCTCCTGAGTTTGTACCCTATGTACGTCGCTTTGGATAAAAGCGTCCGCTAAATGACATGTAATGTAATGTAATGTAATGATTTAAGAATACTTATTGTGTCCCCTAAACTGTCTTTTTCTCTTTCTCTGTCCCATTTTTCGCCATAGAGAGCCTGATCAAACCAAACCTACATGCACCAGAACGTTTTTATTTTACTTAAATGACTTGTTGTTCGTACGTTATAAATGTATAATAGGGGGCGAACAACTATGATTGCGCACACATTGAAGCACATTTAGGTTTATTCGGCACATTTGGGCTCAAATATGAGCATTACTTTTATAAATGGCGATTAGGACAAAAGATCACTTTATTAGCTTTTTGAATATGAGCCCCATGTTGCACCGCATTTCCAAACCATTTCAAATGTTTTTTTTTACGTGAAATGAACCCAGTTTGTACATCTTCCAAAAAGTAGTATTTGATATAAAATGATGTGCTCCATTTCCTCTTAAACTAGCAGTACTTGGTAAAAACATAGTATAACAAAAACCACGATGACATGGGGAAGCTTAAATATAAATATTACAATAGTATGTAATACATCACTTAAAAAAAATCTTTAAATCCTGCTAAAATAAAAAGTTACAATGACCAAATGAATTGTTGGCAAAGCCAAAATAAAACGTAATGCTAAAATGACAGATGATAATAATCTCATCTCTGAAAGCAGAAAAGAGCAGTGGGTCATGTGACCCGCACAGACACACACTGTACATTATGCACAGTGACGACTTGGACAGCGTGAATAATCCCCATCTGCTGAGCGAACATGCGACGTTGTTGAACATGGCTACGTCGCCACGCACTGTAACACGCACGTACACACAGAAACCCCGTCAGGCCATGAAGCCCCTTCGCTAAAGCCAATGTTTGCACTGCATCTTTGTCATGTAAGCAATGTTGAAAAGAATCCGACGCTGACTATCAGTTTTAAACCAGAGCGGCACCATGAAAAGCTCTAAGATCTGTGAAACAAATGGTATCAACCCCAAGAAGGCTGCTACAATTTATGAGACATTATAGAGTGGGAATGACCACCACAAGGCCTCCAGCATAACGTCTTCTGCCCTTTTGAACCAATCCATTTTAGCCAAGGAATCTATTTTTTATTCAGGATTTATGACAATAAAAACTTGACACACAATATTGAGCTGTAAATGTGGGTCTCTCGGGGTTAAACTCCCTGCTTTGTTATAATGTGTAAACACATCTGACTTGCAGACATTGCTTTGTCTTCAATACCAGTGATTATTATGCTGTGAGTAGTTTAATGCTGTCAGATTACACGGTTTTCTATCACCGAAACAAACTGCGTTTCATCTCCCACTCCCTTTCTGTCTTTTCAACCGAGTGCTGCCACGGGGAGCTGCTGACACACAGGGGGGATGATCTACTGTGTGTGTGTGTGTGTGTGTGTGTGCGCGCGCACACCAGTAATTGTGGGGGTCAAAACACAGTGAAACCCGACACAGCCATCCAAATATTGCCGGGAAAAGCCTTCTGACGCAATCCACACATCAGGCCAATCACACTCCTGCTAAGGTGTTGAGTCCAGCCTTTGTGTGTCATCTGATGACAAACGTGTGATGATACTAATGTGCATTGCTTGATACTACTCGGGTAAAGTAAGAAGATATGACCGCATCTTTTATCCAAGGAAATTCAGTGACAAGCAATACCAGACCTGCTCCGAATGTTGTCACCGCTGAAGTAAAATACTCTGAGAGGTATAAAAGTTTGTGAAACGCTCCAAAGAAAATCCAATTCAGCTAAACACAAACTTTCCGAAATTTTTAACCAATGGATTTCTTCTGACCCCTGAAACCAAACCACTGATCTGTACCATCATATCATCAGCAGGGACATACACATGGCATAGTAGTATTTAATAACGGACAAACAATATACTTCAGTTTTCCCAAACCCCAGTTTTCTGTATTTTCCATCCCCACTCACCAGTTCTTGGTTGGTAGAGTTGGAGTCATCTCCGGGGAAGGGGATGTAGATGGCTAAGGCCACACAGTTGGCAAAAATAGAAAGCAGTATAAAGATATCAAACGGTCTGGAAAGGAAACTGTTAAGGACATTAACGAAATATAGAGTCGTATGACAACTTTGGAAGTTAGTAGATCCTTGGAGGTAGCACGGGTCCATACATGCAAGCTCCTTAAGTCAACGACACATGTGCTTATTTATGGTGTGGTTTTTTTTGTTTTTTTTACATCCGTTCATCAACTTCCCAACCATCCATCCGCTGAGCTACGAGGCTACGAGGGGACCGATTCACACAGACAAACAAAATCCACAGCACCCGCCTTCCATCCATCAACTAGAGCCTCCGTCTGTGGGATAAAGGATACTTCCACTCCACCAGGCTGATGCAGGCCCTGCGGATAGGGTTGTTGAGGGTGAGGCAGAACAGAGCCCTGGGCGGCCTGCTGCTGCCGGACCCTCCCTGCTTTTTGCTTTTGGCGTACTGCTGCCTCTTCCTCTGCGCCAGCGAGCCCACAGGAGCTGGTCCCGTGGTGCAAACCGCGGGCTGCGTCCTCATGTCGGGCTTTTCGACATCGTCCTGTGCCTGGCGAGCGGCACTGATGGCGGCATGCCAGGCGAGGACCGGACTGACACCGGAATCAGTGCCGCTCGAGTCCTGAATGCCACTGTTGGCCCCAAAGAGACCGCAGGAGGAGCCGACGGGCTTGCCGGCGCTGGGCGGGGCGTGCAGGGCCTCTGGAGGATGCAGCTGGTGCAGACGGGTTTGGCTTTCGGACCAGAGCGCTGAAGTGTCACCGGGGGGAGCGGTCCTTTTGCTGCTGGCATACTGTGCCCCTGGAGGAAGAGGCGGGCGTTCAGAAACAAAACGGCCATGACCTTTAGCAACTGTTGGTTTGAGGATGAGCAAAAACATGTGCTAACATCACGTAGCCCGATGCTGCATTGGGGAACATTATACTGCCAATTTATGTTTCAAAGGACCAAATTATCTTTAAGAGAGGTGTAATAAAGTGCAACATTTCATAAAGTTGTTGAACGTACGTATTTTAAACTGTACGAATTTTTTTAACAATGAAAGAGGAGAAAGAGGCAAAGACAAACAGTGATTGTACAGAGAACTCTGTGACGATGACGTTTATTTCTGTTAAGAATGTGACCTTGTTTCTCCGAGCAGAGAAGAGACCAACATTTCATTTGAGCAAGCGAGCTTCTAACCATGTTGTTTTTGCAGATAAGAGCAGTGTAATTTCACATTAAATAACTGCCTTGCCCAACTAAATTAAATATGTTTGCAACACGACCACTGGTGTGAATGCAAGTTGCAGAAAAGTGAAGGGACAAAGAAGAACAAAGACTAGAAGGATGAGAGAACTATTTTGAAAGTATAGAGAAAGCGAGTTGGAAATACTGCCTCGATGAGAGAGACGGAGAGTCATTAAAATCAATGCGGACCTCGGGTGGAAAAGACAGTGCCCTTGACACGTTCACTTTGGTTCACTGCAACCCCACAGCCAAATGACATCAGACACAGACACAGCGACGGACCTCAGTCACACCGAGCAAACCCAAAACACTCACTATTGCATCAGGATAACTGTTAAGACCGAGTGAGAGGGAGGAGGTTGGAGGAGGGGGCGATCATCCGAGTGTTAAATCCGTTCCCTGGGTTCGATTTATATGCGCTTTTTTAACCGTATTTAGAAAATATATTTCAAAACAGAAATTGTCCTGCAGTTACTAATCCGAATGATTAACTGCGGGACAACCGAGTCTCCTCGTTCCAGGACACCGCAGGTGCAAAATAACAAGTGCAACCTGTTACTTAACGATGGAAGCAGCTTCTCCGACGCAACAACAGTTCTGCAGGACTTTGCACATCTGTCACAAATTACCGAAGAAACCACTGGCGACCCCCCACCCCCCATCATCCCCCCTGCTGTTAAATGATTTACGTGTGGTGACTTTTGAAAACACTACGATGTTTTAGAGCACTTGTTGAAATGGTAAACTAAGGGTTTTGGGGGTAATCGGCGCTGGTTGAAAAGTTGATCCGTCGTCTCTGGGTTCGCGGCGGGCGGCTCACACACCCGAAGCAGCCGAGGATCACAAACGCGCTCTCGGAGAAAAAGAGACCAAACGCCGTCACCCATTTTTTCCAGAGAACTAAAGCAGCAACTCGTTTGCCAGTGGATGGGATGACCGCTGTCATTACAATCACGCAGCACAATAAATAGAGAACAGCCTCTTCAATCTGTGGTCTCAAATAAACTGGACAAATAAAAGCCCGCACACGGATCGTGGAAGCGCGCAGAAACAGCGGGCGTCCAGAGAAAAAAAACAACGAGCGCTCGTCGCTTCCAACTCTCGGATTCAGCGTTCGTTACCTTCAGACTGTTCACCTGCTTCTTGCATCCTCGAATCCACATCGAAAAGGTCCTTTTTAGATCCAACTCATCGTTGGGGGAGAAAACACCAAAAGGTGTCGAAGCGCGCGCCTGAACCGAGCCGTCAACCTGAATTATAAAATATTTTTCCCGAGCAAAGAACCCTAAGAGGAGCGCGGAACATGTTCGCCACATCCGGGTGCCCGTCTGCAGATTCACGGCGGATCCCGACGGGCGCGCGCTGACCGCAGCAGTCCGTCCGCCGCCGCCAATTAGCGTCTGTGCGCGGAGGCGACAGCGGTCCGCGCAGGCTGCGCGCTAACGGGGCGCACCTGTTGCTGGACCCCGCCGGACGTCAGACGGCGTTTATTTAGCATTTCAACCCAAGAACGAACGTCCGGCGGGACAGGCCAGAGTCGTAATGTGCTTTAAAACAACAGTCACCGGATGGATGCTGGGTGTTTTTCATTAGATAGTTGCATGAAACTTATTGACAAGCCATAAGTGACACATTTGACATGCACGTAAAGCACAGTTTTCCTTGACGGTGTTTTCTCCATAGCAAGATAAGACACCACCCTATCCATTGAGGTCTACTTACGATATTCCAGCTCCTTGGATTTACCCCGAAGGGGTCTTCCCCTTATAACGAACGGCATTCTGTCACCTGGCTCTTCTCTGGGGCCTCATTTCGCCGATTTCTGGCTTCACTGCGCGGCGAACTCGAGAGGAAATGAGTTGTCGTATCTGTGCTGGAAGGTTACCAGGGATTGGATTACCTGTGCCTGCGTGGAGGACAACAGTTTCACGGTAGCGCGTAATCCTGCGATTATAATCCCTGCTGCAATGTTCCCTCAATAGAGGCAGGTGGGTCAACTGGACCAAATGACCACGCACGAGATTGTATGTTTATCTTGCGGAGTAATATATTATGGTTTTAAGTACTAGAGTTTCCCCGCATACCAATTCGAAATGGTGAACTTTGACAGAAAGTTTGACTGTACAGAATGCTATTGCAAAGAGCCTAACTAGTATTGTTTATATTGTTATACGTCAGGGATATATTGTTAATATTTTATAAAGATTTTTTGTAATTGAATTATATTTCCATTGCGGTTTAGAACTTTTTTTTTTAAGATTCTTGATTTCCGGGCAGACCGGAAGTCATAAACGTGTCTCCAGAAGTCCGTCCGTGCTGGAGCAACGAGCACAGTCAAGATGGAGACCGTTAATGCTGGGCAGACGATGAGCTTAGCGGCTCTGCAGAGACAAGACCCGTACATAAACAAGCTCCTCGATGTGACCGGGCAGGTGGCTCTCTACAACTTCAACTCCAAAGTGAACGAATGGGTGCGTGTGTGCGTCCCGGGCGCGCTGCACGGGGATGCTATCCTGTATATGCTAACGCTAGCTCCGTTATAAAAAAATAAAAAAAACATTTGTGTGTTGGTATTTTCCCAACTGTCACATGTGTCCTCGTGCGTACTGCGTGACGTGTCATCGTGTTAATGTTACGGCTGCTTGTTGTAAATTCATTAATTATCCAACGCTGTGTTGTAAAGCTAGCAGAAGTTAGCTAGCGGCCGTCGCTGCTATTATGCTATTACGTTTTGGATCAGTGGTTGTTGTTGTGTTGTTTTTTTACACACAATGTCACATCGTTTCAGGAGAAGACTGAGATCGAGGGTACCCTGTTTGTTTATGCCAGGTAAGCTTAACACATGTTGTTGATGTTGATCATTGAACACTTTGTTTACTGTTTACTTGTTTACTGCGCACACGTGTAGGCCGCCGACTTTGTAAACAAAGGCGCTTGCTTCGATTGGAGACTAATCTGATTTCCTCATGTTTGTTTGCTTTTTATTGCAGCCTTTTGCACACAGTGTTTCTTTATTAACTTGCATGCAATTTTGTATGTCCACATTTTTGTCCTCAAGTTGTTTGTTACAGTGGATCATTAATATAATATATCAATACTTAATATAGTATTGCTGATAACATATAATTAAGCCTTAAGCTCTGTTATTTTTAACTTGATTAAGACAAAACCGACGTCTTGAAGAAATCCTGTTGTCTCTGTTAACTTGTGATACTTAATAACAATGCAACACATCACCTAACTATATAATTAATTTAATTTATATGTTAATAATCACGATTTCTTATCCATTGTGTGTCAGTATTTTTCATATGTAAAATGATTTTACTTTCGTATACATTTAGATTTGTACATTTAATGAGATACAGGTCTAGAAAGTTTGCTAGTGTCACGTCATGAGAAAGCTGTGGTAAAGTGTGACATGGGGTGTTTCGTACTGCCAGAGAATTATCTCACAGTGTCGCAATCTTTGCTCATCTAAGGTCCGCCTCGCCTCACCATGGCTTCACCATCATGAACCGACTGAGCACGGAGAACCTGGTGGAGCCCATCAACAAAGACCTGGAGTTCCAGCTGCAGGATCCCTTCCTTCTCTACAGGAATGGCAACTGTGAGTGGGATGTGGAATAGAGGCTCAAACAAGCCAAAAGAGTAGATCTCTTGCACCGTGCCATCATACTGCCGTAGACTGAACTTGGCTGTGACACGGGAGTATTATTCAACTTAGCGGATAAACCTCTTATGAGTTTTTCCAATATAGCTTGTTGCCAATACCAATCACAGACCAACTTTAAATGAATTCATAAAGAGAAATGTGCAATATTGTCCCAGTGAAAATGCTCATTGATTCTTTGTCAGTGAGAATACGCATGTCCTGCTAGTAGTAGGTGTTAACATTCAGAATCACATACAAACAAATAAAATATAATCTCACCTCTGAAAATGCCGAATATACAACTCCCCAATGTTCTTTGGAACATCTCCTTTCCCTTTTGCTTGAAGTCATTTTGGTGTTTTGGAGTCGCATTTAGCAAGAAAACTTCCTCTGCTGCGTTTCTCGCGCTCATGGCCTCACACAAGCGTCCCGGGGCGCAACGGTTTCAGCTCGGTTTGGCCCCAGTCAATATCATTCTGCATGTGGCCAACAAGATTTGATTATAAATCCCACTACCTCTTTATATAGATCTAATCAAGCATGTTATTTTTACTGATTGCATCATCTGGTAAGATGCTAATGCTAAAGTCAGACTCCTTATAGAAACTGTTCTGCAGAAAGTACGGTGAAACAAAAAGGGTGATTCAATTCCTCAGATCTTGAGAAAGTAACTGACAGCGCTGCCACCTAGATAATCTATTACAAGCCTGAACAGGAGTTTCATCAAAGCAACGAATAAGGAATTAGACTGTTTCCCCAGTTGTTTGCTTATAAGGAAAAACAACATGGCCAGGCTCAGCGTCAGAGTCGACTGCTCCCCTTTTGGACTCTGTTTGCCGATCAGCCTGCCCGGTATGGAAGACATGATGTAATTTCCTGTTTCTATTCAGGCCAGAGCAGCGTCTCCCGAAAACGTTGATGGAATCCAGGTTATTTTTCCCGAGACAGGTTTGAATCAAAAAGTTGCGTAGAAAAACCTGTTGATATTCCCCAGGATGTGTCGGCGATGCTTCAAGGCTTTTGGCGGCAGTCAGTCGGAGTGATTCTGTCTAGCGGGTCTTTTTAGTCCATTGATGATCTTCAGGAGTGCAACGTACTGGCTGAAGATTCCTTTGGTAGATCCAACATCAATTTGTCATCATGTTGTACCCGTCTTGGTGATCGCGCTCCTGTGAAGGTGTAATATGTGGTGGTTGATGTGGAATATTAAGACTCCTTCCTCAGCGTTAAAGCAGGACGTGCAGAGACAGAAGATAGTAGTTTGATTCAAAGGTCCAACGCAGGCAGGCTAGATTAGTCCGAGCGACTTGGTCATTTGTGTCTTGTTCGTTGAGTCCTGCTGATCGTGCTGCCTACGGTTCACAATTGCCTCCAACTTACATAATGTTGCTTAGAGAGACCAGTGCTGTGTGTACACCTGTTTACAACTCTGCATATTCCCCTTGGTAGCAGTTGATGCTGAAGGGAGGCAAACATTCAGGTTGCTAGGTTACCTCAGCCTCTTGAGGGGATTTTAATACGCCATTATTGCATCACATACACGCGCTGAAATGATGCACAAGCAACGTAAGAATGAGCGATTGTTTCAGATAAAAGTGCTAACATACAGTTGTTTCTGACTTCTACATTTTAGTGTGCATCGAGTAGTCTGCTCCTTTTGGGTGCTACTATTTGGTGTGTATGCTGGCCAGTCTGTTGATACACAGCATTGCGGTTAATATTTAGAATGAATCTAATGGGTCATGAGCAAACTTTCTAAACAGAATGTAAAACCTCATGTGGGAATTGCTTTGTCTAATGTCAAGCTGTCTCCATTACACCTTGTAACATGGTATCTGCGGCTTTCTTGCAGTGGGTATTTACAGTATCTGGTTCTATGACAAGAGGGACTGTCAACGCATCGCTCAGCTGATGGTCAAGTAAGTAGCGTGACGTGTGTGTGTGTTTGGATAAAATGCAACAGTACACTGATCGCTCTGATTGTCTTTTTCACCCATTAGATTTACGCTTAAGAAACATTTAAATCTACATTTGACAAAGCGCATGTGTGAGTTATGTGTCACGCTTTAACTCTCCCCCAGGATTGTGAAACAAGAGGCAGACCAATCGCAGAGAGAGTCACCAGAGAGGGCGGCGTCAGGGAGGACCAATGGTGTCGCAGAACCACGGCCCTTCGACATCCTGGAACTGCTCAGCAAAGCCAAGGATGAATACCAGAGAGTGAGGAGGCAAACGCACCTAACAAGTTATTCATGAGCAAATATCTTTAACCTATTGTTTTTTTAGTGCTGTCACTGGGTTTGATGCATCCATTAATCGTCATGGCAGATTATACATAAACATGAGTTTAGATCACAGACATGGGCTGATGAAGAATGTATCATTTGTAGTTTTTTAGTTCATGCGAACTTATTTAACATACTCATGACTCAATTATATAAATGTCTGAGATTACGGCAGAACTAACTCTTACTTCTGACCGCAGCAGGAAGCATGAAGTGTCAATGTATGACTTGTCCAATTTGTCAGAAGCTGTTTTTTACTCTGCATAGTACCCTCTGGCTCTTTTTGATATAACTTATTTAAAACTCCATTTGATTTCTGTGTGTGATGCAGGCTCAGGCAGGTGAAAGCGATGTGTCTGCAGAGGCTGATGGAAACGCAGTTGTCAATGCCACAGTGCAGCCGCACAGCGCTCCACAACCTGAAAAGGTACATACATGACACAAATGCAGATTAATATCCATCCACTTATCCTCTTAACTCCTGCATGCAGAGACTGCAGGAAGCGCAGCGTTGTGACACAATGCAAAATGCATTATCTTGATTGAACCTAGGAAATGTATCAGGAAGAAGCAGCACAGCCCCTTGTTCAATCCGAGGCGATCAGAGCGTTTAAACATGGAACAATCGCGTGTCTATTTTGGGTTTATGATGCGTTTCTTTTGGTTCCAGTCATCAAAACACCAGACCTGTCAAGCTCAAACACGAGTGAATCTCTTTAGTTTTCTCAAATAATCCATGCTGGGCATCTTACCCCTGCTTATTCCCTCCCCTTTCCCAAATTATTTATTGAATTATTTTATACATTAAATATCACATGATACTAAACAAAGCCATTATTAAATCACAGAGTGTAATTTCTGTCTTTCAACAGCAATATGAAAGAGAGCGAGTCCCACCACCGCTCACACATTTGTTTTTCTCGCCCCCAGAGCTCTCGTACAATGGTGAAGCAAATCACAGTAGAGGAGCTCTTTGGCTCGTCCTTGCCTAAGGACCCCGCCCCACCCACCCTGCTGGCACCAAATGCCCCCACTGCTTCCAGTGACAGTGACCCCTCCGCTGCTTACCTCCAGAAGCCGTCTTATCCCAGTCTGCCCCACCAAAACCCCGTCTTTCCTCCCCATCTCTCGGCACAAGACCCCGGGGCGAGTCAGCGCCACCAAGTCCCCGGCCTGCTCCCGGCTCCGTACGTAATGCAGCCCGGCCCTGTTTTCCACTCCGTGGCTCCTCGGTCCGACCCCCAGCCTCGGTGTTCGGTCTCCCCTCTCATGGTTCTTCAAGCTGGCTCGGATGCTCGTGCCGGCCCCCCCGTCGTTTCAGCACCTCCCACGCGGTATTTAGGACAGGAGATGCTCAACACTCTCAAAGCGGCGGTGCCATCTGTGAATTCGGACATCCACAAGCCCATGTTGGCACCCAACTTCCTGCCCAGCGCGCTGTTCCCCCCCCACAGCTTCAGAGAACCTGCGGGGAATCCCCTCCTCCAGCACAGCAGTGAGATGGATGTTTATTCTCCGTCTCCAAACCTGATGAAAGCAATGTCTGTGAGTTCAATGGTTTTTATCAGCAGCACTTTAGTGGCTCCGTTGACGGATATTCGCTTCATCTGTGTCTTGTCATGCAGACTTTCAACGTCACGTGTATTTAATTTTAATCCGACATATTGTTTCTTCCTGTGCCGCTTTCTCTCCCATCTTTTTTTCTATTTACAGGCTGTCCCCATGAGTCCGGGTCTTGCTTTTCCAATGCCGCCGATTTCTGTGCTTCTCTCCCCCAGCGCCTTCCAGCAGTCCGTCAGTAAGACACCAGCAGCAGCATCAGTGGTCCCAGCTGGCCCAGCCGAGCCCTCCTGCGCCTCCGTAGGAGCTTCTGAGGCTCCACAGGCAGCCTGCAGCAAAGCACAGCTACAGGATGCTCTCATCCACCTCATTAAGGTACATCAATTACAGCAATGTTTCTGGCCTGTGCGAGTGTGAAGCTTAAGCTTTTCTTAACGTAGCATTACAATGATACCGTCAAAATGTAAACGCCCCACTGCTACGTTTTGGTTCCAACCAAATTATAAAAACATGAAATCCTGCTCTAATCTCAGTGTGGAACCGTCGCCGGGTACAAAGGGGCGCGTGAGGAATGTAGAAACTAAGGCTGCCTTTCAACCAAAGGAGCCGGAGATTAGACTTGATTCCTAAGTAGTAAGCAACTTCCTGCTGGCCAAACGGCCGGTGCTGCGTGTGATCGAGAGAATCAGAGAGAAGCCAGTGAAGGACCTTATTCTAAAGATGCTGTAAATAGACGGACCCCTTTTGTAAAAGTCCTTTATTAGATCCACTCAAACCTCAGTTGTCCAATTCCTGAGTAACGGATTTCTTAACTTTGAAATCACATTCTGTTGTTAACGTTTAAATGCCGCAATGTCAATCCGTAATCTGTTATTTCAAAAGTCCCCACCTTCCAAATGCTTCAGACATATCAACTGTCCTACAATTAGTAACATATCCCCGTGAACGTCGTCTTCTTGCTTACATGAACACACAGACGCAGTCCGTTCACTCCTCTCGTTCACTTCCTCCCGTCTAGAACGACCAGGACTTCCTTGGCGCCATCCACGATGCTTATCTGCAGAGTTTGTCCAAGGACCTCGGCAACATGAAGCTATAGTCCACGTCCACCTCCAGTGCTGTCCCTTCCAGTGCGGCCACCCCTCAGCGTCCTTTGGAGAATGCAGAGGTCAACGGGACTTAAGGAAGTAGCCGATAGTGTTTTCTTTCCCCACAAACACAACCCTTCACAGCCAGTCCGTGTTCTAAAGCCTCTTACAGCATGCGGCGCGTCCTTCTACTTCCCCGTTCCTGCCTCCGAACAGGGTTCTTTGCTGTTTAATTCTCAGCTGAACCCTGATGCTTTCTCACCTTCCTGCATCCCCTCGGATCTTTTGTCTGCCTTGTCCAACCAGAACTACTGTGGGAGAGAAACGGACAAGAGACCATTTCCCAGTGTGGCCTTGAGCTTTATGGACACAGTGGAGCCGTCGGCCACGTTGAGCTGTGGCCGGATAGTCAAATCGTTTCGCTTTTGACCTTTTTGGAAAAGCGACTTTGCAATTTTAACATTGTGGGAATCAAAGACGCTGCTTCACTTTCTCCCCCGGTCTGACTTCTCGCAGTGCGGGAGCACTGAGGACACATGAAGACTACTGAATTAGAGGAAAGACCTCTGCTGGGGACCTCCGAACTGTCGTGAGGGTTCCTAACAAACTATCTCCGTGTGGAATACTCTTTTTCCACTGATGCAACCTTCCCCTCCTACGTAACGATGAGGCCCGTGCGAACAGCCGTCACACATTGGGGTCTTTTGGGTTTTGTCTCTTGATGATGAGAACGTTTTATGTTGTTTTTCTTTTCCAACCCTGGTCTCAGGAAGACGAAGCAGTTTCAGTATTGTTTGGAGAAGCACTCCCTGCTACTCTTTTAAAACTAGGTTACAGGCGGACATAAAAAAACAGTTCCTAGCTGTGTCCACGTGTCTCCCCGTCCGTCCTCCTGCTCGCCTGTCTCCTTCTCTGCTCCACCAGCTGAGGTCAGTTCTCGATGTTCTTTGAGGCGATAGTGCAGCAGACGACAAGCACCAGCATATTGGGATATTCTAGGACGCTACAGTTTGGTTACGTTCATGTGAATCTCTGGATTATGGTTCTGCAACAGTGTAGAATTTAAATATCGTGAGAAAAAGTCATTGCTGTCGATTTTGCCTGATCATTAACACGCCCACCTTAAATCTGCAATTGCTTAAATAATGGGGAGATGGTGACTGGTAGCTTCACTGTACAAAAGCAAACATGCCGGTAATTCAAACTGATGATGTAAAAATAGAAACTACCTCTGTTCCTTTTTCCAGAACCGACAAATCTAAAGTCACAACGGCCGCCTTGTTGTTTGCAGGTCTGTCGATTTTCTTTCCCTCTTTTTCTTTTCTCCTTCGTGCAGTAAAAGGTTACTGCAGCATGGAATTGTAAACCCTACAAGCCGGAGGGCGTCCCCTCCTCTTGTGCAACACTTAGTGGCTATTTGATGCTTTCCGTAAACAAATGAAGCTAATCCAATGTTAATCAGAATTCAAAGATTTAGGGGGAAAACTGTTTACTTTGCATCTTGTGGGTCTTTGTAAACAAAGATAACAGATTTCCGTCTCTCAGGATGTCCAGCACATACTAGATCAATAAAAGAGTATAATGATCACGTTGAAGCACTATAATTTTAAAATACCATGTCCTTCCAGATGGCAACCTTAGCAGAATACCTTTTTTTAAACGAAGATGAATTGCAGAGAAAACAGCTTTTGAATGTTTTCTTGCAGACTTGCAGAATGTCACGTAATCAACATTTGGAAATGACTCAAGGAGTAATATGAATCTCTTTATAAGTACCTGTTTCCATGGTGATACTAAAACTTTACATTATGTTGCTAATTGAATGTATTTGCTTACTCGCATTATATGTGTGTGCCAGTCTTGTTTTCTCCAGTTGAACCGGCTTTCAGTAGCGACTGTTGATCATGTTTTTCTCCCCTCTTTTGTTTTTACAAAATTAAGATTTCAATTGCAAAAAGGACAATTCGGATCATTTGTACCTTATTGTATCTTTCCCCTGTTTATAATTTGTCAATAAGTAATCTTTCCAACAAATCTTTTTGCCACGTTTGTGTTGGTTAAATAAACGCACAAAGGAAGAATGCTTGAAAAGTAGAGGGCTTTTTTCTTTTTTTAATCAAGGCATATATTTAAGATTTTAATGTTATTTTTGGCTTCGAGATCATTAATCTTATCAGAGAAAGATATAATTTCGAGAGAGAAAAGAGAATTTTCTAAGATTGTTGCCATTGTACATCATTTGGTTTATTTTGTGATATTAAAGAATTGAAATAGATTTGTCTGTTTTGGTTTGCTGCTGTGTTTCTATGAAACTTAAGCTTTAAAGATTAGACAGCATATATATATTTTTTGTTAGTTTGTTTTCAAGCGGACAATATTGTCGAGATCAAAATGATGACGCATTTCCTAAAGAAGGCTCCTAATTTGAAAGCTTTGTAAGAACAGGAATTCAGAGAAAATCCAATTGGATTTGGCCAGATGGTTTCCTCTAAAGTGCGTCATCCAGTAGAGGAGAATGATGCATTTCCTCTTTTCGACCACCCGATGTCACCGTGTGCTCGCTGTGGATCTTTTGTACTCAACACTGGATGCATCTCAGTCAACATTAAATTGTTAAATCAGCTGGTACCATGCGAGGGTTTATTCAATCCGTCAACTCGATCTATAAGGCTTCTTCTATTTCAGTGATAAAGCAAATTTTGGGACACACTAAGTGTCGTGTATGTCCTTTCCTCCCAGGGCCTCTGCTGCCCAAATGGGGACGTCCAAACGTAGTCTCAGCCAGGACCGGAGTCCTCTAGAAGTCCAATGGAACGGATAGTCCTGTAGAATGAACCTTTTATGACTTGGTCAAAACAAAACAACCCTGCAGATCACAAATCCGTCTCCTTCTAGTGTCCGTCTGTACCTGAACGTAAGTGCAGGTTGTGCAGCTCTGCAGGTAATCAGGTCAGCCTGCGTGGGAAACGTCCGGGAAGATTACGGTCATCCGGTCCTTCCTTCTGCATGTCAGCGTCCCCTGCTGTCCACGCGTAAACGCCGTGACGTCTACGAGACCAACAAGAGGGCCTTGATTGTTTAAAGACAGAGCGGCGTACACCTGACTGGTATGTTTGTGCAACCTCTGCACTTCTTTATGGCAAAAATACGTTTCCTTTGGACCATCGATCAGACCCTCCACAGCTGGAGCCAAACACACAGCATCGTTCTGCACTTTTCTCAAAGTCTACTGTGTGTGGTGTCTTGCGGACAGCGGAGCAGATTATGACCATTTACTGTTCCACTCCCACGTTTTATAATATTATACAATTCTGTCTGTTTTAGATTTGTCTAGAAATTAAGACAACAATACACAGCTGTTTGCGTTACTAGACGTTTCTCTGTTCAACCTCACTTATAAAAAACCGCCATGAGGTGTGTGTGTGTGTGCGTGTGCGTGTCCCGTGCCAGCGTGCGTGTAGCTCAGGTCTCAAAGCCCTCCTACTGTTTGCTTATTGGTGGTCATGCGTGACGGTTTGCAGTAACTGTCGGCTCCCTTTAGCCTTGGATTACCCCCCTCTCCTCCCTCATCACCCCCTCCCCCCTCTCCTCCCTCCTCCCTCCCTCCCTGTCTGTCAGGATCCAAACCTCTGCCGCTTTTTAACCCCTGACATCATCGGCTGCCGCACCACTATCGCCTTCCTTCTCGGGACAGCAGACCCGTGGACGTTTAACTCTTCGCTGCACTGACTCTTCGGCCGGATGGAGGACTACCACAAACCCGACCAGCAGACGCTGCAGGCGCTGCGCAACATCGCCACCAGGCTGCGGATCAACTCCATCAAGGCGACAACCGCAGCGGGCAGCGGGTAAGCGAGGTGTACGATGTGTGAACTGTAAGGACCGTACGGGCCGAGGCTGCTGCGCGATGCGTGCACTTGCGTGCTTCATAAGAGGGGGGAACGAAAGTAGAGGAGCGCACAGCGCAGCTGGAGTGTCCAAAGCGGTGTGACTGCGCGCTGCAGATCGCGTGCAGGAGGATCAGGAGAGCAGCTGCTGCACATCACAATGAGAGCGTCCCGTGTGATGTGCCAAAGCCAGAAGGAATGGAGAATGTTTCCTTAATCGTGTTTTCTCTAAGCGTAAAACAGTTCTGTGTCCACATACGCGATGCGTAATGTGCGCGCTTTGTTAGATGTAAAGAGTCAGGGAGGGGGGTTGATTACCGGGGGGCACATACATCGCTGCAGGTGCAACAGTGTCCCGGTGCGGCGGGGACCCGGTGGGTGAGTGCACGTTCCCGAGCATTCGGCCCGTGGGTCGTGGGTTTGTGAGGAGGCGGCGGAATGAGGCTCGTGAACTCGAGGACGCGCTCCTGCAGCGCGGGCACGCTACGTGCGCGCGGCCTCTCGTGCAAATGTCAAACAACTATGGACACAAATACGTCCGGTGAGACATTTCAAGGTGAAATCCCAAATTGAATTCAACGTAATCGGAGTCGTAGAAGATAAAAAAAGATGAAAATGATAATAGACAATATGATACGTGGAACTGTACTTCTGCTGTTAAACGATTCACAGTTGAACAGTTTGGCTCATTTACTGTGTATCATCTGCTGCTTCCTCCGGATTTGATCATGTTTCAGGAGAAAGCGCCTCCATGGATGGTCTGATGGGGGTCATGTTGGCATGTGGTTTGAAAATAAAGAGAATAACAACATGCAAGACATACAACCTTGAACATAACCTATATTTTGTGTTAGATTGTCTTGACTTTAACAGTTTAGTACCACGACACCGTGTGTGTGCAGGTTTCTATCGCAATCAAGAGACCGATAACATTTTTTATGTCATTGCTGTGTGTCCAATATTTCTTTTTTCTTTTTTTGTTTTTGCAGTCATCCCACATCATGTTGCAGCGTGTCAGAGATTATGTCTGTGCTGTTCTTCCACACCATGAAGTACAGACCGGAAGACCCCCGTAACGCCAACAACGACCGATTCATCCTCTCTAAGGTGAAACCAACACACACAATCAACCACGCATACGTTGGAGCTAAAGCTCCCTCCGAATTTGATGCGCACACTCACACTTCCAAATTAAGTTTCATCCTTTACTACCCACATTTAATGTAGTAGTAAACTCTTTAGAGTCCGGCGTGAGGAAAGCAAAGCAAATCGGTTAAACCGTATGTGATCTTACACACTCAACCATTGACCTTTCCCCTCCCCGGCCTCCCCCAGGGTCATGCGGCCCCTGTGCTGTACGCCGTGTGGGCGGAGACGGGCTACCTAAAGGAGAACGAGCTGCTCAACCTGCGCAAGGTGGACTCCATCCTGGAGGGACATCCCGTGCCGGTGAGCTGAGGTTCAGACCTGCAAGAAGTTCTGGATCTGAAAGCTTTTTACTCCAGCGTACCAACTCGAGTGCATTGGGAGTCCATGAAGAGCATTACACTACCACTCTGTGTGTTCATTTGGGGTTTTTCAGCCAAAGCTTAAAACATACCCGTACATAAACATTGAGGAAACTTTCATAGCTTGTATTAGTTTATTGGTTAGGGACAATTCATATTACTAAAAGAATCCTGTTTTTTTATGATATATTTTATCAACCCAAAAATCATATTATATTGTGGTCAAGGTCAAGTTTGCTTATTTGGGCTGTGGGCAAACCCTCTGACCACATCTAAGAACCTTGAAATATTCATATGTAATAATAATGCTGAATGTAGCCGCACAGTTTGCTGCACAGACATTTACACAGATACTGTAAACTGTGACAAAGATGTTCTTGTGTGACAGGGATGGTCGTCCCCCGGCTCCTTTCTCCTTCGCTGCACACATGAATAAGACACTGTTCACATACAGACAGTCTGCTAGGCACCGACATCTCTTGTTTAAGATATTCAATATAATCCATCCACTGTACTTCATGCCGCCTGTGTTTGCAATCTTGAGCCCTCCTGCAGCCTGGAGAGTGAGATACGTGTGTGTGTGTGTGTGTGTGTGTGTGTGTGTGTGTGTGTGTGTGTGTGTGTGTGTGTGTGTGTGTGTATGTGTTAACAGAAGCAGCAGTTTGTGGATGTGGCCACGGGTTCTCTGGGTCAGGGGCTGGGAGCTGCCTGTGGAATGGCGTACACCGGAAAGTACTTCGACAAGGCCAGGTAACTCGCACGACAAAGACACACAAATGTCGACCCTGAAGCTCTCCTGAAATGCAAAAGACATTCAGCCGAGCCTGCATGTGCACATATTAAGGTAGACCGTATTAAATGATGCATGATGCATAATGTACACTGCAGTGGGCGGCGCAGACATGTGACATTTCAGCCTTTAAATTTGGATGAAAGCTCACCTGACAGGCCTGGTCTGTGATTACATTAAGGCAGAGCCATGAGATCTGACCTGGGATCAGTTCACCTTCAAATCTGGATGAGTGATGATGTGCTTACTGATCGGAAATCAGAAATTACTCTGGGTGGTAAATTAAGTGCCAATTAAATCAGTGATAGTGATTCATTTGTCTTTTGTGAAATTCAAAATCCTAAATGTGATGAATCGATTTTGTTGTCGTTAGAAAACTGCGCGCAAGCTGTTCTTTTGTGTTTAGGGTTTTAAACACAAACAGGCCTGCAATGGACGGCGCTCGTGTACTACTCAGCTGAATGTGAACAGTGCTGCGTCCTTGTGTGTCGCCTTTTGTTCTGGTGTCATCTAGAAACTGCCACATGGTCTCCAGTCCAACAATAGAGAGAACGCATTTGTGGAAAATGTTTGAAAAATGTCAGCGCTCAACACAGGAACACGCTCCGACAAATTAAACTCTGGACCGAACAGAGGGAGAGGCTCTGGAGAGGCAATTTTGTAAATATTCGCGCAGCGGGCGCGGTTACACAGGCGGTCGGGGGCCGCCGTAGTTGCAGTCCGTGTTGGCGGCCCTCGATATCTCTCACTCCGCATTCTGTGTGCACTCGATTGTTTCTGCTCTAATAATCACACATGCAGAGGCACAGCTCCTCCCTCGTCTCTGCGCCCCACCCTTCAGTCGTGTTTTCTCTCCAAAAAAAAAAGGCCATTTTGATTAAAAATAGATTAGATTATATTGCATACGCGTATATGGGTAAATGGGAACACTGTGTGTGTGTGTGTGTGATTGAGCATACGTGCACACGGCCGTATCACAAATGCTTCTCAAAATCCTTAGCGGCCTTAACGGTACAGCACATACACACTACCTATACTCCAAGATCAATGGGAATGAACCGTGTCAGAAAAATGAATCTACACGCAAGCTGACGCTCCGCTTCTCTGAGGGCGTTCATCAAAAATCAATACATGACTGAACATGTCAAATACACTTTTCGTCAGAGCGTGAATAACTTCTCGCTGCTTCGTGCTCATGTGACTGGTTCAATAGTTTTTTTTTTAATTTGAGGTTATTGGATCACACACATGCAGAGTTCCTCCTCATGCTCGTAAATACTTCCAACCGAAGTCAGAAGAGATTGCAACCGATCGGCGAGTGCAGGGGGAGTGTTCGTGATACCAGATTGGTTTCATCTATGTTGCATATTATCGCAATCTGCAGTTTTTACTTTTTGTACAATTTTGGAAACCTCATAATTGTAAAAGAATGGGGGACTAAGGAAACGTTATAGTCTACGTAACTGGGATCACTGAAGGACGTACGTGATGTATGCAAGAGAAAACAAAATGCAACAAATACTTAATACTGATAAATGGTGAGACTATGTTTGAGAAATGAACGTGACACCGAATATATTTTAGTACAAAGCTAAAAACTCCTCACGAACATCATAAAGTGATCTGAAGCCACTAGAGATGAAAACAGTGCTGAGATGATAGATTTCCTTCCTCATCCTCTTAAGACCAATAAGATTTTTAAAATGTAAGGAATTTTGAATGGGTGAGTAACCTTGATTTCAACATGTGCTCTTATTGTACGTCTTACCTTAAGACCTGCTGGTACTTAACTGAAATAAATGATTGATTCAAGCTCAGTTGCTGAAATAGTCAGCCAACATTTTCTACATTTTAGAGACCTTCAATAATTAACACAAGTCGTTTTTATAAGGTTTTGTTCAATGCATCTTTATAAATCATTACGGATAGTTTCAGAGGACTCATTTCAGTCTAACCGTTTTCCTTTTTCATCCCTCTTCTCCATCTCCCCGTCAGTGGAATTCCTCTTTCCCTTTTCTTCCCTTCTTCCTCTCTTTCCTTTCTGTGCGGTTTTTATTCTCGGGGCTGGATTGCGTAGCGCGATGCGACGTGTCTCAGCCCATCTGCCAGCTTTAATGACAACGTGTCTATTCGACTGGAAAGCTGTCAGCAGTCGTTACACCGCAGGAGCAACTAGTGAGGGTGATCTTTTTGGGTGTGAGGCTCAGCTGTCCCACTAAGCCCCGTAGGAGGAATCAGAAGATGGGAGGATGTGCCAGGAGTGCAAATGAAGCTCTACTACGTAGTCTTCATCAGCTCTGAATAGAAGTCTAATCCCTCTCTGGTCGTAGCTATCGGGTCTTCTGCCTGCTTGGTGATGGAGAGATGTCCGAGGGCTCCGTGTGGGAGGCCATGGCCTTCGCCTCTTACTACCAGCTAGACAACCTGGTGGCCATTTTGGACATCAACCGCCTGGGTCAGAGCGACCCGGCTCCCCTTCAGCACCACGTGGAGAAGTACCAGCGGCGCTGTGAGGCTTTTGGGTGAGCAGAGGGGGGTTCTGCATGAGTGCCAGTGTGATTCTTCCATGAATATGACATTAACCAGAGGAATTCACCTGTAGGACTGCATGTAATATCTGCTCCCTCCCGTGTTATCAGATGGCAGTCCATCATTGTGGACGGCCACAGTGTGGAGGAGCTCTGTAAGGTGCTGAGTCAACCGCGCCACCAGCCGCTCGCCATCATCGCCAAGACGATCAAGGGAAAAGGCATCCCAGGGTAACTAGGGACACAGGGCACTGATCCACAGGGAGGAGTACAGGGCTGTTAGTAAGGTTCCTGCATTCTTAGGTTTCATCTTTGATTTCAAGGAGAAAAAAGCAATAATTAATAAATGGGCATTGAGGGGCCGTTGAGTGTGTGTCACATCCAGGGCAGATTCTGCTTACCTGTTGGTGGCAGCTCACTGCAAATACTATTTCTGTTTGACGTTTTCCCGCTTTGGGAACCGACCGCAAGTGCAAAGGGGCCCAAACTGCCAGTGATCCAGGCAGTGCTTTAGTGCTTTAGCTACTGCAGCACAGTAATCCTTCAGAATGTGTAGGATAGACTTGCAGCAACAGCCCTTTGTGCTAGTGTGTTCAGGGGCAGCGTATGCGACCATGTGAGAACAAAAGAAAAACTGTTGTTTTAACAGCAGTGTGTGTGCGTGTGTGTGTGTGTCTAAAAGAGAAGTATGCCTTTGTGTACATAAGATTTGGTCAGAAATTGTGATTGTTGTCTTAAGCCCGTGGCCTCCTCATTCTGACCTTTTTGGATCTTTGAAGTAGCCTGTTGGGACCCACTGACGTGGAATATTGTTATTAGTGTGCCGACTGTCGATAGATTATTTCATGCACATGCATAAATGTGGAGGAGTGTGCTGGACACGAGGAGCAACATGGTGTATAGAGAGTCTGTATCTCCAGTCAACCTTTGTTTGTCACCATTTTTATTTTTCCTAAAGAAAAAAAGATGTTGCTTTTATTATCTCTACTCTATAATAAGTTGCTCTGCTGCTACAAGAGTTGTAGTTGCATTTAGTTGCTGTCAACATTGTGTGTTGTTTTTCAGCGGCGGAGGATAAGATGGGCTGGCATGGGAAACCCTTGCCCAAAGACATGGCCGACAGCGTGATCAAGGAGATGCAGAGCCGCATAGTCAGCTGCAACAAGCGCCTGTATCCTGCACCGCCCATTGAGGACGCCTCACCTGTCAGCCTGCGCAACGTCCGCATGCCGAGTGCACCCAGCTACAAACCTGGAGACAAGGTGGGACAAGTGGTGACAGACCAGCTCGGATGTCTTGATTGACCTTCACATCTCACAATTTGCGCGTCTGACCGTATGTTATGTTGGCCTAATCTCAACTTTTCAGATAGACCCTCACATGGCTTCAGCCAATCCGCTGTATCTTCCACTGAAACCGTCTGTTTCTGCGTTACCAGATTTCTACAAGGAAGGCCTACGGCACGGCGCTGGCCAAGCTGGGCCGTTACAACGACCACGTGGTTGCGCTGGACGGAGACACCAAGAATTCCACCTTCTCCGAGCTCTTCAAGAACGAACACCCCAACCGCTACGTGGAGTGCTACATCGCAGAGCAGAACATGGTGAGAAAGAGACCTTTCGCGAGGACCATCCGGGATATTATTCCATTCAGTAAACAAAATGAGGCACAACTTTCCATCGATAAATCCCAGCTCCTTTTGCGCCCTTTCTGTCTCTCTTGTGCTGCAGGTGAGCGTTGCAGTGGGCTGCGCCGTGAGGGACCGCAACGTGGTGTTTGCCAGCACCTTCGCTACCTTCTTCAGCCGGGCCTACGACCAGCTCCGCATGGCCAGCATCTCTGAGAGCAACATCAACCTCTGCGGCTCCCACTGCGGGGTCTCTATTGGTCAGTTCCTGTGCATCTTCTCACCAATCATGACCTGAAATAACTGACCGTTGACCTTCTTTAGCGGATCTTTTCTTTTGGGGAGGTTTAAAACGTGCACAATGTGTGTCTCATGAGAAGCAATCCCAGCTTTAACCGCTGAGCAACCTGCTGAAGATATCTAGTTGTTCATTGTTTCATCAGATGAGTTGTTGATTTAATTTAATTACAATCTGGGTTCCGTGTGACCCACTTTAATTCTGCTGACCGTAAACCTTTTCTCCCAAACTTCTCCCCACCTTTGTTATCCATCTTCCTCTCCCGGCATCAGCACACTTGCTCCTCCCCCCTCTCGCTGTCTCTGTGTCATGGAGGTGACGACAGAGCGGCCCTGATTCTCTTTCACCACCTCCTCCTCCTCTTCCTCCTTCCCTTACTCCTTCACTCCTCCAGGTACATTGCATGAGCACCTTTCCAGACTGAATGCATGCCAGTCTACCAGAATTGATTTCCCAGCCTCCGTTTAAACCTGTGAGTCTTGTTGTATTTCACTCGTCTGTTTGACGCTGAGATGTGTGTATATGTAGGTGAGGACGGACCTTCTCAGATGGGCCTGGAAGACCTGGCCATGTTTAGGGCTATTCCCACGGCAACCGTCTTTTACCCAAGCGATGGAGTCTCCACTGAGAAAGCTGTGGAGCTCGCTGCCAACACGAAGGTACACATAGTCACCCATGATAAGAAATCCAAATGATTGAACATGTCTAAGGTTTGAGAGCAGAAGGACAGCGTCATCATATCGTCATTCATGGGATCCGGTCCTGCGCACTTTTTGTGTTAAATAATACGGACTCAGTTAGATGTTTTCATGGTTTGTTTCAGGGTTTATGTTTCATCCGAACGAGCCGCCCAGAGAACTCCGTCATCTACAACTCCAATGAGGACTTCCATGTTGGTCAGGCTAAGGTTTGTACCAGCGTTTTATATATTTCATGCTCTTTGAACCCGTTTCCTTTTATAGCTCATTATCACAAATGACCTGAGAATACGTTTGGATTCCACAAAAAAACTTGTCTTCACTCCCCACTCAGGTTGTGTACAAAACCAATGACGACCATGTGACTGTGATTGGAGCAGGAGTGACCCTCCACGAGGCTCTGGCGGCTGCTGAGCAGCTGAAGAAGGGTATGAAGACCACCATAAAAAACCCGACACCATAAGAGTGTACAATCCATATGAACCATCAGCCGGACTGAGGTGCATTTCTCTGCCCTCCTCCCTCAGAAAGAATTAACATCCGTGTGATTGACCCGTTCACCATCAAACCCCTGGACTCCAAGACCATCATTGACAGCGCCAGGGCCACCCGAGGACGCGTCATCACAGTGGAGGACCACTACTACGAAGGTGAGGGGTTGCGGATGACCTGCCAAAAACAAAAAGTGATGTATTCATCTATTTAAGAAACTATTTTCTTTAGATATTTGATACGTGATGAAACAAGGTGCATTTCAGCGTCGAAAAACAGGATGAGGATGAAATGTGAAGCCGTATCGGCGAGAACTTGTAATGTCCCATAAACAGACCTTTTGTAAAACACGATGACAGCCATCAATAAAGTAGCTCCGCATTCATCCACCGAATCACCTCCAATTTAAAATCAGTCTCGTGGATCCCATGTTATTAGCGGCAGCGCTTTAAACCAGCAGGCATAAGGATGGTTATGCAGCTGGCCGGAGCAGCAGAGGACAAACCGCAATCTGCGGACAGATGGAGAAGGAAAGAGGATGAAGAGGAGCTTGGGGAGGAAGAGGTCAGAGGTGTAGGGATTCTGAACGGGACACAGAAGTAGTCGTGGGTTTAATGAGAGATGCAACATGCAGAAATGGTTGAACGTATGAAATCAGTTGGAGGCGGGTGGGCGAGCTTGTCGGGGTTTCTTAATTCCAGCTCTGACCTTCAGGCTCACTCTGACCTACATACAGGACCAGCATCAAAAAGCAGCCGCCAGAATTATCTCTCTCTCTCTCTCTCTCTCTCCTGTTGTCCTACACGTAGCCGCTTACTCTTCTTGTTGACAATGTGTGTGTTTGCCATGATAGAACCAGACACACACACACATTGAGATTCAGTAGTTCATTAGGTTCAAGTAAAAGTGCAAAAGCTTGCATACGTATATTTAGTATGTAATTAGTACTTTTTTGTCCCTGCCCAACTTCCATGTTCACTCAGTCAGAAATGTTTGAATGGCAGTTTGAAGTGAGACATAAAAAGGAATGTGTGTGTGAGAGAGAGAAGGGAGGGGTGGAGGGAGGTGAAAGTCGAGGGCGTTGGCCGTCCTGTCAGTCTACATCACATCGCTGCAGAGCTCAATCGCCCATGAAAGGTGTGACCGAACACGACACGAGGACCAAAAGGGAGAAATTCTCGTTAAAAACCCAAATGTGATCCGTTTGATTTGAGCGAGCCGACCCTCTGATCGACGCCCCTGGCCGCCGTGTGTATTTCCTCAGGTGGTCTAGGCGAGGCCGTGTGCTCAGCGGTCGTGAACGAGACGGGCTTCACCGTGCACCGCCTGGCGGTCTCCCAGGTGCCCCGCAGCGGCAAACCGCAGGAGCTGCTCCGGATCTTCGGCATCGACCGCGACGCCATCACTCAGGCGGTGCGAAAGGTGCTCAGCAGCACCGCCAACGCCAAGTGAGGACGTTGCAGCGAGGGGCCCGGTGTTCGGTAAAGGCCTCTGGGGGTTAACTGGTGATCGCCATGGAGACGACAAGCCAGGAACCCGACACAGCGGGAGGGAAAAGCCCTTCTGGCCCAAACTCACGCTCTTCTCCTCGTTAAACAATCCAAGGCAATCGTTTGAAAAATCCCCCCCCAAAAAAAGAACCCCGGCTTTCCTCTGTAACTGTCATTGACGTGGTTTTGACACCCCAGATTTTTAACCCATTAGTTTGTGTAAACACCCCCCCTCCTTCTTCCTAGGGAAAGTTCTGGCACTGCTGTAGTGTTCCAGTAAAAGCAGTGAACGTGGTTTGGAGTAAAGTGAAGTGTTTTTATATTTTCTGTGGAATCCCTCTCACTTCTTCACACATCGTTTTGTACGTACGCCCCCCCGGTTCGACTCTTTAACCCCCCCACTCACTCTGGTCTGTTCAAGCACTGACTGTTTTAAACCTTTTGACCCTGACTTGGATGGGACTGCTTCACATCAATAAAGGGAACGTTTCTTCACAATATCCGTGTCTGAAGTCTTTGTTACGGTTCTGATGTCATGAAAGTCCATTTTTACAGTGAAACCACATTGTACGAAACCTGTTTTCGTTTTTTTGCACAAGAGCAAAGCGTGTCCGGCTGTTGCCAAGGCAAGCGGCAAAATAAAAGCACAGATAAAAAAAGATATTTATCACACAGCCCCTTTCAACGGGAAAATGTGTGACTTGTGACTTGTGGAAAGCCACAAAAACTAAATATATAAAACTCAGTTCAATATTTTTGTGAATTTGTTTTTAAATTTAGCCGACACATTAACATTGTACACTGATTTTTGATAGTCCCAGCCTAAACATGTGGCATACTATATTGTTTCCAACATTTAAAATAATAGTAACAATGGGAATACATTACTAAAATTAAATATCTTTGCATACACCATGACTTTATATAACTATATTTACTATTTTTATAACTTACTATAATGTAATTTGAATGAAACAGATTCAAATAACATTTTAGTTTTTCTACTAAATACTGCTGCATAACCTTTATTTAAATAAATATACTGACGTTTAATGATTTTTTTCCACATACTATTCACTGCACTTTTATTTTAAAATCATTTACTCTTTTTGACCATCCTTTGATTTCATAAAATAATTGTTATAAACAATTATTGCTTTAATTTAATTGATTTACACTAAGAGGAATTTGTCTTTTGGATATGATGCAGGTTCTCCATTCAGGAGAAGTAATGCTGAAGACAAAGCATCGGTGTCTAATCTATTGGGACAGTCAGTCAGAAGAAGATGGCCAGTTGGTCCTTGGTAACGTCCTGTTACAGACTACTGTAAGAACACGTCTTGGTTAAGTTTAGGTTGAAGTGCCTTGAGACCGGTTTAAGTCCGTCAAGCCCACATCCCCCATGCGGTGGGCAAATCCAATGTGTTTTAATAATTGAAACGCCTATTCAAAGATTCAGCCATATTGCAGCATGTCAGATCCACAAAGAGATGGAAGGAAAGAGGTCTGCTCATGTATACATCTTTCTCAAATAGAAAGAAAATCCACTGGCTCCACACACACAGGCTTGTTTTGTTCTAAATGCTGGTCAATTTAAGGTGCAGCAGCCAAATAGAAAACTAAAATGAGGTCCCCTTTGTCCTTCTGAATAACAAGGTCGTCCTCCTGTCCTCCGCAGTCTACAGGGCGCTGACTGAACTCCAGCTGGCGAGAAGCACTACGGAAGATTGAACGCGATATTTGGGACCTTTTACCTCGTCCCAAGCGTGTCAGCTGTGATAGTGTGTGTGTGTGTGTGTGAGGGAGAGAAGAGAAATGGACTGACAGATTGTGCGTGCGTGTGCATGTACAGTGTGTTTGCATACTGTTCCTCTGTAGATGCTGGGGGGGAGGGCGAATGGGGGGGTCTGTCCTGGCGGCCATCAAAGCATCTGTCGTATGAATTCTTCTCCACTAATGCACAAAAAAACGCACACGCGATGCATATGAACACATGGAGCAGCTCACACGCCCCTTGTCAAACCTCATTTCGGTTATTTCAGACGTAAATGCAAAGCGATACATTAAAACATCCTTTACTTAAATGACAACGCACAAATGATGAGACTCCCCCATATTAACCACATAAACATCTACACAATCCTGCACCATTTAAGACGCAGCATGTGCTTCTATCCTAAAGGAACGTTTTTGAGCGATCTGTGTGCGTGTGTTTAAACGCACATTGTCGCTTTCTCCACATCCACAGAGGGTTCCCCACTTTGTTCTGCCTCACTGGACCCCCGCCCCCCCAACGCGCACACACACAACAGTCTGCCTCATGGCCAGTTCCTCAGACACAAAAGAATATTTATGGGCATTATAATGTCTTATATACCTTTGAGGGTCAGTGAGTTTAAATAGGTACGTATTAAATATACTGTATAAGCTGCAAAGACATCTATGACCGTACTAATACTGATAACAGGTGAACTCAGCAACGTTTCTTTAGTGGAATCAGGTCCGACGTATTCAGGATGAACCAAAGACCAACAGTTTTCATTGGTAACTTCTCCGCTGGGCTGGAAATAGTTTCTGGTTTTGATGTACAAAGTGTGACGAGAAATGTTGTGTTCACCTATAAAGAACAATCCTTCGTGGTCATTTGGATTCAACTCAAAGTGGATTTTTTTATGTACACAATATTGATTTAGATCACGGAATGAAAGATTCACATCATAGTCTAGTCAATCAATATTCTGTTGAATCTTTTATTTAAAGTCAAACTACACTTAAGTGTAAACTGTGCGTTTGTGTATTTAAAGCCTGACTGAGAAGCTGCTCTCCCACATTAAAAACACGTGTTCAATGCGTTTAAAAGCATCAAATATTCAGTGGGTAAAGCACACATATCTAGAGGTTGTAAATACAGTACCAGTCAAACATTTGGGCACATTTTACCGTTGAATTGAGAGAAAATGTGTCCAAACTTCAGCCTGGTACTGCAGGTCAAAGCCCCCCTCATCCTGAATGGAGAATTAAATTCTCATCTGTATTTGGTCCCTTCTCCCCTTATGGGGCTGTCCTGTGTGAGATGTCCCCTCCCCCTTTAGCTCCTGTACTCGTCCCCGCAGTCCCCGATGAGCGCCATGAGGTCCCTGGAGCGTTGCGTCACTGCTGCGATGGCGGCATGATCCTCCGCTGTCAACTTCAAGTCGGGGCTGCAGCTACGCAGGCTGTCAGCGATGTGTTGTCCCGCCCCCGCGACGCCCAGCCGGCAGCCGACGATGACCCCGCCCACTGCGGGGCGATCCAGCACGTAACGCGTCGCCACGCTGGCCACCGAGCAGTCGTGTCTCCTGGCAGCCGTCTCCAGGGCGACAAGGAGGTCCTGAAAGAGGCTCCAGCCGCCCCAAGAGTTGATCACGTTCTTGTACTTCGAGAGGGACGCCGTGTAGAGCTCCGCCCTGGACTGAGGCTCCGCCTTCCCCAGATAACGCTCTGAGAGGAGACCGCCCGCTGAGAGGGGACAGTGATGGGATGGAGGCAGACAAATTAGTTATAAGGAGTCCAGGGGGACGAAAAAACCAGGATGAGTTGTGAGGAGGCGAGCGGGAAAAAGGGGGGTGGAGGAGATGAGGATGGAGAAGGGTAGAGAGAGGAGAGAGGGAGGGCAGAGCGGGGACCATCCAGGTCAGGAGGAGGATGGGAGAGGAAGGAGTAGCGACGATGAGGGGGAGGGAGGAGGACAGAGGACGTGTCGTCACAACGGCTGACTCCATTTTAGGAAACGCGCCATTTTACATCTTTATACCGTGATGGTAAATTAAAGTCACGGTGAGCTTCATCTTTCTGGAGTTAATCCCACGTAAATGCAAATAATGAAACATGGATATATGATGACCGCATTTAAGTCTGAATGTGTTGTATCTCACCCAGAGTGCCGTAGGTGAGGAGCTGAATGTCGTTAGCCAGACAGAACTTCTCCATTTTGGCTGCAGGTCTCTGGTCGATCAGAGAGTACTGAACCTGCAGGACAGACACACGTCAGGTCAAGAGCTGCACTGAAGGACGGAGTGTGGTGGAGCGCGGTACCCAGGTGTAGGTGCACGCTGCCGGGCACCTGGTTGCTTGAGATGCGGATGCCTCTGCTGGTGATCTCCTCCAACCGCTGGGTGTCAAAGTTAGTGAGGGCGAGCTCCTCTGCGAGAGGGAAGGTCAGAGCAGAATAAAAATAAAAGTCTTTCAACAGGATGGAACAAGAAATGATCTGAGACAGTTGAAAGGTCGACTAATAACCATTTACAGGTGAAGATAAGATGCACCCTATGAAGAACGAACAGTACAATTAGCAAAATAGTTAATCCTGCTTATGTATTGGTCAGATTCTAATGTTTTTGGTTATACATATATATATATTTGTTGCTGCAGTGCGTACGTATGAGTCCCTCCTGCTGCAGGTCGGAGAGGTGTCCCAGTGCGTCCAGGTATCGTTTGTCTTTGTAGTCCCACCAGTGGAACTGAACACAGTCCAGACGGTCGACCTGCATCCGGGTCATGGAGCGACGCAGTGCCTTCTCCACCACCTGCACGCACGCACACACACCTATTTATACGTTTAACAGTAACAACACGATGCCAGCGTTACGCTTCGACCAAGACATTTTACACTTGGGTCAACTTGTCAGTGCCTTTTGGCAAACCAGCTTGGTTTGTCTTCACTTATTTAGATTTTCTTTGCTTCTCAAATAAAATATACACAATTAAAATGCATCAATACATGACCGTACTTTAACACCAGGGAGTATAACCCTTAACATAAAACATGAATTGCTTACGTTAGTTTACTGTTGATTTATCAGCAGTCTATTTGTACAAAAAAAACATGAAACAATGAATAAATCTGATTCCTTGTCATGTTTTGCTGCCAAAGAGACGGCCTCGTAACGCTTATAGAGTCTTTGAATCCTTTGACTTGACAGCAGAGACCTGAGAGCGATTCGTGCAGCCGTACAGTTGGAGACGCTCTGGTTCTCTGTTCCAGGCACACAGTGCGCTCTGCTGGATAGAAGTAGTCACAGGAAAACGCGGCACGCTGAGGACGCTCCAGTCTCAACACGTTAGTAACAGCTCACCTTGCGGTTCATTGGTTCTGGTCTTGGCACGTATTTGGTCAGACTCTGCACAGCTGTGTCTTTCCCGGAGGATTTGCGCTAAGAAAAGATTTCAAAAGAGCGATTTGAATGGAATTAATGTTTCTGAAGCTTGCACTTACATATTAGAAAAATCACCATGTTTCTTTTAACGTTTCGCTGTTAAAAATACTATAAAATAATTTATTTAAAAAAGGATGCAGGGATTAGAATGGATCTATTGATTAGTTCAATCCAGAAGCATCAAAAAAGCCTGGAAAACCCGTGTAATGTGCGTGTAAGAGAGAGAAACGCACTCTCGGCTCTCTGCACATTATTCCAGGTGAACGGCTGAGACCACAGTCGATACCATTAAACTGTCGCAGCACATCAGCCATAAAGCTCTGATGTGAGCCGCACCGAAACCTGCGTGTGCGTTTGTGCGAAAGAAAGGCAGAGAAGGCATTAGCTCGTTCTCTGGCGAGTTCCTTTGTGTGTCAGCGTGAGAGCATTTCTTAATGTGTGCAGTGAGGATCTGCAGCTCTGTGGGGAACAGTTGGATTGACAAATCAATAAACAGGCAAAGGGATTACACAGTACGAGTGAGAATGATGTCACTATGTGACTTAATAAAACTACATTCAACAAGTCAGTTTACTTTACCATTGTAATTTAATGTCAGAAAATGTGAAAATATTGGTCATCTTTCCCAGTGTAGGTTTTATTTCTGAGCATATTCCGATGAATGCAGTCACGGGAAAATACATTGGGTTTTTTCACAAGATCTGACTTTGTTTCTGAGAATCTGTGTCTGTTTTTTGCATCTCTCTCTCGCTTTGTTGTAAAACACACACAAGAACATTACCCCCCTCTTGTGTTTGAAAGGCCATTTTCCATGTGTGCTTAAACAGTAACTAATATCGTGCAAAATTAAAGAAATTTAATTACAATAACAAATAAAGCCAGGATGGAGCTCCACAATTGCAATCATCATTTAAATTGAACACCTCGTCCATAAACCATCTCCTGAATCATGTAAACTGGTCCCAGTAACACACATCAGTTTTTTCTATATTTTAGAACGAATCCTTTTCAAACACAGAGAATTAATCCAACATTTTAAAATGTCAGAAACGATTTGATAAAGAGACACATACATCCACACAACAGTTTATATCAGATATCCCTCGTAAAAAAGGAAACAAATAGCTCCAAACAAACAATGTTTATTTAAAAAAAAAACTGAATGACACTGATTATCATTGCATATTCACCTTCCCCACGTTATTTAGAATAATGTCATCAATTGAAAAAGGGAGAAAACTGCACAAAACAGCATGGGAGCAAATTAAGAGCTTAATAAATCACACTTGGCCATGAAAGTAACTACGTCGTAAAACAAGTGTGTGTGTGTGTGTGTGTGTACCTGGCTGTTGAAGCGTCCAAATATTTCCTCTGCAGGCCCATAAATATCTGCCATGTCGAAGGTGGTGAGGCCGGCGTCCACGTACGCCTGCATGGCCTCCACTGCACACATGAATAAACCTCATTGTTGTTACTTTAGAAACTTTCTGAACACACAAACTGTTGAGGACTGTTGGCTCTCAGACCCCATCGGGGTCACGCGCCGTGGGGCTCTCAGACCCCATCGGAGTCACGCGGCGTGAGCTCCCGCAGGTCACGTGTTCGAGCTGGTGTACCTGCTTTATGCGCGTCCACGGCGCCGTGCGCGCCGGACACCTGCCACATGCCGTTCAGCACGCGGCGCACCTCCAGGCCGCCGGCCAGCCTCACCGCGGGAACCCGGGACATCCTGCAGGTCGTGCGGGGGGGAAGAAGCTGCTGGTTGAGATCACACGCGGTTATTTTCTTTCTACACGTTTGATTTTTTTTTTTTTTTTTTTTTAAAAAGGCACAAATATATTAACGTTGGATTATTGTGTGTAGACGGTCGTCGGCTGGCTGCAATAATCGGTCCGAAACCGCAAGATATCGACATTAAAATCAGCTACGTCAACACAAGAGACTTACTTTAATGTCCGAAGGAGACCGACGAGCTACAAGTCACAACAACACCAACAGTTATAAAACATTTTTTGCGTAACTGAGTTACAAGTTTGTTTCCACCAATAGCGGAATGTGTAGCCGGAAGTGACGTTCTTCTTCAGTGGCTTTGCTCGTTGTTCTGCCCTCTGCTGGAAGTAGATGGTCACTTCTGTGTAGCGCAGCAATAATGAAACAGACGTGGTACGGTAAAATAGAACGTTTTACTTTTCTGTTACGCAACACACATCGATAAAGCCCTCTACAAAAGTAATTGTTTCCAGGCAACACGCTGTAGCAGTCTCATTTTACACATCACGCCACTGTGGCGGCTGCCTTCTTCTTCTTCTTGTTCCTCTTTCTCCTCTTTGTTGCAGGTGTTGTGGTGACCTCCTCCTCATCCTCCTTCTCCATCTCCATCTCATCCTCCTTCTCCATCTCATCCTCCTTCTCCATCTCATCCTCCAAGGCTTCAGACGCTTTTCCTTCTAAAGCACCAGGTCGCTTTTCTTCTGAAGCGCCAGGTCTCTTTTCTTCTGAAGCGCCAGGTCTCTTTTCTTCTGAAGCGCCAGGTCTCTTTTCATCTGAAGCGCCAGGTCTCTTGTCGCCGGTGGTCGGTTTGAGAGGCATCGCCTCTGGCACGCTGGGACAAAGCAGAGGGAAGTCAAAATAAACTCAATTAAAATCAATAGCTTCTCTATAAACCTCCTACAACTCATTGTAGTTTGTGCTGATAAAGTTAATTGGAAGTGAAAATCACGTGTCTACAGAGTCATTTGATACACTTGTAGATTTGAGATCATTTCCAGTCATTATAACTGCCTTTTAAATCACCAGGCACGACACATTGGCATGTAAATAAAACGATTGGATTTCCGTTGGAATTAAAAATCCTGAGCAAATATGGCTTCCCTGCTGTATTACGGATTTTAAAACTTCTTAACTTTACACTGCACCCCAGTAGTTACCTCATCTGAAGCGCTGGCCTCTTACTCCCAGCCCCGGTGTGCCTCTCCAGCAGAGCCACGAAGAAGCCGTGTGTGCGGGTCTTGGTGGTGCTCGCACGAAGACACTGGGTGAGAGGCTCCAGGCCGCGTTCTGGCCACTGAGCCAGCAGAGGAACCAACCTAGGAGGAGAACCCAAACATCATACATTCATTCAGGCAGTGGCTTCCTCTAAATGGATTCATTAGGTCAGGAGTTGAAGGACAATTCCACCAGTTTTGATAATATATTAATGGCTGAGTGGACAGTAAAGAAGAAGGACAAATGCAAATGCTGCTCATTCATTTTTGTCAACACCATTACGCTCATTGATCCAGACGGCTGTTGCACATCCACTAGGAAAAGATATCATTTATCTCCCGTATTAGCTTCTCCACAGCGGCTGCTTGTGAAATCCAGGACATCCTTTTAAATATTTCTCAACGCCCATAATCGTATCTAAAAGAGCTCATCACAGACGATCGCCCCACTAGCGCACTGCGCTCACGGAATGCAGGGCTCCTCGGGCCGATTAGGCGGGCGATTGCTACCTGAAGTCCGGGTTCTGCTGCAGACAGGCCGCTACGACCTCCTCGTTCTCCTGGCTGTGGATGGAGCAGGTGGAGTAGACCAGGCGCTTCAGACGGGAGAACTTGAGGCCGTGGTTCAGGCACAGCAGCTGGAAGGAGGCCAAGGAGGCCAGACGGGCCTGAACCTTCTCCTGGTCAGCGGATGACGCGTCGTCCCGGAGACACACCATACCTGGACCATAGAAACACACAACATAGATTCACAATGAATACAAATCGGATTGGTTAGTGTAAAGGTGTTGCTTGCCGTGATTGGCCTCGGAGGCTGCGGACAGGTGAACAGAAGATCATAAACACTCCACCTGAGCCACTGCAGGATGGATCCAGCAGGATGTACTCAACGTCTTTAAACTGCGGGCCGTCGGGGTCCACCTTTAAGAAGTCCTGGTGGGCCAGCTGCTGGCAGGTGACCCCGGCCCGCAGCAGCAGAGTCGACATGGTGGCCAGACGCTTGGCATCCAAATCGAAGGCAAACAGCTTGCCCCTGTTCTCCATGAGGGCAGCCAGGTGGCTGGTCTTGTTGCCCGGGGCGGCGCAGGCATCGATAACATGGCTGCCGGGTGGGGGGTTGAGCAGGTACGCGGGGAGGCAGCTGGCTTTGTCCTGCAGAATGACGTGGCCGGCCTTGTATAGGAAATGCTCATGAAACTCTGTTTTAGGAGGGAAGACCAGCAGCTCTGGCACAAGCATGTCCCTCACAAAGTCTTTCCTCTTCAGGGACAAGTCCTCCAGCCTGCCGGCCTGTCCCAGGTAGCAGAAGCCGTCCCTCTTCAGATAGTCCACCGCATCCTCCGCGGTGGTCTTCAGGGTGTTTACGCGCACATACCTGGGCAGCTGGTCCCCGACGAGCTTCTGGGCGCTTTGCGGGAGCAGGTCCTCGTTCCTGCTGACCTTCTGCTTCACCTTCATGCGGGCCAGCGCCGCCTGCATCCTGGCGCGGTGCTTCATCATCGCGGTCTTCCAGGAGCCGCCGCACTTGAGCCCCCGGCCGATCAGCAGGTCGTACACCAGCACCTTGGCCAGGTTTATGCCCAGCTTGGTCTGTTTGAGCAGCTTGGTGGACTCGATGATCTCCTCCAGGACGGCGGAAAACTTTTGCGTCTCACAAACGAGAGCAAACAGCTGCTTGATGTGCGGGAATCTGCTGTCGTAAACCAGAGTTTTCAAAGCGCCCTGCTTTGCCTCGACTTTCTCCAGGATCTCCGCAGCTTTCATGTACAGCGCCATGGCGGACCGGAGAGGCCGCGTCGCCGCTCCGCTGGTCGCTGTCTGCTTTTCGGTGGCGTGTTGCTCTTGGAGACAGCGCGGACGTGTCCCCCGTGTCCCCTCGGGCCTCACCGGACAGAGACAACCGGCTTTGTTTTTCTCGCTGACGTTGTAGAAAAGCAGCTTCGGGGTTTCGCTGCCACCGTGCACATGGCAGAGGGAGAGTCGTGGCCCCGGAAGTACTAGCGGTGGTTCACGCGCTAGTTTCGTGTGACGTAGGAGGTCTGTCCAGCCAATCACGAAGCAGTTGGATAATACCGGCTGACCGGCGCTTTACTGTCCTTTAACTATGATGACCGATCAAATGAATCCGATTTTTTAGTACCGACGTTTAAATTACATTCTCAGCAGTCGTTAAATGTGCAGTACTGCTAATCTGACTTCTGTGTATGCAAATAGCTCGTTCCTTAACTTTTTTCATTGGTAGATTTAATTGTTCCTCCTGTGTGGAGTAAATGACTGATCAACAGCCGTACAGCACATAACTGCTGACAATAGATCAGTGTCAGCCAAGAGAGCGCTTTTAAGAATACAGAGAAATAGATGTGAAAATAGTGGCGTACAGAAAGCCGTAGAGAAAATAGCTTTATTCTTTAATACAAATTCAGGGATGTTTCCATGTGGAGAGTTCAACGGTATCAAGCTCACACTCTGCAATAAACCGCTCAATAAACGATCGGCACTGCATTGAAACCCATTAGCAGTCATTCAACGTGAACCTTTCTTGTTTGACATCCTACCGTTCCACTCGACCCCCATCGGACTTTACAAACCAGTTAAGAGTTGAGTAAGATCACCAAACCTCTTATTGCAGCACCGTAAAAGCATCGCTGACCAAAACAAAAACCCCATCAAGGCTTAGATAATAAGCACAGTATTTTAAAGTGTAACAGGACAATCTCTCATCCAATTGACTGCCAAGTGACCTAATGCACAATCCATCTGCTGTACACCTTTAAAACAAATAAGATTTACAGCACTTTTTCTGCCCATCACTTTTACTTGAAGATATTAGTCACTTCAACTCTTTCATTTCGACATGGAATAGACTAGTTATGAAGTCAGTGTGACTAAACTACCAAAGAGTTCAGCAATACACTTCTGCACAGACAGAGGAGGATGTTGAAGCTGGGATGTAAAGCACTTTTATTGCAGATTTAGGCATCTTTAAAATTGCTTCAGTGGCATGAAGAGCATTTCTGTCTGCCGGTGTCTTTTTTCAGCATCATCAGGAGTCAGTCAGATAATTTTCTACTTCTATTCTGTCTATTAGACATCAGCAGCAGCAGCAGGCCTTCAGAGGATTCATGTCCTAAAGGGAATCTTAATTCATACTGGATTTCATTTTTACAGTGTTGAATTATACTCAAATATAACAACCATGTGCAATGTGCCTTTTACTCTCAGTGTCCACAGAACGGTTTGTGCAATGATTTTAGCCATTGTGCTAAATGCTGTTGTTGCAATTGAAGAGATTTTTCCGAGTAGACTATCATCATTTTCAAATATAGGTTTAATATATTTTCCCGCTGTTGACTAGTACTGCTAAAGGAATTCAGTTATTTCAACACGACATTCAAAGTAATTTCACTGGGAGGGACGGTGACCATTGGGTGTGGAATCATAGTTTGTAGAATAGAGAAGAACATGTGTAGGTCCGTTGGGTGGAGAACAACAACGATACCCAACTCTCACTTAACCAATCAGTGTTTAGCGACCCGACTGGGCTTTTTCATGGACTTTGTCTTTAAAGAGTTTTTATACAGAAGCAATCTCTCTGTGGTGTGAGGAGGCAGCCGGTTCCTCTTGGCCTTTACGAAACATGCCGCCATCGGAAACAGCCGGTCGAAGCCCCCTGAGGTGGCCGGTGCTGCCAGCAGCTTCTTGGCGATGCTCTGCAGCAGGGGGAAGCGAGTTGCAGCTTTCCAGTACAACACACTGCTGTTGCTTTCACACAGAGGTTCGGAAAGGTACACGTCGAGCTCTGCCGTCTTCGTGGTCTTTGCAGGTGGCTGGAGGAAGTTAAAGATAGACTTGCGCTTGAGATCATTCTCGCCGACTCCGTTGCAGTCGTTATCATCCGAGCTTCCACCATGTTCCTCCATCGGCGAGTTGTCTCGACTCGCCTCTTCGCCATTTTGCTGCTTCAACTTCTTGCACGGCTGGACTTCATCTGCCTCTACAAAGGGAGCTGCCAAGGCCCCCATGCTAACTAGTGTGGCTTCCACGATTGTGCGAGCCTGATATTTTGACGGTGGTGTTAGGAAACCTGTCTCGTCCTCCAGTTTGGCATCAGGAAACGGCTAGGAAAAAAAACCATTCAGGCAAAGATGAGAGATGTGATTCTCATTCTGCTTTGTGGATGAAAAGTAAAAGCAAACATTGCAGAGCGACAACGCTTCAATGAAATACCTGCAGTTTGATCCTGGGGTCAAGCACAGCAGCTAATATCATATCCTTCTGGTGAATCAGGGACTGGAAGTGTGTGTGGATGCCTGTGCGCAGGGCCTTGTTGAAGTGTGTGTAGTTGGTGACACAGCTTTCCAAAGTCTTATCCAGGCCAATGAGAGATGGTGTGATGAAAGAGATGGTCACTCCAGTTCCTTGCAGGACCTGGGATACGGGTCACATAATATTCTATCAATAAGAACACAACACTCGGATACTTTATTTCCATACATACCTGCAAAACCATAAGGGGTGAAAAAGGTGACAAAATATTAGTGTCAGTGTCGCGTACGCCCCCCCACCCCAATTGGCCCATCAGTCAATTGGAAGAAATTCCAATTTAAACGGTTAGGTTTAAAAAAATAATATTCAAATGCGCTATTGCATTATAGAATCTTATGCGATCTTTGTAAACCACTTTATCCCAAAAAATGAACCTTCTCTTTTACCTGCATGGCCTCCTCAAAGGGCTCCAGGAGCGCCAGGATGTCAATCACCTGCTCCCTCTTTGCCATCACCAGAGGCGGGGCACTGGCAGTGTCGTTAGCGTCGATGCGAGCCTGGGCGAGGAGAGTCATGATGGCACTCCAGGCCGACTCCTGCACCATCCGACGTAGAGATAGCATCATGGAGTTCCAGCGACAGTTACTGGAGGATGGGCACAGGGAAACGCTGTGCTCCTTCATCAAGACCTAAACAACAAAATGATAGAGTCAACATTTCAGCACAGAAATTCCGAGCTCTCCGTCCATAAACAAAAATGTTCTTGTCCGAAGATATCGTTTATTTTGCTAAAGTCTTTGTGTGTGTGAGTGTGTCTGCACACAGGTTTAATAATCCGACCGTATGAGCACATAATTAAGATAAGACACACTGGTGTCGTTTAGTTTCGCTTACCTCGCTCCAGTGGGCACTGCTCCTAAAGAAAGCCACCACATTCTGGACCTGCAAGAGCAGGTTTTCCACCACCCTGGAGTTCTTCAGTGCTTCTTTAATCACAACCTGCAATGTGTGAGCCACACAGGTGCTTCTCGTCCCGATCTGTAGCTCTGAAAAGGGGGACTCAGTTTCAGGCGTCTGGTCAGACAGAAACGCCACCATCTCGTCTCCATCTGGTTCCCCCCTGTTGGATGAGCACATGATCTTGTAGTCGCAGAACAAGTGGTTCCCAGCCAGTGTTTCTTTGGCTTGGTTGGCGAGCATGTAGCCAATGCTGGGAGGAAAGAGGCCGTAGCTTAGCAGCACACCTTCAAGCTCCCTGGCCACCGTTGTGCTGAGGTTTTTGTGGCTGACGTGGCGGAAGGCTACAATAGGACGGCGTATCTGCCAGGAATCACTAACAAAGTGGAGCTGCACCACGACGATGGGCTCCTCCACTGGACTGGATTGATTCCCTGCCCACAGGTCAAACGTGACATGAATAGCTCTCTCGCCATCTTTGGTTTTGGCAAGGCAGGCTTTAAGGTCACGGATGATCTGAGGCTTGATTGTTCTCTCCACTTCGTCGTAGAGCTGTAGGCCGAGGACCCGCTGGGAGAGCTTGTTGCATTCTGGACTGATGGTACTCATGAATGACCTGAAGCCTGCGCCTTCAACAAAACTGTGGGGAACAAAACAGAAGCTGCGTTGGCATTGTGCACTTTCAAATGATGCGTGTCATCTAGACGATGTTTGGATGCCCATTTGGTATGCATATAGAATACACAACTAGCCCTCTGCTGCAGTTAAGGCTACTGACACATATGACATCCTTCAGGATAGGTTGACCCATCAGAATACTCGTTCAACTCTGGGATTTACAGACTTTGGCATCTTTGCACAAGCCAGCAAGGAGGATCGCACAGGTCACCTGAGTGGCAGCATGTCTTCAGCGATCATCCTCAGCGCCGCATTGATAAACCTTTTCTGGTCCACTGGCGCAGCTGCTGTTGCAGCGCCTGAGCTAGAGCTGGGACTGGAACTCAAACTGCGGGGCAATGAGGTGCTCGGGGACGGGGAAGTCTGTGGAGGCACAGCAGCCTTCTTCTGCTGGACTTTCTGACATACCGGCTTCTTTTCTTTCACCGGACTGGCCTGCAAGCAAAGCAAAGAGTAGGTGAGCGAAACCAGGCATGCAACCGTGACTAACTTTGTTAACTTGGTTTGACTTGGCTAAGTGCCAAATCTGCACTTATGTAAAACCATAAAAGAAAATCATCATAGTAAACTTACCACTTTAGGAATTACTAGTTCTGGGTCTAATACAACGTCACACTTGAAGTCCACCTGAAAAACAACATAAAATGTGAATGCGAAATAGACTCGTTTCACCTGAGAAGAATCTTCATACTGTAAACATAAAAACATTTTACCTGATAATCAACTGGACACCATTTTCTTTCATTTATATTCCATATTGGCTTACAAATAGATCATTAAAAAAACATTTGTACAAATGGTTGAAAACTGAAAGTGATCAGACTTATACAGTAAGCGCTAAACTAAAACAAGTACTGTACCTCTCCTTCCACAAACTGTTGAATATCAAGGGAAATGCTGTCTGCCTCGTCATTGTAGAAGCCAAACATCGCTTTACGTTTGATGCTCGAGTTCCAGTGATTTTTTACAGAATTATCAGTCCTGCAAGAGGAATAAAAAATATACATTTAAGTCTCGGAGTCATTTCTCGTTCCACAGGCTGACACGTTATTACATTCACCCTTTTATTTTAGCAATAACGAACAAATAATGCATTTCATTGGCTATAGTCATATGGTTCAACTTCAGCAGATCAATCGCAGCTAACAAACCCACCTTCCAGGGAGCAGCTTGGCAATCTCAGACCACCGGTTCCCCAGAATAGAGTGGGCTTTGTAGATGATGAGGTCTTCCTCATTGGTCCATGAGCTCTTTTTGATCATTGGGTCGAGGTGGTTAAGCCAGCGCTCACGACACTGTTTCCCCAACCGTCCTTTCAGCTGCCTGGCAATCAAAGACCAGTATTTGGTGCCGTAGATCTCCACCAGCTCTACTATCTGTCCAGAGAAAATGCGTGTTAACACCGTAGTATAGAGTGTGATGGGACAATTTAACTACTAACTGGGTCCAAGCAATGTCTGTGTCAAATGTGCTGCGTTATTTGTTCCACCTTTTCATCTTCTTCTTTTGACCAGAAGCCCTTTATCAAATCAGGATCCAGGTGCTTTTTCCAGCGCTCCATAACATGGAATTCTGACCGCCCCTAAAAACAAAGAGAATTTTTGCAATAAAGAAGAAAAATTGAATAATCAAAAGAGGAAAGAAAATAATCACGGAGAAATTTGCAATTTTGTTTTACTGAAATGTAAGTGTTTACAATGCCGTCTCTTTCATTCATTCTCTCCCACTCAAGTCACTTTACTCCAGCTGAATACTTACCGGAAAAAAACTGGCTATGGTTTTCCAATCTTTTTTCCCAAAATTGCTGATTAGGATTTTGAGATTTTTATCCTGCACAGATAAAATGAATCATTTCAGATTAAGTAGATGTTATTGTAAGATTCAAGGTAAAATTATCCTGAACACGATTTGTTACTTTTAAAAGCTAAAGAACCAACCAACAAACAAAAGGCTATGTGACACTTTTTAAAACACGGATTAGGCCCTCTTAGTCAGTGCCACTATTGAAATAATCTACTGGAAACGATAGTGTGTTGGGCTGGATAACATAATCAGATGAATATCTGAAAAATAGATATTATGGTCAAAGTATTCTTTTCACTCACCTCTTCCTCAGACCACTTTACTTTAGACTTGGTTCCATCCTTCTTATCTGCTGTGTCCGAGTCAGTGTCAATGCACATATTACTGCCCCCTTCATCTTCCATGCTGCAACCAGACAGATAACCAATAATTGAGTATGACTGGATTTAGTCACGGGGAAAATCTTCAGCTTGTTCATTCAGTTTATCGAAAGCATTAGAATTAAGAAGACACACTAGATCTCCTAGCTAAAGTGTAAATAAATAATAATAGATGAGATGTCCGATACAGACTGTATAATAGATGCCGTTTGAATGTCATTTTTCTATCTCAACAACTTCCATCTTCCTTGCATTGCGTTGCATTGATTAGCAGTTTGTCTTAGCCCAATGTTTACCTATCCGGTCTCAATCAGCAGAATACATGTCACTACCTTAAGTATGTGGTACATTTAAGGTTCCCAAAATGAAAATACTAGACTGTAATATAATAACGTTGCTGATTCAGAGGAAGCCTGAAACAAAAGTTGTTTACAACTCATGGCTAATGCAGCTCGATCGGCCAACTATTTCTGACACCATATTTTAAACCAACAAGCGATGTCAAGTGTTTGTGGCAAAGACATCGGAGACTCTAGACAGGTCACAGGAGGCAAACAAGACCCAGTATTACAAAAGCAGTGATGGATTAATTAGGTAACCACTTAACTAAAGTGCGCATGTAATATCTTATTCGATGAAATACAACCGTTCTGCCGTAAATAATATCGTCACACAGATAATAGTGTTCATGTTACGGTGTAATAATTTACTGCCATAAAATGTTGCGAGGAGGTTGTAATTTCCAATGTTGTCGGTTAACGTTAATAACATTGGCGGACTATAACGAACCCAATTTAACCATTGTATATTTCATGCTACCAGTGGAAAAACACATTTATCAAAGAGATTAACGTTAGCTGAAGCCAAGGCAGAGCTGCCATGAACGTGCAACCTTGCAGGTTTAACATAAAATATACAAATAACGTTAGTGCATTAGTTTAACACTACACCAATATTTAACGTTAGCTAAGTTGAAACGATTTGTTCGGGTACAAAGTATCTGAGTATCACTTTCCCGTCCTAAACCCAAACAAACATGCATGTTGTTCCCCAGAGCAGCGAGCTAGCATTAGCTTAGCTAACTGTCCCCCCCGGAAAGTTGCTTTAACTAACGTTAGCTTGGTAGCTAACATTAGCTGGTGCAAACCAAACAGTGACCTCGACATAAATACGAATCACCCGACAAACGTATTTAGGAACGCATCACGGTGGACAACTCTCAAGATAGAATTAATGCGATTGATTACCCGAAATTGATTGTAGAACTAATTAAATGAACTTACATTGCAACTTGGCTCTAACTTCGACCTAACCTCGGCTAACGTGGCTACCAGGCAACATGGAGCACGCGAGAAGGGACGTTGGCTTTACGTTCAGGAAGTAGAGCGCCTCCCGCGGCTCGTGCAACGTACAGCGACCGCTGCGTTTGTTATCGGCGAAAACGAGGCGTTTGTGAGCGACTGTGGATGAGAAAGTGGTCCAAATGCCAGTGGGGAGAACACATGGATGTCTACCTACATTTCAGATTGAACAACTGCTTCTGGAATACCGGTCCAGCCTTTCCAGCTCGCTACCACAACACAACAGACTGTAAACGACACGAGGGAGAGGCGACAGTCGATTCCCGCTCTCACACACACACACACACACACACACACACACAACAAAGCCACGCAACCACCCCGATAAACGCCTTTAACGCTGGATGCATTTAAACCACTACAGCTGTGGTGACTTCGTACCCAGCTAGTCGCAAAAACACATGTAGCTAAAAAGTCAATGTTAACGTTTGGGGACGTTAAGCGTGTCCTTCGCTCACCTGCGCGACGTGTCTCCCGGGTCTCCCGGCTCGTGCCTCGGCTGCCGGAGTAGATGTGGCTTTAGAAGCAACTGAGAACTGTTTTTTTTACTAACTAAATTAAATGTGTGAAAATTATTTACAGTTCAAGAACTCGTGACGTGTCATCGGTAGAAATTTACCCGGGACTGAAAACCAGAGGGTGCGTTCAAGAACACAACAAGAGCTTCCCGGTGCACGCGCTCCCCGGAAATGATCCATGTGAGGAAACGGTTACAACCGACGCCAACGGCTCTTAACCGACACCAACGGCTCCCAACCGCCCCGTGCTAAAGCTGACGGGCCATTCCACGTCCCCCCCTTCAGCGTCACCATATCAGTGGAAGAAAATACATAACCAGAGTCGATTAAAGATTCCCGAACGGTATCTTTTTCAATCATTTATTTAGTGGGTTGTTGAGGAGATTTCCCCAAGAATAGCTTCGCAGTTCCAGCTAGCACTACAAGTCTGCAACACCAACAGCAGCCTAACACCGCTCCCATACGCTATTTTTAAACAAAATGCGAAACAAATACATATATATTAAATGATGCATTCCATCTAGTGTGGCCTGCTGTATTACACAAAACACTAGACCACAACCTGTTCACTTAAATATTTTCGGATATGTAAACTACGTCCTCCCACGCCCGATGTATTCTATCCATGGACGTTTCATTGACTGTTGTATGGAGGACACTTGGCATCAACACTAACCTATTAACAAAATCTCAATGGCCATTTCTGCAATCGGCTACACAACTTATGAATGTTGAAGCACCATTGTATTTATCTCCACTTCAGTGTTGCTAAGCAACTGGTGGTTCCTCACTGCGGCTTAAGTTTTTCCAACACACAATGGCATTACCATGTAAGCATTTCACAGCATCTCTGATAGCATTTGCACCTTAATGTAGGATCGCATTAAACCTGTTATCTTCTTTCAAAATGATTCAAATTGGGCCACGTAATGAAAATATCGTAATGCATTGCTTCAATATCACACACATTTCTGCTTGTGTTGGTCTTCGAAGCCTTCTGCCTTCTTTATTTGTGTATGTGTAGGATCCCTCACAATCAATCACTCTGCTCATATGTGTGCTCCTCATTCTGACCACTCAGGGGCGCCATTGTTCAGTAAAGTAGATCACATTTTAATAAGGTCTCAACTCTCCAACTGAATATTTCAGATTTGTCTGTAGCCTTAACAATTGACCAGAAGTAAAGCAACCAACATGGCAAAAACATATTTATACACTTAAAAACATGAAATATTGTTTTATTTTTAAATATTCTTTTGAATTATACATTTTCCTTCATAAACTAGTTACTTGTACCTTTTTCACCATATGTTTGTTGTCTTATTTACTTTTACTTCATTCTTATTTTCTCTTCATTACCTTGCCTTGATGATGTCTTTTGTTCAAGATATTGCTCTAATATTTTGTTCATTTACTCATCGAATCCACTTTTTTATGTTGCTCCACATATATGTATATAGTTACAATAAATATCTAGATTTTGTCCCAAATATTTAAACCCATACAACATATTAGATAATCACTGCAGGAAACAATTACAATTACCATGTAGGCTACAAATTCTACACTTTGTCCTTTTGTACTTTGTACAAAACAGGATAATGTTCGAAACCGTGTTGGTTTGGATAACATCACATTGTATTGTAAATTGTAATTAGTAGCAGTACAAATCTGAAGTGAAGTGTGAAAAGGCCTGGTGCTGATGATAGAAGGGCCGTGTAGCCGGAGGATCGCATCCCGGTCCCGCTTGATGTGAAACCACCGTGGGAATAACGACACCGCTGCGCAGTACTCATGCAAAACAACGTGCAGTTAAAAAGTGCAACAGTAGACCTGCACAACTGTGTATCAGCTTTGAGCTAATGCTCTCTTGTAGATAGACTTTATAATGCTTTTACTGGCTGAGTGTGTATTTATTTAGTTTTGGTCCCCAGGTGGTTTCAATAAGAGTTAGAAAAAGTATTGAGATTTTTTTATTATCAACTAAATAAGTCAATTCAATGGCTGCACAATAAATGGCCTCTTTGATAATGTTATCCATGATGCATTCATGTGTGAGCAGTATGATCATGGTTTTTGGTTTATAAAGTGTAAAAACTGTTTAAACTGCAGAAACGTTCTGCAATTTAGTAGAATTTAGTTTATAAAACCTTGTTTTACATCACAAAACCAATAATTCAACAGGCCTTTTCGGGTATAGCAATGTTCTAAACTACCTACATACCTCAGTAAATGTCCTTAGTTACTTTCCATCACTTGCAATAACTCATCCTCATTTACTTGATCTTATGTGAAGCATTATTGGCAAATACACATAATGTAAGTTTACTACGCAGACTCATAGTCGACCTGTAATCTCAGCAAAGCTCACTCAAGCCACCATCTCTAAAGTGAGGGGATTTTTAATATCATGCAACATTTACAAGCTGGTCACTGAACATTGTTTCTGTTATGCACACATGTTTAATGGCTTATCCAAAAGAACACATACATGTTTTTAATGTACACAAACACACATATGCGCAGTGACACGGCACCTTCAATGTCCGTTTCTCTATTTACAGGTTTAGTGATGGATCAACAGTTGGGAATACGGGTTGCAGTTTTAGAAGACAAATGGTGAACTTTAAACCTTGAAGAGCAAATTAAAGATGTGTTTCCTTCTCAGCATATAGAGTTTTGTAGAAAGTAATCTGATACAGTATTCTCTGAATTCAAAACAAACAGAAGTTTTTAAGAAGGTAATTGGGAACAGGTTACGTTCAGGATTTGGAAGAGAAGAAATTATTTAATATTACGTGTACAAACAAGGCCCAGAGTATTCATATAAATTACATAATACAAATAAAATCCAATGATATCAGATGCAAGCGCCTCACCCTGCAAAGCTGCAACTGTACAGTTACAGATGTTCCTTACTGTTTTTTCTATGCATCACTAACTGTTTTAGCAGGTATCATGGATCAAAACAAATGGGTATAAACGTCTGAAGATCGATTCCCAGTTTTAATATAGAAAACCACGGCCCGCAGAAAAAACACGTAGTTGATTAATGTAAAAAAAGGTGCTAAAAACAGCATTTTCTAACAGACTCTTTTTTACTCTTAATTACCATGAAAAATTAAGACCACCGTGGTGAGGACTTTTTTTTGGTCTTTGACAAAGAATAAAACATGTGGGACGTCATTTAATCATCAGTCTGTCACGGCTTCAGCTCTCTGCACAAAAGCATCCCAAACATCTCCAGAAAGTAGAGAGAAAGGTGAACGTTACGTACTTCATACTGATATAAAATATTTTCACTCAAATCTGTTTTCTATAAAAATGGTGAGACAGACAACAATAAAATATCAGAGACCCTCCAAATGACGAAGCACCTCTCAGGTATGCTCTCAAGCTCTTCCTCTTTCTACACTTTTGTTTATCACCTGGACTAACTGCAGATTGTTATGTTTTTCTAAACACCATTCTTTCCAATAATATAATATTGTCAGAAACATGCTACTACTGTTTGGTTTGATAAACAATCGTCTCTTTCTGGTATAGTTTAAAGAACAACACTCAATCACACTGCAGATCTCTTGAGAAATGAGCAGCGATGGAGCCTCATTGTGCACTCACTGTCATGGTGCTTGGTCTGGAGATTTTGCTTGCGTTTGCTTTCTTTTTGGGGGAAAATGTGCACATTCTTTCAATACAACATGACAATAACTATTGTGAAACACCAATAAAACACGTTCCTAATTCCATTGTAAGTGAATGGAGTACAGATATCTCGCGTTCCATCTTAAAGGTGCTCCTCACCAGAGTTGCGTATTTGGTAACAAATTCATGACCACCATCGCTATCTAAGAACAGACCAGGGACTTCCAGGCCCCAAAAAAGTTCCACATATTTCAACTTTCAATGTCTCCACTGCAGGCTTGGTCGCTCGCTGCTTACCCTCGAGATCCATGCAGTGGTCGAACATAGCAGATGCCTCCTGGGATTTCCCCCGAGTGCTCTTATATTCATGGGACTCAAAAGAGTTGCACTCGCTCCACTGAATCAACTAAAGTGTCCAAAGAATTGAGCGGCGAGCTCCCGCCTCACAGAAAGCCGTCCTCGGTGCCGACGAAGGAGAACCCATTGAAGGCGTTGTTTGAGCTGCTGCTGCCGTTGAGCTCCGGGCTCCGACTCACCGAGTTAGGAACCATTTCTCTGGTGAACTCTGGGTCAATGTGTTGCGTGTCAGCCGGGCCTCTCTGAAAGAAGAAACATTGTATGCAACTGGTGAAGCGTGACGGGTGTCCCCGTGTGTGAAAGGAATGGACGTGTTTACACAAACAGACCACGTGAAAAAGCTCACCACATTGGGGTTGTAGGGGGGAGTAATTCTCTTGTGGTCAAGGTCGTCCCAGTTGATTGAAGAGAAGAAGGCGTGGTTCTTTATTTCCAACTGTAAATAAAATAATTGACACCTTATGCATGTGTCCTGTACATACTGGCATTTTCCAGACAAACTGTCCCTCCAATGGAGATTTTGTATCTACTTTATTGCCATGTTGTTTTAAACGGGGAGACTGGGTGCATATCTGTTCTCAGAAAAGGTCCAATAAAAAAGTTCTGATAGTGTAAAAGGCTCATTTGTGTAGTGTAACGGTTGAAAGACGGACTCACAAAGTCGGCGATGGCCCCGAGGCGTCTGTGCTGGTCTTTCTGCAGAAGACCCACCAGCAGAGAGCAGACGGCGGCGGACTTCCCCGGAGGAAGAGGCAGCGGCTTGTGGAGGATCCCATCATACATTTCATCTACGTCACGGCTGTAGAAAGGAGGCTGAGGCGGAGGGTTGGGGATAAAGACGTGTTTACATACAACACTAGACATATGTATAATGTATTAGAAGGTTAGAAGAAAAAAAGGTGTGGAACTAAATATAGAAATGCATTAATGCAAAATAGACGTATTGTATTTGTGTAAACAAGCGTTCTTGGGGGTTCTTCCAGACTGCTTGGACATAACGGCAGTTATGTTTGAGTTTGAGCTAAATGTTAACATTGGTGTGCCAAAGATCTTTTAATACTAGTCATTTTAAAGGCAATCCATCCAATAGTTATTGCATCTGGACAAAGGTGCTTGTACCGTTTCTTTGGCAGAGGATGTTTAAGAGATGCTCTAACCAATCATCTTGCACGATTACCAGGCCAAGTCCTGTACTTGAACATTAAAAAGCAACTAAATCTGATGGACAGGTCACCGTGAAATGCACTAAGCATGTGGTCAGAAAATTTTCTTATTATTTCAACCCCCCCTCCCCCCCTCTAATCAACCCGACCAAAACTCCGTACCAGGCTGTGGATCATCTCATATGTCACTGCTCCCAGACACCACCAGTCCACTGTCCTGTCATATGCCTCCTTACGAAGAACCTCTGGAGCCAAATACTGAAGAAGAGAGAAAAAGACACCATTAACAAAACGTCTTTCTCCAAAAGATGTTTCTAACTAAGCCGGAAGGCAACAATTCTTAGTCAGTAAAATAAATGAGTAATCACTGTTGTGTCGCTGATGTCACCTGATAATTTGGACTATTTACTCACTTCTGGGGTCCCACAGAAAGTGGAGGTGGTGCCCTCTGGCTCTATACCTTCTTTGCACAGCCCAAAATCAGTCAACACCACGTGGCCCTGCACACAACAATGAATTACGCAATGCAATAAAGAGTAAAACATATAGGGGAGTTAAAGTTTAAAGTGAAAGACCCACCTGAGAGTCTAAGAGAATATTTTCTGGCTTCAGATCTCTGCAACGTAGAGCAATGAGACGGTTATTATGAATTCGCTGTTTTGTGCTGCTACAGTTCGGGGGGGGGGGGTCGATAAATATTTGAGCCAACTCTCATAGGAGTACTTTAACAAATGCTCCCACCTGTAAACGATGTTGAGAGAGTGGAGATAGCCGATGGCGCTCGCTACCTCGGCTGCGTAGAACCTTGCTCTCGGCTCAGAAAAACACCTCTCTCTTTGCAGGTGGAAGAACAGCTGCAGAAAGGTGGATGGACGGATGGAGCATGGAGAGGATGGAGGGACAAAGTGACATGGAGGGGTGAGAGGAGGACAGGGTAGTCTGCAGAGGCGTTATTTACCAAAGATCAAAAGACAATGCAACCGGATGAATAAACTGAAATTAATCAAATGAAGTGTTTGCTCATGAAAATGTATGTGTAGGATTTTTTTACTGATCAATATTTCAAAGTAATGGAAATTAGTCACTTTCATGAACTACAGCTTGTAGCTTCTTAGCTTAGCTTAGCATAAAGGCTGGAAGCCCAATAGACTATCGAGCTCTGTGACGTTCTGCTGGTGCAGCTTCTTATTTGAGGAGAGATGTTGATCAAGTTTATTTCATTATTCACTTGTTTAAAAACACATACTTCTCCCCCATTCACATAGTCAAGGACGAAGTAGAGCTTCTCTGGAGTCTGGAAGGAGTAGTGGAGGCGAACCAGAAAGGGATGTTTCAGACTCTTCAGCAGCACGTTTCTCTCGGCCATAATGTTCTTTTGCTGAAGAGAGAAGACACCCGAGTGAGACGGAGAGGACGGCGTCAGACTGAAGTGCCACAGATACACAAACCGTGCACATTGTCCTGAAGATTGTAATCAAGTGTATTTTTTATGTTTGTGGGTTACAGTTTAACATGCTTTTCTCCCAGAAGGAAAATAACAATCGTATAATCTAATCATTAATGCATTTTTATGTATCGATTTCAAGGTCCTGTTATCGTCAGCTCACAATCACTCTCACTGTCATAGAACAGTCATCATAAACGTTATAAGCACCACATGGACTTTTCATACAATCTCGACTCGTCTGCAATGAAAAGGTTTTGTTTAGCTCTTCAGGAGGGTCAGTTGTAGAATCATATATATATATTCATATCAATTAATTGATATCCATTTTCAGTGTAAATGAGCAAATGATAATCTGAATGTTTGACTAAAAATATTCAGATTTCCCGTCCGATGGAAACACTGAATCTCTGTCAAAGGCAGAAAGGTCCGAATATTGATCAGGTTTCACAGATTTGGACGGCGAATGATTACATCTGAATCAGAAAAACTTAAGCAGAAGGAAGTGAATGAAAGGAGTGTGTTTGACCAGATCTTGGCGTGTTGTACGAAGAGAAGAGAGAAGTCGCTCAGTTTATTTTCTGGGAGTTGTAAAATCTGCTCTTTGTACAGAACAAGTTGTAGATTAGATAAGATTGAGATCATGTTGCCGGGCTAAAATACTGTTTACCAATAACACACAATAAACAGACATTTTCCTCTTGGCTCATGGAACTATTTTCCATCTCCGTCTGGCATAAGACTGTGCGATTCAATATACATTTATATATTTTGACTTCCTGGATGCAATTTCTAAAAAATCATGTCTGCTTAATCCCTCCGGACGTAATGTACTGTATGTGCTTCGTAGATGGTGAGTTTATATCAGTTTAAATGCTTGAAGGCATCTTTGTAGTAATGATTTGGATTAAAAACGCTGTGCCTCTGAAAACCCAAAGTCTCATTGATCCGGTTTTAAGTGGGCTACGGTTTGCGTTAGAATGGAGGCAGGAGAAGCAGCATTAGGAAGCCGGCGATGATCAGCAGAGCCCACCTCTTTTTTCTTGAGGATGACTTTCTTCTGCAGCACTTTGACGGCGTAGAATTTGCTGTCCGCTTTGAGCTTGGCGAGCAGCACCTGCATGAAGGTCTGTATGTCAGTGGTTTGTTTTGTCAACAGACCGCGCCACCATCTCGACACACCACTGTCACGACAGCACACCTCGCCCCCTGTGAGAACCCAACACACTGTGTGCTCTGTGGAAACAGATGAAACTGAGATATCTGAGAAGGGTGCTGATACGAGATCTGACCTGCGGCCAAAGGAAACAGGATTACTTTGTATGTAGAAATGCAACCCTGCCAGCAAAGCAAATTATTCACATTAAGAGTTTAATAAGGAACAAATACACATTATGAGAAACGCGTCTCGCTGGAGGATGTTGGGGTTAACCGGTAGCGGCCTCAGTGGACTCTAAAGTAAATGATTCATGGAGCAGGTAGCACATTCGGATCCGAGAAGTTGTCCGTGAGAGTGCAAAGTCAGCGACAGCCCACCGTTTCTAAAAAGGTCAGCTGCTGCTAATTGAGGGTAACTTCTGATCTATGCGACCCTCCGTTGGTTTCTAGCTTAAAACGCTTTCGCTGGTGGTGAATATGGGACCTGAATGAGTCGCAGCAAACAGCTGAAGGAAAAACATACGATATTTATTCAACAGTAAAGACAGACAGACAGAGACACTGTTACCTTTCCAAAGGTCCCTTTGCCAATGACGGCCAAGAAGTCAAAGTCAGTGGGTCTGGCACTGAAAGAAGATGGAAAGCAATCTATTAAATGGAGGACAGAATTACACAATACCTGAAGTACTTTATTTGTAAAATTCATTGTTCCTTTTAAGCCTTTCATTTGAGGACAATCTTTTATGGAATTATTGGATTATTGCATTATTTTATATTATATATGTACAATTGTGTATTTTAAGTGGGTCGGTAGCTGCGTGTCCTGTTTGTGAGTGTAAAGAAGCGCTGGTTAGTGAGAGCAGGCGACTGACTGAGGGTTGGCTGAAGGTCCCAGGTTGACATCAGCGTGAGGAGAGGAGGATGGTGACCGCAACTGGACGACAAAACACACACAAAAAAGTCAACAAAATGAATGACACTAGACTTAAAAACTGTTGCTTTTAGTTTTTTTAATCAGTTGCACCATTCAACATCAGCAGCCCTTAAACTGTCCTTGGGTTGACCTGCAACCCTGCATGAAACAGCAAAGATAGGACAGACACACACATGTTACCTGTTCATCTAAATGTCATGTTAAATGTCAATTTATGTAAAAAGTCTCTTTGCCCCCTGCAGATTGAAAAAATAATTTACTTTTAGGTTGGCCTGAGAACGTTTGTTAGTTAGTTTGACACCGCTGGGTCACAAACAGACTAGTAGAGAAAAATCATCTATTCGCCAGCAAGTCTTTTAATGTCTTGTTCAGAGACAATATGGTGTCCATAAACTTGTAGCCCATGAACAGTGGCACCAAAAAGGAAAAATCATTCAGCCTTAAAATGAAAACACGAGGATCGGAGTCACATTTGAAGCTCATTGCGTCATTATTGAGTAATTACAGCACATCTCATGAAAGGCTCCCGCTGTCGGATGTATCGGATGTATCTAAAGCATTGAGGAATTTGTTTCGGAGCCGTGAATATTTTACTGACATGCCAATATGTTGTATTAATGACTAAAACTAAAACAACCACGCTCACGCAAGATCTCCTGGATGTATCATTAACCATCCATTTCTTGAAAATACAGTCAGAACTGCATTGGCTGCAGGTTGAATCCTTGTCACATGACCCAAAATAAAATAAGGCAAAAAGCATCATGCAAAAAATAAATACACTCACATTGCAGTGTGCAGTGGCCATTATCTATTTCCCTCCCACTGGTCCAGCATCAGCGGTTAACAGACCTGTGAGAGGAGGGTGAGGGTCATGAGGTCAGCAGCGGGGAAGGATACGATCATCTCTTCAAACTTTTCTCATCTCACAGATAAGATTTGTTCTCCTCAGCCTGGACTTAGTGTGACTGTGTGTGTGCGCGTGGATGGGTGTGTAGGTGTGTGTTTGTGTCCTAATCAACAGCTGACCTTAGTATAACAACCCGAGGATCCAGATGAGCCGGTAGTTCTGGTTTGTAAGAAACCATTTGCTGGAACAACAGAAAGACAATAAGCGACATTGTGTGTATATATATATATATATATATTCTGTATGTGTGTATGTGTTAGCGTGTGTGTGTAAGCACTGTATTAGTGAACAAGTTTACATTGTAAATGTTGTTGAGCCATTCTATATAACAAAGGTCTCACACATAAATGAATCAAACGTCCCTGTTATTTTTGCCCCTTGAGGTGCTTCAGGCCAGTTTGTCTATTTATAGACTTCAAGACGCCGGAGGAACAAAATTTGACATTTTAGCTTTGAAAAACTATTTTTCTGGTTGTGGTGGCCAGACATGTTGAGGCAACACATTACTAGATTACGTGGACAGTTAATACACAGCGCATCTCCAAATTAGCCTTTGACTGAAAATACACTCAACTAAAACATGATTGCAGAAAAGGAAGCAGGGCGGCGCTGCTCTTGATTTATGTAATTCAATCAAAATTAGAATATGCAACACACACATTCTTGATCAATCACAGCTTTTCTTTAGCATTTTGGATAAGTGACTTGTTGCAAAAAAAAGGAATAAAATCTACTTCTTGTATTGACCTCGTCTGCAGTTAATGATCATGCACGATATGTTTAGTAATTATTTAGTATCTTCCATAAGGCTAACAACACTCCAAGATTTGTTTAATATAATTGCGTGTTGATCAGAAGCTGATTCAGAAACATCAAATCGAATAACCTTCCACGGTGCATCAGGCAGTACAAGCTGTTTTTTTCAAACACCGACACTAAAGTCGTGCAAATGTTTGGACTTCCACAAGACAGAAGTTACTCATTATTAAATGGTATGAATAAGTATACGGATTCCCACAGCAATAGGAACTAGACAGCCTGACAGTGACACCACGGGAGACAAATCCGTGTAAACTAGTGTTTTACCTTCATTATTACCAGCAGCGCAATAAGGAAAGCAACTAGTAGATTAGTTTAACAAAGCCAATACAACACAATACATCCTGGCACATGTTGTATCCCCCAAAATATAAATAAATCGACTTTAAAAGAAACAGAGGGGTGTCACCTGGGTGAAACGTGCTCACCTTCGTGCAGAGGATGAGGAGGTCACTGTGCTCTGCTCACGAGAGCCACCAGCTGAGGAGCCGCAGGAGCCTCAGGCAGTGGCAGCTGATTCGAGGTCACTTCTTTTCTTATCGTTCACGCTCACGCAGGGAGGCCGTCAAAGAAAGTGAATCATTGATGAAAAGTTTCAGTTTAAAAGAGGCGGTGCAAGGCTTTTACACTGAAGGGGCGGGACGGCTGTCCGGACTTCGCTCCTCGCCTTCAAAACAAAACGGGTAGACTAATTTAGCCCATTTCGTTTTGTGTTGGGCTATTTATATATAACTTGGGAGTCAAATGGGAACAAAGCTATGTTTATATGCTTGTTTTTCAAAGATAATGTAAAAAAATGTTTATCTGTATTGTGTGGAATATTGAGTAGCTTTAGATACAGGTTTGCAAGAGTCTGGTCGCTTTAAATGAGCAGCTTCTCACTTCAGTATTTGCTCTTTTCTATGGTAAAAAACATATTTTGATTTTTCTAGAGTAACGGCTGAGGCAACAGGATAACAGCACATACAAAGCAGAAAAACATTAGACAATTCCATACGTAAATTAAGTGAGACTTTAAATACATTTAAGCATTATCCACTCTCACAAATGAGCATACCTCCTTAAAATCCTCCCTACAAAGGATAAAATTGCTTTTCTTATGACACATTAAACCACTCAACAATCAACCGACGGTTGCTTCTTTCATCCGGCTGCCTATCTGCATGCAGCAAGCAATCATGTTGTTTTCTGCAGAAGTAAGAGAAGATAAGCAGTAAGGGAGTTGTCACCAGCACAGTCAACTGTTGACCAGAATATGGATAGTCAATAAGGGGATGTGATGTAAGCAGAGTAAGTTTATAGTCAACAGCCCCCCGTACCCCCCCATACACAACACAGCTGACAAGCACAGGAAATGTGTGTGTAATCCCGGATGAAAAGAAAAGAGGCAGCAGCTTTAATCAGACAAGACAGCTTCGGATGTTTATTAATTCATATGGATTTAATGACATTTGTGACCCAAGATTATCTTGACACGCGCGCGCAAACACACACACACACACACACACTCACACACACTCACACACGCATACACACAAATCCCACCAGAGAGACACACAAAGAAGTAAGATTCCAAGAGCCCTTAAAACACTCTGGTAAAACAACTTTCATCTCACAATATCAAATCCGTACAGTGTTATTTTTAAACTAATTCTGACGTATAATGTAAACATTTTGCAGAACACGCTTTAAATGTTGTTTCCATCACATGTAAACTGCAGAGAGCTCCATAAACTTGCTAGCAAAAAAAAAGTTTATTGCACTCTCTAGTGACCAAGTGTGGCAACATCATTGTGTAAAATCCATTCGGGTTTCACAGTTGTGCTAAAATTGTCTTTTTCATCTATAAATAATTGCTTTGCATAAAGATATAAAAACCCTGTGTCGTTTCTGTTATCTCACTCAGATTTCATATTAGAGGGAAACGTTTTAAATTACAGCTCCTGGATCAGATGAGTTCTCACATTAGCTGTGCAGTGAGAAAGCACAATGTGGAGAATTTAAATACCAACGACTTCATGCTTCAGAATGAGCCTGAATCTGAGCAAAGGCCTTTTCTCTCTTTCAACTCACAACATCGGCCACAAATAGAAAACCTTTTCCCAACAGTGTGAACAACACAGCGTATTTATTTCATTTTTTTCATCTGTTACAGAAAGGTCTGATAACATAAAGGAGCTGTAACATTAAGTGTCACTACAGTACTTCTTTTTATTGCACAAGACGTGAGGCTTGTAGGAGCCTCACTGACCAGCCTCGTTTACTGCATTTAATTACTATTTTTGGCCGCATTTCCCCCCGGACCAAGTGTAGAAACCGTTTTGCCAAATTTGATTTAGTTTAGAATTACTTCTATTTCCGCTCAGGCTTCTAATGCACAATTTAAAAACATGTCGTTGGAAATAACCTGCCCGTAAAACCTTTAAACTGTAACCCTGGAGGTTTCATCTACATTACCCTCCCTCTTTGTATTTTCCTCGGCACCAATTTGTCAAAGCATCATCTTTAAGACATTACTCCACCAAAAATATTTGTATTTCCTCATCACCCCCCCCCCCCCCACTCCCCCCACTCGCTTTCTTTGAAGGGGACAGGACACCAAACACATGGAAAAAAAGGGATCAGGGTCTTTTCCCTGCAACAAAATGAATTTGGCACATGATGATTCACAACCCGACGCCACAGGTCAGGTGGGAGGGGGAGCGGGGGGGGGGGGGTCACTTGAGTACCTCGTCTGTGCTCTTGAACATGAGAATGGCGTTGGAGATCATGTGGGGGGGGGCCCAGGTGAGAAGCTTGATCTTCACAATGTCGGTCTGTGTCAGCAGCAGGAAGGCCTCGCCGTCAATCATCTGGGGAGGAGCAGACACAAGGGCGCTGATGCGACTGCAGATGACTGGTCTAGAAACAATTAGTCGTCTCGAGGGTGAAACAGACACACCTTCAGCGTGCTTTCACAGACACCCTGTGGTCTCACCTCTTCTTTGAAGAGACGGGCCTGTTCTTCACAGCCGATCAGATTCTGGACAAACATGAAGACCTGAGGTACGAACACAACCGCTTTTAAATAATCGTCCACACAGAGAGAGAGAGAGAGAGAGAGGTAAGAGATACGCTCTGCTTACCTCCTCGACGCTCCATGCTGACACCTGGCTGGCGTGAATGCCCTGAACGCCGGGCAGCAGCTTACAGTGCTGCTCCCAGCAAAGGGACAGAGTCCTGTCTGACTGGCTGCTCAGCGCTGACATGAACAGGGACGGATACACGTCCTCCGAGGACATGCCTGAGGTCAAACACACACACACAGAGGGACAACACTTGGAATTCAATGCCGCCGCCATTGAATGCAATCATCACTAAAGGAGCAGTAGATTGAGCAGCATCTATTGTGGGGTTCATTCTAGCTGTGCTTTTCCCCCTGACACGGTGCTCCTTTAAAGTGGTTTACTGCCTATTGCGTTCTGTGTTTACTTCCAGATGCTGATGGTCCACATTCCAAATAATCGGTCACCATTTATCGTCTCTCTGTTTTCCTGTTTGCGTCATCCCTTCTTTCCCCTTTTTGCACCCTAATCGTGACTTCTGCTAACACGAGTCAGTCAAATTGTACGCTGTGAAAGAACGCTTGTGACCAAATGTTTGCTATCGTCTTCTCCAATCTATCCATTTTCTTGTCAAAAACGAGTTGAGCGCTGAGCAGCCGGTGTTGCACACCAGGGCAGATATCAGCCCGGCGCATCATTCACACCTGCAGCTGACATGAATGACTTCCATAGAAATCCATAACCCCCTTGAAGCCGATCTGACTCCCTGAAGCCACAGAGTAAAATGCTCTCCACAGACAGATACGCATTGTTAGCTTTGAAAACTCACTCTGGTAGTCTCTCTGCTGGTTCTTCCTGTATTTGGGAGGACGGCCAATCCTGGCAACAGAGGAAACGATCAATGTGAGACAAAGGCAAAGGCGCTTGCATATGTGGACCAACACACAGACCTGCCACGGAAATGTGTCTTCTTGGTCCTCTGGCCAAAGAAGAGGGTCCTCTTGCACTCTGAGTCCGACAGCTCGGCCTTCAGCCTGCCTTGGTTACGCTCAGCCAATGGGCAGCCGGATATGCAGTGATGGGCAGTGAAGCGGCCGGTCACATGGCCCGAGCCATCACAACCGGGAGTCGGACACTTCCTGTTCCAAAGACCCAGATGTCAGGTATTAATTTGTATCTTGAATGGTTGACCTGATGAGAAAAAAGGCCTCCGTGAAGTGATGCTGGAGCGGAGTTCAGCTGACCTGTTGTGGAAGCTGTACTTGTTGGCTCTGGGGTGGCTGATGGGTTTACAGGGAACCGGGGAGGGGTAGGTGGACTGGCCGGTGGTGGGAGGCTCCTTCACACCTAAAGTCATTCAAATACAGGCAGATACAGTCACTAATATTGTTGGGAGGAAACAAGTGGTGTAAATACCAAGGGGCCTTTTTAACAGCAGATTTGAAAATCAAAGGTTTTACTGATGATATCGATGATGCTCTGTTCTATTCAAGCAAGTAGACCCTCACACTTTAGCAACTACAACATTTAATGCTGCTAAGATTCAATGCTAGCTATCAATTCTAATTTAGATTTGAGTTTTGAAGAGAATCAACTTCCAGTTTGGACTGAAGTGCTGGTTGCTTCCGTGTGGCTGCTGCCTTTTGGTGTCCCGTGGGGGAACTTTGAGTGGGTGACCGGTCGCCTCACACCAGCCTGCTGGGTGGATGTCCGGGTGATCTGAGTCCACCCACTCATCATAGACATTACTCCAGCCGTCATAATGAACCTGAGGAGGAATACAAATGCACGATGCTGTAAATCCACACACACGCAAAATGCAGACAGCACATCTTGCATAATGGGTCCGAGGGTTGGTTAGAAAGAGGATGTGTCGTACAGAAACAGTAAATGTGAGTTATTATTCCAGTGGGGTCATTAAACCCATTAGCGCCACAAAAAATCCCACAAGTACGTGACCGCGGCCACTTCTTAACTTCAAGGAATAGGAGCTGAGAACAAACAAACAGAGCCCTGCCTTAATGCGATGAGTCTCCACTTCCTCCACCGTCGCCACTCTGATCAGACCAGGACTCCTTTTGTCAACAGCCTCCAGCTTCATCTGAGGCTGGAAGCTGTGGGCCGCGCGCTGGAGACAGAGGACGGACGAAACAAACTGTAACTTGTTCAACAGAACCCGCAAACATTGTTGGATGTACCTTCCGTAAGGCATTGGCTTTACTCTCACCAAACATCAGTTCTATTGTTTCATTTGCGGTATTTTATGCCTTTTTATTAGATTTTAGAGGACGAAGAGGGCAGGAAATGAGGGGAGGGACATTACCAGACACAAAACCAAACAGGGGAACCCTTTGTCAAATGAATGGTGGGACAATGCACATGATGCACTGAATGCATCCTCCTCCTGTGCGAGAGTTAATCTGATTCAGTTCAAAGTAGAATTTGTTTTAGCAAAGCTATGTCTATCCAAACCTCTCTTGTTTTGGTGAAAGATGTTCCCACGACTACTATTACTATTTGGAACAGACTCTGGACCAATCGTCTCAAATGGACACGTTTGTTGTCCATCAGGAGGCTGTTAGACTGTCAGCTAAAGTTATTTAATGTCTTCGAGCTCTTTAATCCCTGTGGTCAAAAAGATAACGGTAGCTGGCTGAGACGACCATCGCTAGCTTCTCATCCCGAACTCTAAAACATAAGGCGTCCCATTGGACGAGTATGACTATAGGGAAGATATCTGTGGACTGTATCTGCATGCAGGTACATTGAGTGTGTGGAGATGATTCAACAGGGCGGGTACATACATCTTTGACTCATAATTATGTTTTTGTCAGCTATGAAAGGATTTCAATGTTGCATAATTATTATAACTTCCTTTTCTAAAAGAATAAACATTTATTCCAGGTTCTCACCACTTTAAAGGCGTCAGCGTCCACCGCCTTGGAACCAGTTTCCCCCAAGTAGTGAGACCAGGAGAACCGGGCCTGATCTGGGTAATCTGGTGCAGTAAAACATTAATTCAACCAAAATCTGTTAGTGAATACAAACAAATTCCTCTGCCTATTCAACGTATTTTCTTCTGAATAATGATAAAGTCCATGCTCCCAATGTTTATTTCAAAAAGCAAAGAAAAAAGGAGCGGCGTTTTTAAAATTAACGACCCAAGAAATGGCTGAGCATGATTAAATCAGTGATTAACATTGAACACACTTTTCACCTTGGGGTGGTGTTAGGGGGAGGTTCCTCTCCTGGCACCAACCAATAGGGTGAATGTACGGACTGCTGGAATCACACCTGCATAGTTTCAACAAACAACAACGTCAAGCAGCTCAATAGATTCAGTGTAAGAAACGTCTTTTGTCTTTTCCAGCTGCTCACCACATCTTTCACCACCGTTCACTCGATACTTCATTCTAATACAGAATACAATGACTACATGCGGCGTGACATCACTCATGAGGACAAAGCCAGAGAGAATTATTAATTCAATCTACAGCTCAACTAATATTGTAAACTTTGTTCAGTGTATTATTTAGTTACTAACCCAGTTTCCAAAATGTGTAATTGTTATAAATAAAAAATAGACGCTGGTAAATGAAGAAAGTAAGTAAGTAAATCTTTCTATTTAGGTTGATCAAGACCAAACAAGAGCTGACGGGAGAGTAATTATAGAACATTCATCAGGTAATGAAATCACAACTCCAAAATGAATGTTTCTATTTCTAGTATTTCAGCCATAACAACTCTATATAGTGATAAGTTTGTTTTTGCGTTGTTCTTCCCCTTAGTGGCCATGTTTTGATTAATGTAGCCTTACTACACCTGTAGTTTGGTTCATTTGGTCGGGGCCACATTGTTGTGTTTAAGATCTGCTCCTCTCCCGGTTCACACTGGCTTTATACAAATGAACCAAATCTGTAGACATGAAGTTAAACAGACTGAAAGATTGGACAGTTCAATCCGCATGACAGGCCAACGTTTCTCCGCTGCCGCTCAGCAAAGCGCTTCTGCCAGATTATTTTCTTCAGCCATTTTCCAAAGCCCGTACGTCCACAACGCGTTGGAGGCTCACCAGTAGTCATATGTATCATCCCAGTTGTCAAAATGAACCAGGAAGCGGTCGTCCACCACGTCGGTGACGGTTGCCACACAGATGAGGGAGGGGTTCATCCGGTCGACGGCCTCCAGCTTCATTCCTGTCGCAAAACTGCCCTTCACGTCGATCTAAACAGAAAGCCGTTATGTTAGAAATGACCGAGCGAGCACGCGAGGGAGGAGAGGCGGACGGGGTCGTGTCCTATAGGGAACCGATTCTGACCCTGTCTCGGAATTCACCAATCATTAAAAAGCACTTAGTTTGATATATTGAAGATTAAACATTAGCAGGTCACTATTGACCCAAAGAAGCATAAAGCTGTTTGATGTCCTGGCGTTAAATATTAATACTAAAGCAAATAGGCAAAAGGCCGGACTTCAGAGCGCGTGAGGTGAAAGTGCTTTCCTAAAGTGATCACTTTGATCACAGCGAGCAACTGTTTAAAACAGTTTTACTATAAAAAACCACTTGACTTGATAACTGCTTCGTGTCAAACCATTCACCTCATCCAGCCGGGCTTGTAGATAATACAACTACCGTAGATTATATAGTGGCAGTTACCCTGCCAGGACTGGCAAAGAGGTCTTTGGACGCCACTTGTGCTTTAGTCATTCTCAGGTAGTTGGTCCAGGTGAACTCCTCCTCCTTACAGCCTGCAGGAAAAACAGAGAGAAGAAGAACGCGATTAAACGCCAGGAGTTCGGCTTTTTGGGAAATTCACGACTTTCATCTCTTGTAGGGAGCCGAGGAAGACGGGCTGAGTGTCAATATCCACTTAACAGCGCCTGTAAAATTCTTGAATCAACGCCTATTTACCTTGTTTGTTTAAAATGTACGAAACTGAGCTCAAAGAGTGTTGTCATCAGCATGAAGTTACCCGGCAACCTCCTTATTTTTAGTGCAAGTTAATCAGTGAGTCTTAGAGGCGCCGGTGAGTATATTTTCTAAGGTGAACATGAACGAGTGCATTTCCCAAACTGTCATTGCTATTCCTGATGATTCGACCGGTTTTCTGCCTTTGATATCTTCTATTCGCCCCCCTGGTCTCTCAGTACGCCCAAAGTCGTATGACCTCTCACCTTTGGGAGTGTGCAGTTTGTGTCCCGTGCTCTCGCACCAGCCTGCCGGGTGGACGTCGGGCGAGTTGGCATTCACCCAGAAGTCGTGGCAGTCGGAGTAGCCGTCGAAATGGAGCCGCAGCCGGTACCCGCAGACCTGAATGACAACACGAATCATCAAGTAAACACGAGAGGAGGCGACGCGCCGGGGTCGACTGCGCCTGCACGCGAAGCAGACGGTAAGTCAACGGTGATTTTTAAACCCAACTAATCAGCCGGAACGGATCCGTCACCCGTGTGGGTCCGGCTCACCTCAGCCACGGTGAGAACAAAGTACATAGACGGATGCTGCGGGTCGATGCCCTCCAGCTTCATTCCCTGCTTGAAGCCGCTCTTCACTGTCGGCACTCGCTGGCTCTGCACACGCGGGATACAAAGGCAAATATTTCAGCACTGATCACAGAGATTCAAACTGAACCAAGTGAAAACAAGGAATGGAAGCAGCAAACGTAGCAAAGTGGAAAGGTTCAGCATTCGCTTTCTTTTGAAAATGTTGGAACAGGAAGTATCACTAACACAAAGCTTGTGTGGCACAAATATTTAGATTGTTAGAGAAATAAATTACTTTTAAACGAAACTCCCTCAACCCCACACTCTGCAAAAGAGCAAGAATAATTGGGCCCAAACATCTTTTAACATCTCTCAATTTACATTTCTTATTTCCGTCCTCCATAAATTCCTTTCCCTCGGGGCGATTACTTGCCGTCCGTGCTATTAATTTACTACCACTGCTAGCTGCAATTTGAGGAAAATGCACTTTCTTGTTCTTCTGAGTTTGTACCCTATGGTTGAATGCACTTATTGTAAGTCGCTTTGGATAAAAGCGTCAGCTAAATGACATGTAATGTAATGTGAAGAAAGTAGTAAAACGTCACGTGACCCGGTGTGAAGCTGAGTCTGAAACTGAGGTCTGAATATTAAACTGAAACGAACCTCTTGGAAAAGCTTGTTGGGCGCAGCAACAGCTTTGGTTTCCTCCAGATACTGAGCCCACGTCCACTGCTCCGTCTTACTGTCTCCAGCTTCACCGAATACACAAATCAGTTATTAGTTTGAAACAAGGAGCAGCGGGTGTTTGAGGTCCGTAAACTATTAAACAACAATTTGTGGGGATAAATAATTAAAGAAAATAATAAAAAATAAATAAAAGTGCTCTAATGTTAGTGACAGACAATCAAAAAGGTAATGCAGACATTCAGGGGCTGGATGGAAAAACCCAGTTAATTTCCAATGTTATATGGAATTACATAATATTGAGTATGCATCTGTATTTAGGGAGAAAGGTGGCAGGAAGATAAAACGGATGCAACAGCCGGCAAATAAGCAAAAACGTAAAAAAAACAAATAAAAAAAAAAAAACATGACATAGCAGGCAAATGTAAGAATAAAAGATTAATCCAACCTCCTCTGATGTGTCGGCCGTCTGCTTTAGAATCATCCATTTTCTCATCCTAAAATACACATAATAGAAATAGCGAAAGAGCTCAGAGTAGAAGGAAAAGTAGAGTCACTGTTTAAACACGTCACTTCAGTCTGAATTCATCACAAATGAGAGCATCGGTATCTTCATCTGGATTTTAAATGTAAATAACAAAGCTGTCCCACCGTGCCTTCGATGTCAGAGTCTTCCTCAGAGGGACTGAGGTATTCTTTCCTCTTCCTCTTCCTCATCGGTTTCAGGTGATCGGGGTTGAGGGAGGAGACCCTCCCGCCTGCCGGCACCTTCTCTACTCCCATGATCCTCCTGAGAGAAGGAGAGGAGGGTCACTCGGGTCTAAACATCAGCAAAATGTCCTCTTCTCTTTCCTTACTTTCACAAAAACAGGTTACATTGGAATCCTTGCTGCTTTTGTCGTATTTCAATTGGAAAAAATTTTCGTGTTTTTGCGAGCAAATTACAATAATAACAACAGCTTGTTTTTTGCCTTTTAAAAGTGAGAAAGTGTAGAAAAAAACCTTTTAAGTAGAGAAAGTATTGGTAGAAATCTGTGATTCTGGCCGTGTATCGTTCTGTATTGTGACTTCTAGCACGCGTGAGCACCAGCATACTTGTCAGGGATGGGCTCCCTGCGCAGCTCCTCTGTGTAGGTCCTCTGAGCTCTGGCATCGTAGGTGGGATGTCCCAGTCCGGCCTGGACTTCGGGTTTGACCGGCACCAACCGCTCTGGCTCCACTACTTCCCTTCTCGCAGGGCCGACAGCAGCCAACACGTCTGACATGCAGGAGACAGGAGAAGTCATGGGGCGCATCAGGCGAGATTGATTCTAAATTCAAATTTCAAATTGATTTCAAAACATGTGGTGGGAGCAGTTCCCGTCAAAAGTGCTCTGCAACAGCTGACGTAAAAAAACTGCTTAAGTGGTCATTAAAAACGGCACGCTGTGAAATATTTAGAAGAGCAATGCAGCCGTAAATAGAAAGTAAGAGCCGTCACATAACCACAACTCTACCTGGCTTGTCTGCTGGTGCGCTCTCCGCCTCGGCAGATCTCCCAGAGGTCCCAGCTGCTGGTTCAGTGATGCTGCTGGGGGTCCCTGGGGTGATCAGTGTGCTCAACGTTCCCACATCACTCACACAGAACTGCAGCACACAATAAACACACACACACACACACACACGAGCGCGCAATGTATCCATCTTGTTGGGCTATATCGTTTTATACATTCAACCCTTTTTCCTCCTCAAAACCAATTCATCAGCGAACTTCCAAAGATACAATGTTGCCTGGTTTGTTTCCATGTCACCAACCTGTTCTCATTCTAGCACAGACTCTTAATAACGTGAGAAAACAAGTGTTTAACCTTCATCTGCGTCTCCTTCATGCTAAACCACTTCAGTGAGTCCCAGTAAATCCATATTTATAGCAAAATAAAAGACTACTTTCTAATGATTCAGGGTTTTGGTGAGCCATTATTCCTCAATGTTAATGTGGCAAATTGCTATCCAGAATAACAAAATAAACCTGTCTTCTGGATTGTGATCGATTAATTGTTTTTACACAAAATGTTGTCTGAGTGTAAGTGAACTCTGACTCGATGATAACAATCTCATCGAACTGCTCTAATATGACACTTACGAATTGATATACACATAAAATAATGTCTTTGCCTGCTTTAAACCAGACAGGACGCTGTGTTTTCACTGTGTCTGTTTCAAATACACGAGTATTCCAGCTGGATAAACACTTGACAGTATAATCATTTCACCTTGAGGTTGCTGCTGGGTAGGATGGCCACCCCATCCTTCCACTCTAGGACGTGGACGATGCTACAAGCCCCGCCCACCTGCGCTGTAAGGGTGGGTGTGGCTGCTTCATTGGCCCTGCCTCCTTTACCTGGGTCTCCCATGGCAACAGCTGGAGTCACCTCCAGCTTCTGATGACTGACAGCTGGAGCTGAGGAGAGACATGCAGCCAAATTCATTCAACTTCCTCCCCCAGGGCATGTCATGATTATCCCGGACCACTGTGATCAATGATATTATCAACAATATTATTAGTGTAATATAAAGTAAATAAACAAAAGATCAAATGCAAGGCTGTGTGGGTCGATTCCTTTTTCCATGAAAATTCCTGTATTTGTCTGACTATCATTGTAGCACGCCGCTAGGAAGCTTCATGAAGCCTTTCACGTGATGATATTCATGATTATCCATCTGACAGAAGTTGATATGGGTATTTTTTTAATCACAATCTGCAAACAAATCTAATATTGTTGCATCCATACCAAAGAGCACGTCATTTGTTTCCCCACATCATCTAAAATTTAATTGTAACCATTTGATTTCTGTTTTGCTACAATTATATTTTACATTAAGGTACAAAAGAAAATGTGGAAATGTTATCCTGTATCAGTGGAGACATGTAATTTAAAAAATATATATTATTATTATATTAAATCATGCACTCTGATTCTGTTGTGTCTGTGATTCTGTTGTGCTACTAGCGGCTAACGTAGCCTCAAGCCACCAGTCTCAATGCAGCGTGAGGAACAGAATGTTCAGTGAGCTTCACTTGTTAAGACTTTATTTTCAAACTTTCACTCTTAGTTCCCCACCGACGCCGACTCAAGTGACATGACTTAAGAAACCCGGCTTCCCAGCAGTAAAAGGTGCTTTATACGGAAGGAGAAGCCACCGGCAGTCATTCAACACCTGTCGACGTGTAGTCGATAAGTTCCCCCTTTAAATGACCATTGTGAAGGATTAAGTGGCGTCTTGTGGGTGAGGTGACAGATTCTCTCCTCCACCCTCTTTTCCAAGCCTGTAGACGAAGCCTCAGAGGTCTTCACTGTAGAACATCTCAGGGTTTAAAACAGATGTTTGGCGAAATACAGAGTGCCTGCGTGGCCCTCTAGTGAGAAAGAGTTTAAAGAAGGTCGGCGCTCACCTGGAAGGAGGAAAGCTGTGGCGGTGTGCGCTTGGGGCCGAGCCTTCTTGGCCACGCTGTCACTCGCACAGATGAGGACGGCCTCGTTGGGGGACGAGGAGGAGCAGGGGTCCAGAGGGGGGCGGTCGGGTTCCTTTGGTAGAGCCTCCACGTTCACTTTGGCACTCATCACGGCGTCCCTGTCCTTTACTCCGGAGCACTGCGGAGTGAAGAGCATGAGGGACAGTGCTCTCAAAGGCGTCACGGGGAAGCATCGTGGTCACGACCATTTAAACGCTCCTTTAAATGTATGACCCGACTAAAAAGTTGTGGATCCTCACCCTGCACATGTTTCCTTTTGAGTTATTTAATTCTATAATTTCATTTTTCTTTTATCAGTGATCAATAATAATGGTATTACTACAAGGCACAGTGACAATAGAAACGTAAAGGCCACTTTGTGGCATTTCTCAAAATTTAAAAATAAATCACAATTTTTAGACGTATAAAGGCTCTGCTTTTTTCTTTTTGCTGAGAAATGTGGATTAAGATTCAAAGTGTATTCAACAATAATTTCCCCAATTATTAGATCATTCTTATATTGATGCAGAGTGATGGCAGAGCCTTCCTGCATCAAAAGCCATGACCCCGTGTGACTTTCCAACAGCCATCCATCCAAAAGGCAATAACGGTGAAACACCAATATTTACGCACAAGCTGAAGTCCAGGGAGACAAAAACAAACACATTTCAGTTAAAATGGCGGAGGGAAACACATCCGGTAGGCAGTTTTTTTTTAATAATAAAAGCAGTGTCTCAAACCCTGTGAAAATGTCTTTTAGCGAAAAATGAAGGCTGTCCCCCATTCCAGCTGCATCTGAGATGAATGAGCAGCATTCACTCGTCACAACAATGTAAAGCGCGTTACATGTGCCAGTAATAGCACGACAGTTTATTTCAAAGTATTTAACTGGATTGGTTAGTGAGACGCGTGATGCCTCAAACACACATTTAAAAATGGAAAGCAATTGTGGTTGAATACATCCTGAACGCCAAAAAATGCTTTGCCCTTAAAAAACACATTTACACCGGTTCCTTTAAAACCGTTGTGATTAAAAAGGAGGTTCCGACCCGTCGGAATAGGAGGAACAATTAATAAATGTGAAATAAATTCGTGGTTTCCGATCAATTCGGAACTGAATTTTGGCTTACCAGCTATTATCTCCTGCGGCTCCGGGGCTCGTAGTGCGCATGCGCGAGTCCACCGCACAGTCACCGCTCGATGCCTTTAATATAAAACCGAGAGACTTGGAGCGCGTCCGCTCCGCCATCGAGATGTGGACATAATGGAGACAATCGATTAGCTGGGGGAGCAGTGAGCGCGAAAGCTTATTTCAAACAAATTAAAAATATAGCCGCAACATGTTAGTTTATCTTTGCCATAAAAAGGCCGCCCTGCATTGAAAGGCAATTATATAATTATCAGGAAATAGGTCATAGCGATACCGCAGATGTTTCATGTGACGTGGACAGAAAGTAACACCAGAGGCAACGAGCATTTCGTTAAGATTTTTAATTGATCATACAATAAAAAAAAATAAAAAAAACCTCATTTGCACCGAAAAGAAATCTCCACAAGATGGAGTGGGGGAGGGTGGAGCCGTAAACTTTACACAGCGGCTTAAAACAAACCCGTAACCTTTGAAATAGAGAAAAGTATTTAAATTGTTCACAGGGGATGCAATGAAAACTAGCCGGTGAGAATAAGACAAACGGGAAATTGCATTAAAGTCATTGAAGCTCTTAAAAAAAAAAAAAAAAAAAGGATTTCTCACATATTTCCTGCCCATAGGTGCAAAAAAGTCCAACAAAAATCTTTTCGAAAGCTGATGACATTTATGTACAATGTTATGAGATCGTAGGTTCTCCCCAAGAATATTGTAAATATGCAGTATGACTTTCTGCATCCCAGGTGTATTTTAGAGTACCGCAAAAACAAATTAAAGAAATTGAGACGTCAGTTCAAAATGGGAAACTGCTACAATGATCCAGCAATACGCTACTTTTCCCCCCAAAAAGGAAATCTTTACCGTTTTGGCGTTTGATGGATGCTGCAGGTGTGAATGGGAAGGCATTTAAGTAAACTAGATTGATCTACAAACAAACAGACTTACCAAGTTTACCAGATCAAATTCATGTTATTTCCCCCCCGCTGAGACAGACGATACGGAAACTGACTGGTGCATCCTTTAATGAGACTGAATCTTAGATATGTTAAGAGAAGTGAACACTTTGAGAACAGCAGACAGAGCAATTAAGCCGAAGCCGCTAAAGGCGAGACTGCTCACTATGTACAGCAACGGGATCAAGCTCGCCAAAGAGACAAACGACCCCCTTTGTTTTAAATTCCACTAATCCCGAGAGGCTGATCTAGACCTTGAGCGAGACTTTGAGCGTGAGGCTGAACGTTTTTCCCTGGACTTGGATCGGCGGTCGTCCTCTCGAGGAGACGGGGAGCGGGACGGAGACTTGGCGGCAGGCTCCTCCACCCCGTTAGCCATCGGGGACACCGAATGACTGCGGGACCTTTCGACGGACATCTCCTTGGAACGACTGCGAGAATCACGCTCAGACTTCACCTTTGAACGGCTCTTAGAACGGGACTTGGATTTCCGGTCAGCTGAGCGCGAACGGGATCTGGGGGAGCGCGAACGGGACTTTGCCTTCCGGTCAGCTGAGCGCGAACGGGACTTTGCCTTCCGGTCAGCTGAGCGCGAACGGGACTTTGCCTTCCGGTCAGCTGAGCGCGAACGGGATCTGGGGGAGCGCGAACGGGACTTTGCCTTCCGGTCAGCTGAGCGAGAACGGGACCTGCGGTTGCGAGACCTTGATTCCCTTCCTCCGGACTTTGAGCGAGACTTCCTTCCAGATAGAGAGCGGCGACGCCTCTTGTTGCTATGGGAACGAGACCTGTAGGGAATAAAAATTAAATAATGTTTTACCCAACTGCTACTTAAAAATATCCATTCATTTTTGGTAAAAGCCCCAATACAAAAGCTCCTTCTACGACCATATTTAAAAGGCAAACTGTTCTGTATTTGAACCTTATTTTTGTGATCAGACCGTCTCACCTCGAGTGGGATCTGGAGCGACTCCTGGAGCTCCTGCGGCTCCTGCTGCGACGACTCCGAGATCTAAGGGCGACAGGACAAAGTTTAAAAAAAACTCTGCAAGATATCCGTGCTACCCAGGTCTGTTAGGAGTTCAGCGCGCATCAAGTGAGCTGATGCGCTGTTCCCACCTGGAGCGGCTGCCGGAGTAAGACCGCCGTTTGCGAGGTCGTTCCTCCACAAGACGAATCTTCCGTCCATTAATGTCCGTGCCATCCAGCTTGTCAATGGCCCTCCTCAGGTCCGACTCGGAGCGAAACTCGATCACACCCTCATTGGTGCGTTCCTTGTGGGCATCTGCGTAAGTCACCTCTCCTGCTTGACGCATGAAGTCCTTCGGGACCAAAAGAAAAAAAAAACGTTCAAAAGAAACAAATATGCAGACAATTCCACTGCGTGAGCAGTTGAGGTTAAAATAGTTCAAACCTTTCACAAAACCAACATAAAGCTATAGTTGCGTGTTCGTACCTTGAGGTCTTGCCAACTGCAGCGGCTGGACAAGTTCTCCACGATGAGGCGGTACTCAGTACGGACCGGGGGTCCGTACTTGTCCCTGCCAGTGCGGCTCCGGCTGCTGTAACCGCTACCTTTAAGAATAACAGCAATATGGGCAAAAGTTAGAAATGGCCGAGACCATTCATATAAAATGAAACCAAGGCAATGGCCTGCCAGACTAAAGTCCAAGGGCGTATAAATTTGAACTTAATGACTGAACCCATTATCAAAACAAAGCTTCAGATAAATGACTAGTGGCCACTGTGAGAGCTCTTTGTAATGCTTTGTATTCAGCATTTTGACGTTGTTCTCTGCTGAAAAGAACACCACTGCATCGTTTTCCGGCCAAACAAAGCCTGTCTTACTCCGGATCATCACACTGTGATGGTTAAGCCGCATAAACAAATGTGACAGTGATGTTCTTTCAAGAACTCCGATCCCTGTAACACAAACAGAAAGCAGGTATCCACATAGATTGCGGTCAAGGAGGCTGCTCGATCAAATTTATAAAGTATGAGGTAAAGATAGAAATACACCGATCTTTTGGCATTTGACCAGATGTCGGCCTGAAAATTTGTTTTCCCAGTCCTCTCACTTACAACATTTGGGTCTGTAAGTTCTTTACTTGAGCCGCTCCACTTATGTTTGCTGTCAACATAAAAACCAATGGCAATCCTCACCATCACCCCTGGTCTATTGGCAAAAGGCTGCTGTCATCATGGCTTCCGGTTAGGTCAGCCAAGGATCAAGGGGGTCAAAGGTCACACACACATTGTAAGGTGAAAGCCAAGGCCAAACGGGACAGGCAGTCATCTTAGCCAGTCATCTTTAGCCTCAATGGACTCTCAGCCTCAGCCCGCAACTGGACTCTTTCAAATTGAAACATCAAGGACTTTTGTTAATGTGGAATATAGACCAAAGTTAAAAATACACATTTCACATGAAAATGTTCTAAAAAGTTCTACTGCTAACTCTACAACGGCACTTGGTTTGTAGTGATAATTTGCAATTAGCTTTCTTCTGTGGTGAAAACAGAAAATGTCTAAGCCTTAAATACATGACTTGCCAAACTAGCAATCATCACCCAAAGGAACTTTGCAATCTGTTAGGAAAGCAAGCAATCTGACTTCTGCCATTTGAGGTTTCTGCCTTGCATATTATTTTTCCACCCCGGTAATGAACTACGGACCAATCAAGGGTGGCCCATGATCACTAGGGAGGAGCAGAAACCGGCATGTCACCCCAGGATGAGGGGATGAGATGAGATTTGTTCAGAAGAATGAGGATGAACAAGCAAAAAAAAGAAACTTTGTGAGCAAGATCAATATAAATCCAGAACTTCTCCATGGGAGGTGGGGGGTTACATAAATGCATTAAACATAAGGTTAGACCTACAGATAATGTGACAGCAGCTCCCAAAATTAGCATCTGAGCCACAGTAAGCATGCAGTCACGTGACACTATCGCGGGGCGGTTGGGATTATAAACCGTGGTAGTGCACCTGAAATAATCACAGTGTAAACGGATCAGTTAGCAGAATTAAGAAACCACATACGGGCTCCCCGTGCAGTCCACATCGACACCTCACCCGAAGGGGGAAGCGAGGCCATCTCGTAATAGACTGCACTTACTGCGCCCACCACCCAAGTGACCCCCACCGTAGCCATCTCGATCTCGCCGCGGCCCGCGGGCGTTTTCCACGATCACCCGCTCCCCGCACAGCTCCTTCCCGTTCAGCTCGTACACGGCGTCGTCGGCGTCCCGGTTATCCTCGAACTCCACGAAGCCATAGCTGGAACGGAAAGACACCGTTAAACAACAAATAAAATACACAAAATACAGTCCGGGCCGCCACGAAAAAGCACAGCGGGTGGTGTCGTGTGATGAGATCGCTGGCGCCGAACAGGCTGACCAGCTGTGCGGGTGCGCGGGCCGCGCGCACTGCAACGGAAACCAACACTAAGACGCCATGTTGGCCACGCGACGTGCGAGCCGAAGTTACGGAGTCAGCAAAAACAGCGGGAAAAAAAAGATTTAAAAAAATATCGGGTTTAAGTTTACAAAACGGGCTGGTCGGCTGATGAGGAAACATGTCCGCCTAAAAGCGCAATCTGCTTTAAAGGACTAAAATAGTGACGTGAAACGTGGCTCGCGCGGACGGTTCACGTTACGTTAATGCTAGTTAGGCGATGTCAGGAAATATCATGTTGCCGTCAAATACTCACCCGTTCTTCAAATCGATCTCCATGAGCTTTCCATATCCGCCGAAGAACCGCTCGATGTCTTTTTCGCGGACATGGTAGCTCAGTCGTCCGATGTAAACGCGAGGCATGATGTCCGGCGTTGTTCTCGATTGTTCTGCGCGGCCCGTTACCAGCTGGAAGGAGGGAGTCGTTGGCTCCGCCGAAGCTTCTGCTTCTTCTTCTTCTTCTTCTTCTTCCTGTTCCGTTTCTTCTTCTTTAGTATTTCAAAGCTGGCAAACTTGTTCAGAGGCGCATTACCGCCACCAGCCGGCCGGCAGAAGAAGACAGACAGGAGACCATGGCCGCTTCCCTCCATAAAACAATTACAGGGATTGGCTTTTTGCTTTGGGGACGAAACTGAACGCTGCTTCTCCGCGTTTAGTTTTGACTCCGGGAACAGAAAGTAGGTCAGTCCCAGACGAGCTACGAGTTTGTGGCGGGTCATGAGGTATCAGCAGATCAGAAATGTACTTTGGCCCTAAACCACCCAGTGCTTTAAACCAGCAGGAGGATTATGAAGTCACCTATTTGCTTGACAGGAAGTCAGTGTAAAGAGACCTGGAATGATGTGATCCACTTTCCTGGTCCTAGTGAGGACGTCAGCTGCAGTGTTCTGCATAAGCTTTTTCAAAACATGTTGAAATATAAATCCTCTAATCCTTAAAATATTCTTTGGGTAATAGTAGGCTGCTTTTGTAACTGCCTTGATATGGCTGTTCAAATGAGGTCAGAATCCGTAATTACACCTAGAGGTCTGGCTTGGTTTGTAGTTTTTAACATCGGTCATTGAAGGTTCAGCACTGACTTTCAATATTTCATATTTTCAATTACTTGTGTTTTGTCTTTGTTTATTTGAAGAAGGCTTTGGCACATCCAGTGGTTGATTTGTTCAATGCATTTACCCAGGTGTCGTATTGAACTGTAGCCCCCTGGTGATATAGTTATGTCAATTTGTGCGTCATCTGCTAAACCATGATACATTTCTTTGTTCCATAGTTTGAGCTAATGGAAGCATGTAGATGGTGAACAGAACATACTGTATTTTGCACTTTGAAGTAGTACATGTTCTATTGTTTCTGATTGGTAACAATGTGCAGTGTGCAAGGGTTGCTTCCCCAGTGCTTATTGGAATGAAGGGTATCTGTGTAATTATGTGACTAAAATATCAGATATATAAATGTACAAGCATCTAGGCCCAATTTAAAATGCGTATACTTAATATTTTGCTCGGTGAGCCATCATTGACTTGTCTCTGGTCCCCATGGTTACATTTTTATGTAATATTGAACTAGTTAAGAGGCAAACTGTACAAAACTAAACAGAGAGCAGCAATGGAGAGAGAGAGAGAATATTTTATTTTTGTAAAAAACAGGTTTTAAAATGATTCCAGCTAGTCATACTAATCCACATCCTTCTCAAACATCAACAGAACCAACGTCATGTATCATAACCAGTATAACTGGACTGAAGCGCCTCGGTTAGTCGTGCCCGCTAGCTTGTGGTGTACATCTTTTGAAATCCTTTAAGAGGTGTTTAGAAGCTCAGAAGCTGTTTTTAGAGGAACGCATTTGATTTCCAGGACAAGCATGAGCTCAAATTAACCAGCTCTTCTTGACAAAATGAATATTCATTTTCACACCAGATCTTAAATGGATGATGAAGTGTGTTCTTAACTTTAGTCAAAATTAAGCAACATTGAAGTAAAACATTGCTCATCAATTGGATGCCTGTCCCTCAAACAATCCTTTCCAAGTGTTGAGTGAGAAGTCGCTCTCCCCTTCATCGTGCCCTAATCTTCTGAGGTCACCTCCTGCTAATAGATGATGAAGATGAGGTCTGTTGGGGAGGTGTCAGACTAGTAGCAGTGACAGATCTTCCTCCGTGTACTATCCTATTTATCTTTGATATGCCATGGCGGAAAATCCCAGGCAGTTTTGTTTTTTAGGACAAGCCAGAAAAGGGAAACGCAATCTTCAATCTCACCTCGTGGCTACAGTTATCGCAGCGACACTGCTTTGTCACTGTATCACAACGTAACTGTAAATTGGCTGGTTGCATGGAGAAATCCATTCCTTATGCAAAGAAATCGCATCTCTTGTGCATGTTAAGTGGCAGAGGAAAGAATGAAGATCTCAAATCACATCTGGCAGGAATCAAAAATCACAGCAAATGGGGAGGAAAAAAAAAAAAAGAAGAAACCTATGGAGGTGGAGAGTTAATCAGCCACACAACAAATGAAATGCAACCAATAGTGTATGATGTACACACACCATCTGCTCACGGTGCCTGAACCCAATCCGTCAGCTTTAGATACTCTCTCACTCCCTGCCCTGTTGGGCCACAACACAACTTAACAGCCAAACCCTCCCACAGTTCTATCCAGAGAGTCTTTTTAGCGAATCAGAGGGGCATCAGACCCCAGCTTCGGCTCCTCCGGGTGGTGGAGGGGGGGAGAGGCCGAGAGACGGGGGGGGCCAAGCTTAGGTGGTTTTCAGTTGGCTTTTGCGCGCAGCTGCGCCCTCTTGCCCGTCACAGCCTGGAAGCCGGTCTTGATGCTGGCGACGGAGCAGCGGGAGTGGCACGTTTCACACTGCAGGAAATAGAGGCGAGTGTCTTTCTGCAGGATGGTCTCCGGGGAGCGGCAGGTGTGACACGTCACATATTCCTCTGCGGGATCAAGGGAGACAGTTCTTAGCATCGCAATACTCCCAGAACACAGTTTTATAAATGTTCTGTTAGACGTTCTCAGTGCGGAGCCCATGAAAGGCATGTTGGGGACGGAAGTTTTTCCCATTTCGAAGCAAATATAACTTTATATCTTCTTTCATAGTTTCGGAAAAACGGCAATAATGTTCGACCACAGTACGACAGATCGTCTGTGCTCTTCCACGTAGAGGCACATGGTGTTCTAGGTCATCTGATAATCAAGATGTTTGCACGTCGATGTTTATAATGTTTGTGGTGGCAAAGATGAATGTCTACATCTGCGGTCGACTATCAGCACATGGGTTTTGCCGATGAAGCCCCCCCGCTTTAGCATGTTTATCTTCCAACTATATTCCTGCCTATAAGATGAAACCTTCGAGTAGGCTTGGCGCATGACTTGTATGTGTGTACGTGTGTCTTCTGTTTTGATGATTTTACACCGTTGTCGAGTGAGAATAGACACATAACTTATATAACTAGCATATAACTAGCCATCTCTTTCTTTGGGATTTTCATCCCTTATATAGAATAAATAAAGGTTACATTTACATAATAGATCTATAATAAATGTTATACTACATTTTTGTATTCACTTCAAGAACTACATACAGACATTAGGACAATAAGATTACATTAGAAAAAAGAGGCTAAAACTAAAGCCGTTGTTTCTAAAGTCCTATTAGATTTGCATGGACTATAATTAACAGCTACTTACTGATATATCTTCTCAACACGTTCTCTATCTGTTTCTGTTGAAATCTGCCTTTGATCACAAGCTGGTTATTTCCGTCTATGGAACCACTGTGAACAGAAACAAAAAAACAAGACAAATTTGACTTCACAGCACAAAAATGTTTCATTTTATTTAAGAAATGTGTGCATAAAAACGACACAAAATCCAATTACTGCGTGATCAAGCACTGTGATGGTCATTACAAAAACGTACCTTGTTCCCAACTCGGCCAACAGGAAAGCGAGAAGATGTTTAGGCTGACGATGCAACCTGCGATGAAGTACATGAAAAGTCAGTTAGTACACAGAATGTTAAAATGGTTGTTTTTTTGACTGGCATAGACAGTCGTGGCCTGAAAGGTGCGTGTGTGTCTGCAGGGAGGCTCACAGTTTGCAGATGTCTGTGAAGTTGACGAAGGAGGTTTTCTTTGTTCCCACTCGGACCACCTGAGGAGGCTTCATCACAAACTTCCTCTTCTCTCCGGCCACCATGTCCGGATTCTTCTCTCTCATTATGTTGAAAACTCTGTTCAGCAGCTGAGACATTGAAGCAGCCAAAAGTTACGCCAAATACACATTTTTTTATTGTAGAATTTTCTGACCGATAAGGCCACAGGTTTTTAAACACAGGGCCAAGATTTGTTTAAATGGATTGAGTGAGGAGAGTATCGGTACAACAGAAATATAAAAAGGTTGCTATATCTACATTGGAATGAAAAGAAAATGCCCTAAAGTCAGGGTGGCGGCTACAATTCGAGCCCCATTTTTAAACCCATATTATTTACTTTTTAGCAATTTGGCACATTTAAATGGTGCAGAATGAACTATTAGCAGTTGATGTGCAGACTATGTATATTCCACTATTAATGGGATTAAATCTTAAAAACATGATCATTCTCATGCCCGTTCACAACCTAAAAACACTGTTCTGGATATAGTTTTAAGTTTACATTAAATAAGGATAGTAAGCATTGAGATACGCATCTCATTTTTAGCTACATTTTGTTTTTTTCTTTGATCTAGCTTGCATTACATTTGGGTGGATGAAAATAATTTTCATCTGCATCACATCAATTTAGAAGGTGCATATTCCAATTTGCCGTGACACAAACAAGCGGCCTTTCCTCGTGTAAAATAGATTTTATAAATAATAAAATGGCTGTGTAGGTTTAGAGTGGACCAACCTCATCATAAGTGTAGTCTCTTTCAGTACCGGCCCAGGTTGGTCCTGTTGAGGAGCTGAAGGAGATCCCATCGTCCTTCTTCCCCTCATCATCCTCCAAAACTGGAAACAAAAAAAAAACGATTAAACACGGGTTATATTAGTTATCCGCTTTCAATATTCAGTGACTCATTCTCACCGTCATCAATCTCCAGCATCTCGCCCTCAACAAAGTCCACTTTTTTGGGCTTCTTCTTTTTAGCCGGAAGCATCAGGTCCAGGATGTCCTCCTCCAGCACCTCGGTTTGCTCGCCTTCAATTTTCAGCTCCTGATTTGAAGGAACGAGGTGAGATTTAGCGGGGAGATGAGTGATGAGAAGGTTAAGACAAGAGAAAGGAGAGCATATGGAGGGAAAAGATAGACATGGACAACAAGAAGTGATCAGAGAGAGAGAGGATGGGAGCTAACAGGAAAAAACAGACTACAAGTGATGAAGGGAAAGAAGAGACGCAGTTACTGACCTTTAATCCCTCCTCGACATCGTTATCAAATACTTTCTTGGGTTTCTTTTTCTTTTTCTTCTGGTTGATGAAGTTCAAGTCGTCCAGATCATCAGACGGTTCTAACGAAGACAAAACAAATTCTGCTTAATCCCAATTGAATGCAGGCTGGTGGATTAACACAATGTAATATCCTCCATGAAGAAGGATGCACAGAGTAGTCTCTTCTCTTCTTCTAACCTTTCTTCCTGCTCTCGTCTTCATCTAGATCCAGCTCCTTGTCCTCTCCAATCTCTGGTTCTGCTTCCTTCGCCTCCACCTCTTTAGCCTCCTCTCCTCCTACCCCCTCGCCCCCTTCCTCATCCAGCATGAAGGGCTTCTTCTTCTTCTTCTTCTTCTTGGTCATGTTGGGGTCAAAAATCATCTGACAGAAAAGAAATAGGAAAAAGAAAATGGAGTTTTACAACTGACAAGTTTCTGACTTTTCCCCCTCGCTCAACCAATTGTGTCGTTCCTTTTGGACTTCTGTAATTATTGATATTCATGTTGAGGGATTTTAAATGTTTTACAATTTTTTCTTACAACACATTTAAAAAAGCTGTAAACATTTAGTCAGCGTGACAAGATGTGTGAACAGATTGGACAAAGGCAAATTTTTTTCATGGGACTGAACATGTTGTCATCATTCAGGATCCTCTTATAAACACAGCAACTTAAACCCCAGCCAGCCATGACCGAAGTGTGCAGTAATAAAGTACATTACTGGAAAACAGCTGATGGAAAGTCAACAAAATTCCTCTTATATAAGAAAAAAACGTAAAGGTTTTGGACAGCATATGATCCAAAACAAGAACCATGAATTTGTCAACTTCTGTGAAATGTCATTTATCCGACTAATGGTTGTACAGTTCTCATTTAACTGAACTGACGTGAACTCCGTGAATCGTTTGACTGTCTTCGCTGAATAAAACCAGCTAACGTTAAACCACGGGAATCCATTTACGGAAATCTCAAATTGCATTAAAAACCTTTTAATCGATTAAAACCGTTAAGAAGGTAAAATATGTATTAGGGAGCCCGCATCTCCATTCTGCCGGTTGCAGCTGTCACGACTCCGTCATCGTTTCAGCCCGGTAGCCTCCGCTTTTTGTTCCTGGTAGAGAACATCGTCCGCTAGCGCCGCAGCTTCGTTGCTGCTAACGGCAGCTAGCTACCGGTAGCTAGCTATATTCAAACCTTCGATACGAGTATGAAGCATTTGTGACAGGGCGGATTGATGACACGCGGTGAGAAAAACTAAGATAAGATTTATCGCGACATAACATAGTGGCGTGAGGTTGCAGGATATTTTCTGGACATTGTGTGGTCGGGTTAGCTCGGCTCCAGCCATGTGAGAGATGGTGCGGATAGGAAGGGGAGCAGCAGCTCGGAGGCCCAAAGTCATCCTCAACACCGATTCGACCTGATATTTCACGTTTTTTCCCCCAAACAAGCCCATACACCAACTGCGATTAAACAGAGAGTAACTGTAAATGGCTCACCTCGTCTCCTGACATTTTTGCGGGCTGAAAAGTGACTGAAATCGGGCTAATGCGTGTCCCTTGAACAGTACCACAATGCTGCGCCGAAAATGTCTTGCATCAGCGTTAGATGTGCAGTGCGCAAGCGCGAACTCTAAATCCCGACGTCATCAATTTGCGACGACGCGTCGCATTTGGGTGTTCAAGAGCAGAGTTGAAAAACAAATCCGATGCTTAAAATGTCTGTTTATATTTATTTACGGATAATGATTGCTTGGCTTTTTTAAAAGCATAATTTTGTAAAGCACCTTGTGACTTGGGTTTGAAAAGGATCATATGAATTGTCCGTAATTCTAGTTATTAACGGAGTATTAACTTGAGATGTAATTTATGATAACGACAATTTCTGCTCTTCGCCCCCCAGTGTTTAAGTATAACATGCTAACTATTTATATCATAATGAAGCACACCTCAACTTTCAAAATGTATACATGTTAGCCAATAGGCAAGAAAAAGCAATTAACAGTTATGCCTCTGTTCGAGCTAAAATGCCACCGTTGTCTCGGACAGTTAATTTTATAAAACACCTTTCGCGGTTTGTAGCAGCTGGTCGAACAATACCTCGATCTGTGGGACGTTGTGATGGTTTAAAATGTTAACATATTATAAATGACAAAACTACCATAAAATAATTGAAAACCTTTAATGATTTTGCAAATAATATCATCATCTGGATAAATAAAACAAATGCAAACATGCTTGTCCATCCATCCTCGTTTTTTTCTATGTAAAAAAACTCCAAAATAGTGTAGATTAGAGAGATTAAAATCGAATCTTTTCGATATCTCCTTAAAGATGCAGTTAATAAGATGTGACAATAGTTAATTTCTTTTATCAACATTATACAATTTGAAAACAAAAAAATGGTATGAGTATAAATAAGACAGACAGAGTAGGAAATGAAAATGTTTAACATCTCTCTTTCTAGCCGTGCCTTGTGATCTGTATTGGGATTTATCCATTGTTGCATGCTTCACACACCCTCAACACAACCTCGCAGTGATGGCAGAAATACAGTATATAAAAAGAGACACATTTGGGATATTTACACCAAATAACACAAACCACTGGTGAGAATGCCTTTGAGGGAGGGAGACGTCGCTATCAATGGCGACAGGAGGGTTTAAAAAGGACAAAGCACGCAGCCGTAAACAAAAGAGGTGGTTCGAATTCTGGCAAACAAACAGCTCATAGCTCATTCGACCAGCTCATGCTCAGCTGTTCTCCTATTTTCAACTGAATAAACAAAAAACAAGGGAGCAAAGGACTGTTATTTTTGTCATGAGGGGGAAAAAAGACATCTAGCCAGTTTAACGCCACAAAACACAGATAAATATGTGAGTCAGAAGCCGATCATTGAGGATCTATGAAAATTCCCCTGTCATCCAATAATATTAACAATGCCATACAGCTTGCAACACCTATCTGAGCACAACTCCTTTATTGCACCACAGAGCTCATACGATGACCCCTCAGTAGGAACTCTCTGGGTGCTAAAATAGCCCTGCCCAGTACAACGACAATTAAGTGCTAGCATTGGGTTAAAATTCAGGGTAAAAATATTAGTGTTACTTAGTTCAAGTAGAGTGATGGAGCTTCAATATAAAAGCCCCTGTCTCATCTGCTGAACACCCAAGGGTCTCTGTATTTGTGATGGGGACAGAATAAAAACAATAACTACAGCATTGTCGCTTGCTAGAGTTACATAAAGTCAGCTCTCCTCGAACACACAAAAATATACTCATACACAACATCCTATCAGTCCATTCATTCCCCTTTGCTCCTTCCTCTTCCCTCTCTGATGCAGGTATGAGGTGGCAGACGCTGCGTCTACATGGCTTCCATCGCCCAGCGCTGCAGGTCCTCCATGTCGTCCTCGTCCTCTTCTTTCCTGGCTTTGGGGTGAAAAGTAGAAATGACAGTTGTAAGATATGTGCAGTGACTCTTCCACACCTAATCCTGAACAACAATCAACCACCTCAATACATTACTGGCGGATAAGAACACACACGGTCCCTTCTTTATAATGCTTTTTTATCGTACACATGCTTGGTTTTTTGTGACACTTCAAACTCTATAATATGTTTATTTCTAATCTAAGGGTGGTTAGAGCACTTTAACATTGGTGGGTGTGTTCAAAAATGTACTTGTCAAGCTGAAAGTATAGTGTCAATGCATAAAAAAAACTTCTCATTTAACTTCAAGCAAAAAGCAATTAATCATATTTCCCAGTGTTGACTATTCCTTTGACTGAAAGAAAATAAAAAAATATACATAGAATATAGTATTTTATCAGATAAACAATTGTTGGGAAACAACAACACAGTAGTTCACGCAATATCACTAGAAAGTCATGGAGTTTGTGACCTCACAGCAGACGCCTTGATAAGTAACTTGTGTGTGCGTTATATGAACTACACTGAGACGCAGACCTTGTGTGTGTGTGTGTGTGTGTGTGTGTGTATATGTTATCATTTCGGTGAAAAGTCAAAAGTCTCCTACCAGGTCTGGAAGGTAATGAAGTAGAAGGCACGTTGGGAAGAGGGACGTTCTCTGGCCCCCCGATCTCCAGCAGGTTTTTGTCCAACTCCTCCTGTTCCAGCTCATCCAGCTCCGCCAGCAGCTCATCCTAGACAAAGACAGAACAACACTAAACTTGAGGATAATCACAAACAAACAAATTTGTGCAAAACTAAAACCACAGTATGCATCTTAAATGAAAAGAAATTATGATATTATTAATGTTTCACAAAATTCAGGGGGTGTATAATTTAGTCCTAAATCTTGTGCGCCTCTCCATGTGGCGAGTTTAACTTCTCGCTGTTAAATACCAACAATACGAATAATAAATACTTGAACTAAGTTGACTGAGAATTTAAGAGAATTCATTCCTTCTGCCATACTGTCTCCCGATGACTCAATACGGCCAAGTTGGTCCATAAATAAGAGCGTTGAAAAATAACGAAGCCTTAATGTCAGAGTAATGACCCCAAAAGGGGAACAAACCGACCCAACTGGTGATGTGGTTATCCCACGTAAATCATCAGCCCATCACTCATTACCGTGAATTAAACAGCCAGCTCACCTCATCAAACTCCTCTCCAAAGCCGACAGGTTTAGAGATGGCGTCGGAGATTTCCTGGGCCAGCTCCTGTTGCTCTGTAATGTCCTGCATTAGGTCGTCCACCTTGTCAATGTCCCTGAAAAACAAGCAGGAGATGATTCGTATATAAAGAAAATAGAATCACACACACACCTTTGTGTAACCCCTTTAAACCGAGTCGGGCAAGTTGGCAGACATAGAACCATGTTATTTTTAACAATAAGAATGTTACATATATTCAAATATGTTTTTAATCATGTCACCTATATCACAATAATACCTATTGCTTGCTGCTTGGGATAAAGGAGGTATTGCTGCGTATGGCTCGAATGCTCTGCTTTTTGTTACAATGAAAAGCATTTTTAAATGATCTCTCTTTTGAGTTAAAAAAAGGCCGCCTCTTTTATCTCAACCTGTAATCCCATGAAGACAACATCAGTCCAAACCATAAAGCAATCAACACAATTGTAATGAACTCCATCAGAGACGGGGTGTTCCCTCTTACATGTTTTCGTGGGCAGACTTCATGGCCTTGGCTGCGAAACCCATGTTCTTGAGCACTTCAGTGTTGGTGTTGGCGTTCTCCAGAGCCTCTCTCTGGAACTCGATGGTCGACAGCGTGCCGTCGATCTGGGTGAGCTGCTTCTCATACCGCTTCTTTCTTTTCAAAGCCTGCAGGGCCGCTGAGGAGACAGAGACTGGAGTCAAAAGGATTGGACTATCCATAACAAAAAGTGTCAATCGTGGGGTTTGTTTTGTCCTTCAACAGCAATGGGAACCTGAAAAAGTGCTTAAACACTTAGATTGCATATTCTGTGAAATTACAGTGATCCATAACTGAGTGGAATCCTAAATATAATGCTTCCTCAGTGACCCATCATGTTGGTGACTCAGGTCGACAAGGAGGAATATTAGATACATCTGAAAGACACTTGACTGGCGAGATGGAAAATAGAAATGATTCAGCGCAGGAGTCACGCAACCAAAACCACAGATGGGCTGAAACTATAAGACGGTATAAAGACTTGGACTGGGTTGACTCATTCTGCCAAACTTTGTGAGGCAAAAGGAAGAAATAATCACTGTAAGATGAATGTATTCAAGCAAGGGAGAAGAACAAAGCTTTTTTAAAGGTATCAAATGCAGCTCAACACCAAGGCATCTGCAACTTCTTTAACAACCTTGTACAAGGAGGGGGCAGAGCAGTTTATCTATGACCCCACATTGCAATAACAAATTCGATTTTTTTACCACACTTAATCAATGCACGGGTCTGTCCACCCTTTTTGCTCAAGTACTGCACAATCGAGAGCAGCATATCTTATAATACAATTATCACTAATACCATCAGAGTCCTCATGAGATTTTTTTGGGGGGGGTTATGTTACTCATGAATATTCATCATCCATGAGGATTTCTTCTATTTTCCGTAACGTCTCAATCTGTATTATAGCACTATCGTCAGCTCTTTTCTCACACAATACTCATAATCAATTAACCAACCCCCACATTCACAAGCTGTCTTCTTCCTACAACAGGAAGGCACAGGTGCTTCGGCTTATATCTTGCTTTAGTATTAAGGGCTTCTGGTGACTGAAGTGCTTTGATATCGTGTCCTTGTAACATCAGCGACTCCAGATGCAGCCCAGATGTTTACTGAGCGTCCATCGGCAGCCCAACAACTGGAGCTGCACCGCTTGCCACACCTTTTACAATTTTTAAATGGCCCTCAAATCAATTAGCCGACAACAAACCACATGCCTGAGATGTGTGGGGGGGAAGACACGGCTACCCCGTTCCTGCAGGGACGAGAGGTCAGCGACAATCGTGAGATGATGACACATCGAACACAGTCTGAGAAGCAGCACGTATGTGGCAGGGCCGCGGTGAGGACGGCAGGTGGGGCTGCCAACAGTTCTGACAGATGGGGAAAGTTAGCCAACTTAGCTAACGTGGCTAATGTTAGCTCGGGGCTGGGACCAGGCTACCGGATGACAAAGCGAAGGAGCTGAGAGAAAGTACGCACTGATATCTCACCTCTTTTGTTTTTCGTGCCATTTTTTTTGGCAATTTGCAGCTCCTGTTCGATCTTTTTCTCTAGGAATTCCTGTTTCTTCGTTAGCATCTCCTCCGTCTCTCGGAGTTTCTGGATAGCCTCCTGTGGGCTCGGTCCCTTTCCTCCTTTTCCTCCTCCTCCTCCAAATATCTTAGCGAACAGCGACATTTCGGGGTGCTACAATTACAATAAGTATAAAAAAAAGAAATAAAAACAAATCTGCGAAACAGACGACAAAATCTAGCTTAGCTCCCTCGCTGCTAGGCTACACTGACACTTCGCCCTAGCCTGCAAGCTGCAAGGATTGTTGACGTTTTTCTACTTCCTGGATAAGGCCCAATGACGTCATGTTGCCCGATGAGGAGTGCGTTGATTGGTTGGATTTCTGTCTCCAACTGCAGCATTCGCTGTGTATTTTTTTAACTCGCTTATTGGAGCATGCGCTCTATCTGGGCCGTTTATGTCACAGGCATTTCATTACCAGGGTTGTGCTTCGTCTCATTCAATAAAGAGCTTCAATACATTTCTGGACTTTTCTAGGACCCGCACATGCTTGGTCCTATTGGCTCTGTTGCTGGGATACCGGTGAACCCGTGGCCGCACCCAAACCAATGACGTCACCGCAGGTGTTGTATAACAGGTGTCAGCTGCAGGCATATCGAAGGGCTCGGTTTCTGCAGGGACGGTTCTGTACCTGCAACAGCTCATTAGTGTGCATAGAAGTGCTGATTCCTTAAAGAAACCCACCATGAATAAACAGTGATTAAACTCCACGTGGATATTTGAGCTGTTCTATACAAAATGACGTAGGTGCAGTTTCCGTCTTCATCACTGTGTGAAACAGGATTTGTGACGTCGTCGCTAGTTTGAAAGCCAATTGCTCTTGTGTGACGAAGCCACAAAATTAGACGTTTGCATGAAGGTGGCAGTAAATGGTGGCTACTCACACTTTGTAATGGAGGTTATCTTTGAACAACTGTTTTCCCGTGAAGAATACACTTTAATATTTATTCCATTAAGAGCAGTTTGACATTATATTTAAATGTTCTGTTCCATTTTCTTTCAGTATCAAATTACCTCCTTAATAATGGCATTGGCTGAGTGGATCGGCACACGGGATGTTTTTGCTTTTACTATCGATCCGTTTTTGGAGCTTCACACTCACACTTTACAATCTAGTTTTTATCAGAGTAAGATTGAACATGAGTTAACTTTTCACAGAAGAACACAGTCGTGGGTTTATGCATTTTAATTCCTTATGATGCTACATCATCCACGATGGTTGTTTAACTATTTCTTTCCTTTACTACATTATGTTAATAACTTTGTCAGTCATTCGTTTAAGTATTTTATGTACATACAAAAGTGTATCTGATTACATCATTATGTGACTATCTTTGCACGTGTGGTTGCACTGATGCCTTTGTTTTGTCTCTTTAGTGTAGTGCGTGTCGACAGGTCAGTCAGTCAGCCACATTCCCACTTCTTGATCCCCAAGCTCCCTCAGGCAACAAAAATACAGATATTATTTTCTTTAACAACCTACTAAGATGGTCATGTGACACCCGAGATAATACAGCTGTGTTGTCTCAGCTATCTCACAACCACCCGAGCCCGACATAAAACAGAATAATCGAAGGGAAATAAACCGCACGCACAGAAACCAGACTCAAGATGGTCCCTTTTGAGAAAACGGTATTTTTTTGTTTTGCCAATTCTTCAACACAAATAAATCCAGGTCATTGCATGCAGACTGCAGAGTGGATACTTTATGGTGCATTTGGGTATTATGAACAGAAACATTGGACTACATAGAAGGAAAAAACTGCTGTAATATACTAAATGACGCAAATACAATACTCCATGAGAAAAATGAAAAAAGGTGGCCAAAGCGGTTATATACTGTATATTATATATTGAAAAGTGTGCGTTGGAAAACATTGGTTTTGCATGAAGTGTTTCGTTTTAAAAGGGGGGCAGGCAATTTGGTCTAGTGCCTCTCTTAGCCTGAGGAAGCAATTATCGAGAAAATTTAAGCGTTAACGGGAATCTCTGACATCTTGAACTAAATTACAGCTCTGCTTTTTTTTTTTTTTTTTTTTACTAGATCAACATGCAGCATAAATTCTTTATCTTAATTTAGATTTTGACATTTATATAGTTTTTAAACGGCATAAAGAAATATCAAGTTTTAATCTGATGTTCAACAAAGACCCCCATGTTTCAGTTGTGTGCCGGAAATCTGTTAGCATGAAAGTTACGTTTTCAAACCGCCCCTCACCCTTTGCTCTGAAATCGCCTTTCTCACCTCGCCTGAGATCTCACATACAAACGCCAACAAACTGTCACATCAACCCGCCCGCAGGAGGCAAAATTAAGAGCACACGCACACGGCTTCTACCGGCTCACATTTTTACCACATACTGTTTAGAAAACAATACATTGCGTTTCAATCTCAAAAAAAAGAGTATCACTGATCACTGGTGTTTACCTCTTTTTGTAGGTTATCAGTAATAAGTGGAGGAGAGATTATCAGACGAGTGTTAGATCTTTCTTATAGACAATGTGAAAAAGGAACTTGAAGACTTAATTGACAAAAGACTTTAGACATTCAGCCAGCGTGAAGCCACTTCCCACACACCAATAACTGTTACCTGTGCAAGTTGCGGAAGATCATTTAGGAAGGAGGGATGGACGGAAACAACAGATCAGAGATGGTGATTATTTCACAAAAGAAAAGGCCAGAACTGTGACAAAAACCCTCGCACTCATGGTTTAACTTGGGATCGCTCTGCTTCATTCTCTTCTTACACTTTAAATTATTTTCCATCCAGACAAACCATGATGATATTGCCTCAGATGTTTAAAAAAAAGAGGAAAAGAAAGAGAAACAAACATAAACCCCGAAGACGTCCCCGTTGCAGTCATCGACGCGTGTCCTGCCGAGCACGCCGTCCTCCCGCCTGTCACTGTCTGACTGTCTGTCTCTACAGGGCCAGTTTGCCAATGATGACTCCGATGACAAAGAAGAGGACGCAGAGGGCCAGGATGCGGGTGCTAAGGCCTTCGTCCCTCATGGCCGAGGTAGCCATGGCGGAGGAGGAGGAGGAGTGAGGAGAGCCCACTGAGGTCCCCTTTCTCTTCCGCAGCCCGTCGTCCTCCTGCGGGGAGGAAAAAGGATGGACGGTCAAACCGGCTCCACACCCACGCATGCACCCACGCACAACAACATTGTTGCCTAGGTGTGACGAGGACACAAGCCTCTAGATTAAAATGTAGAGTAGCATAGGTCTAACCGAGGCATGTTTGCCACAGCAAAGCATGGGACTTCTGAAGCAGATTACTTTGACAGTAAGTTTGCACAGTGTGACATTTTTAACAGCATACAGCTACTCTCCCCACAAAGCAATCGCAACACTGATAGCTGCAGCAGAAAGCAGCCTTTGGACTGAAGCTCTGCCAAATGCAACATATATGATCATTCATTTGAAGCATTTCGAGGATGCTGGACTAACGCCTGGAAGAGAGAACATTTTCACTGGGATTGGTACATAATGTCACCCAATACTTGAGAATAAATATTCCCCTCTAGATATACGATGGCCATCCTTTAAACCATATATTTATCTTTTTATTTTGTACTCGTCAAGACATTTCAAGTATTAAAAAATGTGTAAGGTTTGTTTTTACGCGCATCTCACCCTGATCTGTTTGTTTTCTTCCCGTAGCCGGTGCACTTCCATTTGCAGCCGCTTACACTCTTCCATGATCTTCTTCACCTCCCCGTCATCCAGCGAGGCACTGGTTGACTTGGGAAGAGCGGACAGCTCAGTCTTAACAGAGGAGGCAGAGGAATATACAGTTTGGTTGTTTTCACTCTCATGCTGTGGAAAGAGAAAGCGAAGATGGGGGAGGGCGGGGAGGATTTGGATGGGGGCCAAAGAGGCATGTGGAAAAGTGAAAGTGAAATGAAAAGACAAATAAATCATGAATGAATAAATAAGCATGTGATGGGTGATATGCTGCTGATGGGCAGCTAACAGAACACACTGTAAAAGCGGAAAAAATATGGACTAAAGAAAAATGCAATGGGAATGTTTCAATCTGATATGACTGATTTAAATCTAACATGACTACTATACGTTTGCGCACATTTAAACCTGTGGAATACACAAGGCAGCTAGAGAAATGGTGCCACTTAACGATTGAATGCTTACAAAAGACTTAGACTTACAGATTTGTCATTTTCTAGAGGCATCTCAAATGCACATCTCAACTTGGAATCCATCAGCTCTTCGGGTTTTGCCTCCTTCCACTGTGGGCAAGAACATGGAGAGGAGAGATAAGCAGGAAGATAACGCAGTGAAGACTCACAATCAGTTCTGTGGTCCTTTGATTTAATTAAAATATCATTACGTCACAGGAAATGCTCTACAATAATTATTTGGAACATTTTCCGGATTAGCGACACGTATTGTAAATGTTTCAGAGCAGTTTCTACACACAGACGGATGTAAACTTCGGTGTCGTTCATCCAGAGAAACCCAGGGGCAACAGTCACAGTTTATGGAATAAATAAATATATCAACAAGAATATAATCCCAGAATTGTATATGATGCTCTGATACTCACAACTCCTTCCATGTCAGTCATGCCGTACGGAGCCAGCATGGACTGCACCATGAATTTGTGTTTACTCTTTTCATTGGGATCGTAGTCAAACGGCTGGAGCATAACTGTGGACCAAAGGAATAAGAGAATAGAGAGGAAGAACATTAAGGGAAAGACTTCCTTTATTGGCCCACAATCATAAATCAACCCGAGAATAAAAAGATGTCATTCAGGGCTAAAGGGTTATAGCGTGATCCTGCTGGATAATTATTTGTTTAATCATTAACTATGCTCAAAATTAACATTAGAAATCCCTGTCATCAGTTTCACTGATAGAACTCAGGTTGGACAATTCATGTTGGCACTGATGGATGGATTGATAAAAAGCTTTAACACCATTTTGTTACAGCATTAAAAGATTGATACTACCTGCTTGGGTTGAACGCTGGTTGTATCACTCTTAGGCCTCTTTCTACTTGGCCATCCAATCCACAAGTGTACTTATCCCCATGATACCAAATACCTAGCACTAATTCAGACATACAACCCGATTCCTAATACAGATCACCACACTAATAAATCACTAACTTACAGATATCGGATTGCATCAGTACTAGACAATTATCTGAAGGGTGTTGATCGAAGATGTGAATATTTTTACGAACCAGAAACATTGACAGAGTTTCCAGCGTCAATGATGCCACTGTTTGGGCGCACACAGTATCTGCGAGGCGCGGTGGTCTTGACTTTGAAACACACATTTCTATCCGTGGGGTTGCTGAGCTTCAGAGTGGCAGTGACGACATCTGTAAACGGGCCTGAGGAGGACACAGAGAAACAGTGAATCTACACTTGTAGTTTGGGTTGTTGTCATTTGTGTGCCTGGATTGGAATCAATACTGACGTGTATGACGAAGTGAATACACATATTGAGTGTCTGCGAGGATGAATTCACAAGTAGTGTTTGTAAGGGGCTCCCCTGAGCCTGTCATAAACACTGCCCATTAAACATTTAAACAGTGGAAAAAGCAGCCGTGGCCAAGCGGCTTTTCAGGCCCTGCTCTCAGCCAAAACCTGGACAGGCTAGGAAAATTACTACTATGTTTTATGCCACTTGTGTAGCATGTATATGACCATCACACTGTGCCTCATTAGACTTTCTGGTCATGACATGTAACCCATTTTGAAAACCGAACCTTGGGTTTTAGAAACCGGTGTTTTGGACAACTAAGCTCAGTGGTTCCTCACCCTTCTGCCTACACCGAGCATCAGTAACAGAGTATGCGTATGCATCCCTTTTTTGGGTTATCTTTGCATTCAGAGCTTAACAAATATTAATCAGCGAAACCCATGACGCTGACTGAACCCATCAGTCTAGGCCATCACTTGACCCATTTCTACCCAAAAGCAGTCATCTCAGGATGCAGCCATTAACCCTGGCACACCAGCCAAGTCTGTATTTCTACATTCTTTCTTTCGGTATGGAGGAAAGCTGGAAAGGAATTTAGGTTGCACACTGAACGAAAACTGGCAAATCTCCTAAGCACAGCTTGCTAGATTAGAAACACCGTGAAATAACATCGGTAATGAGGTTAAGAAATGACATCCTGATCGCAGAAATTGCTGCTTGGCAGCCTGGTGTTCGTAACATCGAGAGGAAGGCGTTTGTCAAAAGCTTTACGTTATACCGGGGACTGGTGTTTTAGAAACTCAGAGAATCACATTAAAACAAAAAGAAAGGGTTTGAAGCAAATCAGTGAACGTGAATTAAGAGAAATGGCACGGGGGGGCCCTCCCTGACGCCGCAATGACAGCTAGGAGTTTGACTCGCTAGCTAGGTTAGCCGAATGCTATCTACCGTTAGCTAGTTAGCATCGTCGCACACAGAAACAGTGTCGTCTCATCTGTCATCCCCACTGCTGCCGTGCACACAACGCAGACTCCAGCCGACGCTAGCAAGGGCCGTCTATCGAATTAAAAACAAGTGCAACAACCAAACGTAAACAAACGTTAACTGGCCAATGCATACATCGCCTGGCTGTCATTTGGTTAACGTTAGCTACCTAGCCCCGGCCCTGCCCTCTGGCTCAGCGTTTACGTTACCTCTGAATTTCAGTTCATGTTGTGGCTCTAGCACCAGGACTTGTTCTGGTCTGGCCATGTCCCAGAGCTTCTTCCTGTCGTGTCAGCGGGGACAACAATAATTTACCACAGGCAACGGTGGCCCAAAGGAGGTGAAGCAACTGGCTCCCGGAGAAACAGCCCAGCCGCCCGAGGTGTACGTGTACCTACAGGAGGGACGGAAGAAACGGTTACAGACTGCAAATGCACCACCACTCGGACTGACTGAGTGCCACCGACAGCTGCTGGAGGCTAACTGCTAGCGCTAACTCTGCTAACAGCGGAGGGAGAGAGGGGAAGGGAGGTGACGTCACGCGAGGGCGGCGCCGGTGCCAAATGTCACGTGGTTGCTTGACCGTTGCGAAAACAAGTCGTTCCGCACTGAAAGATATCAAAAAAGAAACATCAGAAAAAGTTTCCAGGACAACATTTTTTGAGTTGTGTTTATTGGAACAAAATAAAACATTTGAAGAATAGCTGCTTCTGGCCTGTTACGGGCAGCTGCAAAACCATGAAAAGCTTTTAAATAATTATAACTAGCTGTGTATATATACACATATATATAAGTCTTAAATCAGTTCAAACTGTTGGGCGTTGGATTTTATCTGTGTTACACATAGAGGAATTTGGACTTGGTGCATTGGTGCAATAGAAGAATAAAACAAGATAAAGTAAAATAAGATAAAATAGCCAGTCAATAATTAACAATATAAACATATAAATAACATATAATATAAAACACGTTTGTATGTCCATATGTTTCTATGATGAGAGAAACCCCTGTGCAAATGTTCCAGGGATGAAGTATTTGGGTCAATGGGGGACACAGACTTGGTTTAAGAGACCAACTGCTGACGGGAATAAACTGTTTCTGTGGTGGGAGGTCTTGGTCCTGAACCTCCGGCCCGAGGGAAGCTCAGAGTCTGTGTCACTATTACACGCCAACACAGCAGGCACATTCCTCAAGCAAATTGAAAAATTGTAGTACCTACAACCAAGCAAACATGTTTTCTTTTTGTGATCCCTTTGGTACTTTAGCCTCCCCACACAAGTTATTTAAATGTCATACTTGCTGGGTATTTCATAGCTGTGCCTTAATTACACCGGCATCGTATGCCGGGTACGACTGTTGACATTGGAGCAGTTTGCTCAAATTCTATCATACCCGAATTATAGAAACAATTGACTGGGAGCTAGGTTGCTACTTTTGTCACCAAAAGAAAAATGATTCATTCAATGAGTCATCTTCTACTTACCTCATCCTCAGGTTGGTGAATCTGAACAGCAAGATCAACCTTTAGTTGCAAATCAATCATTTCACAGCTCAATAAGCATCAAATGGAACATTTTAAGGAAATGCTGTATTTGTAAATTCATATTTTGTCTGTAATGCACTTGTGACTTTAGATATTTCTGAGATTGGATTCTTGTCATAATCCTTTATCGAGCATGTTTGGTCACAAAAAATTGTCTTTAAGTTGAATGACATTTATTTTGTCTCCAGTATAAAATTAGATTAAGTTTGTGATCAAACTAACTCGTATTTTGTGACGCGGTGTTAAAAAAGGGGCCAACTGAATAACTGCATACATTTGCTAAAACTTCCTCTCAACAGTTACTACGGTCGTGGGAAAATGTAGTGTGGAACATGGAGCAGTGTTTTCCAGAACAAACTGAGAGAACTTGTTCACTTGCTATATTGTTTTACCTTAAGGGACATTTTGAGGAAGGAGCTGCAGGATAAAGGCCACCAATAACACTTATTATATCGCTAATTTTTTTTAACCTAAATTGCCACATTGTTGAGCTTCAAAGCAAACGGCCGTCAGAAACTAGTTTTGCAATTTTCATCCCAACACATACTCTGCGACTTGAGAGGAAACGACTGTTAAACCAACAGGAAACTTCATTTCCTCTCGCCTGGATTTGCAGCAACATCAAACAAATTTAGGGATAAGAGCAAAAATGCCGTTTATGTGAGAAAGTAGTGAGTATTGTGGCCAGTGTGCTTACATACGTCATCCCAGACTTGTTGCTGTCTGCACCAAAAAAAACAACCTTTATTTCTTAGAGCTTCTGTTCAGAAAGTAGAGAACCATATTTGTTGTACACATTAAATGAGGACTAGGGCTCTGAAAGGAGAGAGATGCTAATACTGTACATCAGAAAATTAAATGAAATGGATTGCTTTTTTTTGCATTATTTCTTAACAAAACAATATAATTTGTGTAGAAACCAACAATGATTTGATTCTGTCATCTCCTCTTTAACCCTTCAGAATGTCCTTCGCCGATGTCACTGAAAGACAACAAAAGGAAAAACCTGAACACAACTTCAGTTGAAAGCATTTAAGTTATAGCAATACGCACACTATCAAGTGTACAATTTGTCACGGTTCATTTGATTCTAATAAAATACTTTTTTTTTTTTTTTAAACCCATATACATTTCATATATTTATCTTTTTGGGGTATATGGATTCAAAAATATACATTTAAATCATAAAGAGAAAATGGGAGGGTATGGGACAAAAATTAAACTACAAAGGCTACAAATGGTTGTCCTCCGTCTCCTAATGTGTGTGGGGGAGGAGGGGGGACAGAGAGTGAGCGAGAGAGAGAGATAAAGAAAGGAGGGAGGGAGGGAGTCTGAGGGGATTGGCCAAGCTTTACAGCGCAGTGTGACACTCACTTTAGCTCATTACACACGTACAGTCGTGATCAAGGCACAGGGATCTTCTAAAAGTCTATTTTTTTTCTCAATAAAGTTGTACAAAATAATACATTTTACAGTCTGTACAAGAATAATAGTTCAGCAGTAATGTAAAGACAGACATACAAAGGGGCAGGAGGGGCAGGGAGGAATGTGGCGAGGAGAGGAGAGGGGGGAGGGGCCAGCAGGCTGTTTGACCACACAAGTATAAAAATGACAGGAAGAAGAAGAAAAAAAAAAACATTATAGTGTCCCGTTTGTCGTTGTCATCTTATTCTTTTTATGTTACAGGATTATTATATTTTGTTTTCTCTTTAAAAAAAAAAAAAAAAAAGAGCACTGCCAGGAAGGTAGAAGTGCAGATGGGAAGGTGGTGATCAGGGGGAGCCGGAGTGAAGGGAGGAAATGAGAGAGAGGAGGAGAAATGACCAGATGGAGAGAAAAATCATCAGCGAAGAAGAGGGGTGGACAAAAAGAGAGGAGAGAACGACAGAGTAAAGATAAAGAAAGAGAGCGCACAGGGCACAATGGCACAAAGTCTACACAGACAAAAACAGCCGTGGAGACAGAAAAACAGGGTCAATCATGACAAGATGAGAGCTCTCTTTGACTTATATGGTACTGTAGAATAATGCTTTCTGCCCTCCGTCCATTCAGCTCCATAAAAGTTAGTATTTTTTGTTGTGGTTTCTTTTAAACTCAATGTTTTCCTTCACTACCATCAAGATGAAGTTGGGCGGCAAAACGGGTCTCAGTCCATCCGGCGCACTCACATCGGCTCGGTCCTGTTCTTGTCTCACAACGCACCCCTGCTGCGCTCAGTCCGCGGTGTGAAATCATGGATGCGTGTAAGCGATGGGCAGGATTGGCGTTTGAGTCAAGAGCCCAGTGTTCAGCTGATCCGTTAGGACCGGTTCGTTCTCTATTCACAATAATTAAACAGTTCTCCATTTCAGAGTTGCACTGAAGTGGCAGCTCGCTCTGCTTTTCATTCCAACCTCGAGGAGAGGGGAAACCTCACATTCTCAACCTCGGCTCAACCCCCCCCCCGCTTTACCCACGGTCCAATCCGGCTAATCTCCCTCTTTAGAAAGGTGAGGAGAATAAGTGTGTGTGTGTGTGTGTGTGTGTGTGTGTGTGAGAGAGAGATGTTCAGGGGTGTGGGGCTGAAAGTATGGCTGAAGGTGGAGGTCAGAGTCTGTTTGCGTGTTGACCCCTAAAACCTTTTTTTTTTATCAAACTAGCCTCAGTCAACTGCAGGTAGGACGTTTGCATCAGGGGGGAGTTCTGGGTTGAGGGTGTGTTTACTACGTGTGTGTGTGTGTGTGTGTGTGTACATTTCGGCCCCCTTTCTGTTGCAAGAGCTGACACACATCTGTGGAAGGGGGGTTCAGAGACTCCGGGTTTTTCACAGTCCAGTTTGTGTTTTTGAACACTTGTTATTCATTCTCCTCCAATCACAACAGCTCGTACTGTCGCAGGTGCATCCGCTGAATGATGTCTCGACAGTCGTTGAAGACGCGGCGGATGTTTTCCGTGTCGACGGCGCAGGTGAAGTGGGGGTAGCAGTAGTGCCGCCCGTCTCCGCTGGCTGTGCTGATCCTCTGTGGACGGAGAAAGGAAAAGTGAGAAATCGCTTGACTACGGATATCGCAAGGACACATTTTTAAAATACACGTCACTAAGGTTACTCTAACAAGAGCAAATTGCGCATTGAGCTGGGACTATTTTCCGCTGTGGATGGGTACACATCTGGTGCTCCAGTGAGTATTTACAGCAGATGATCAGTTTATGTGGGATAAGCTTAAAACAACACGGGTGCACGGCAGAGAGAAATTGTCACCATGATCTGTTTTTTGTTGGTTATGGTCTTATCGTTCGATTTAACATTCAGAAGGACACCGACTAATACCCTTTACATGCCTATGCCACTCACCAGGAATTCATCTCGTATGAAGTACTTTGCCCGTGTAACGCGTGGATCTTCTCCAGGCTCTGGTGTTGCTGGAAGAGGAAGGAGAGGCTCATGAATCCACACTTGTTATAATCTTGTCCAGGTGGAGACTTTTCAAAAATAAATGGATCATTCAACAACCAGGAAGGCTTTCATTTTGTATGTCAGTAATCATGTAACCTGTCAAAGTTAGGTAAACTATATTTACACACATTTTTTTTTAAATCCTTGAAATACAGGTGTCAAGGATGACCTCTAGTGGTCAATGACACTAAATGCACCTCACAGTTTTTGCTGGATTTGTTTACCCCTCTAATATATATAGCAAAACCAAACCATAACTTTATATATATTAAAGCACAACTGCCCCTGTATATGTTGCTGTATCCCTCCACAGGGATGTTTCTGTATGCTCAGCTACCAACAGTGTGGATGAGAATTGATTGTGAACTCCTTAGATACAGTGACCCTCCCTGTCGCCACGTCAAGGTCGAATGAGGTCAAAGGGTCTAGAAGTGAATTCGACTGCTCACCATCGTCAGGTGTGGTGTAGCGAGCAAATTCAGGAAAGTATTCCTCGATTTTGGATTTGCCTGCCAACACCTTCTCTGCTAACAGGTCCTGTTTATTTAGGAACAAGATGACAGAAATGGTCCGCAGCCACCTGAAGAGAGCAAAACATTGCAATCACACACGGAAGCATAAAGTTGATTCTCAGTAAGAACAGGAACGAGACATTGCTGCTATGAGAGGGGCAAAAATATTCAAACAGAAGGTCAGTTCCTAGAAAAAGTATCCCAACTACATACAAATGATTTATGCTTCTTTTAAAAGGGTTAAATCACAGGCTTTCTACAAGTGAAACCTGCATCATAACGGGTGAACTCAGTTACTTGAGTCCGCTGTGTTTTGTGACACGCTGACAAAGATCCTGGTATTTTTCCTCCGTTGTCTAACAGGTCGACGGTGTTCAGCTGGAGTGACTCATCGTCCTCAAACACGTTCCTTTCTGTGGGAAATCGCATTTAAAAAAGATGTGTGTTCTGTAGCTTTATCTATGAAATCCCCTCTTGATACTTCGAGATTATGACAAATTGATTAAAAAAAGTCCACATACTCAGTTTATCATGCTACACTTTACCTGCAATATTATAGTTGAGTTTAGACTATTTAACGGTCTAACCTGCACTCGAAGTCATCCGAGCTGCACGTGCCACCAAGGGATCAGGTGGTGCGTTTTATTCATTTACACGTATATAAATAACGTGTGCAATTATACCCTTGATTGGTGTTGCACCTTGTTTGTTACTAGGATCTCCCGCCCTTGGTTATGCAATCACTCAGGAGAACGTTTCGTAGCCTTGACACTGAGACAGTGACAAAAAGATGTTTTTAGAGGACTTTCAAATTTGAAATCTACAAATAAAATCCCTCATCATTGCGAATCTGTGTAAACCAACACAACTTCATCGAGACCCCTTTTCCCCACCGTGCGGGCAGAGGCACAGTCTGCGTTTCCTCACCTGTTGTTCCAGATGTTCTTGAAGAGGTTGAGGGCCTCCTGTAAACGGTTGGTCTGATTGTCCTCTCTGATCACCATATTGTAACTGCTACTGGCCACCACAAAGATGATGGCCGTTACATCTGAGGACGCAGGAGGGACAGAAGGAAATCAGACACGGTGACAGAAAAAAAAAAGAAGACATTGAGCCGAGTGAAGTGAGGAAATAAACACAAGTTACCGTTAAAGCACTGAATCCATTTTCTGCGTTCGTCTCTTTGACCGCCAACATCGAACATACTGTGTAAAACGAGAGACATTGGCGTAAGGGGGGTCAAACACTGCCATCATGGGGAGAAACTATACCTTAGATCCTCATTTGTTCAAGTATTATGAATTATAAATTATATTATAAGAAATCCAGCGCTCTGATTGGTTGAGAGCGAGTCATGGGGGGTGCAATATTGAGTGATATTGTACAGTTGTTGTTCACATTGACCAGAGCGTTCCGTATCACTGTGCACTCAAAGTAACAGGTTAGATTTTGCGTGACCGTTAGTTAGACATTTAGATATTTCAGCTTTTATCATCTCGGTGGGGATCGCCGAAATAAGACCAGGAAGTCCCACAAATGATCGTTTTCAGGCAATGCGAGCTTTCGCAACCAGAGAATTAAGGTGGTCATCAACGTTGTGAATGAATGACATGATGCGGGACTCAATGCTGCTTGCGTGCACGTACAGGGACTATTTCTTCATCAGGCTGCAAGTCCAGCTGCTGCTGTCTGCGCTGCTCGCCTCCACCGCTCCCCCACAGGCAAGCGCGCCACGGAGACGTGGTCCGTTTAATACGGCATCAGACCCACGGGACTGCGCCACCCTGCACGCTCATGTGACATAAAGGGTTCTGCCTGCCAGCCTCCTGCCCCTCAACATGTGAAGAAATACAGCAAATCACTGGACGACCTGCACGTTTATTTATAATTCATATTGGTTCACACAAACACTCTATCCGTCTGATTCTGGCCCGGCCCTTCTGTCAAATTTTACATGTCAATGTGGCCCCTGGGCCAAAAAGCTCACCAGCCACTTCATTAGGTTCATCAGTTCAATTGCCTGTTAACACAAACTGCTAGTCCGCCAATCGCATGGCAGCAGTCCAATATGTTTAGGCATGTGGAAGTGGGCAACTTGCTGATGTTCTAACGGAGCATCAGAATGGGGAAGAAAGAGGATTTAAGTGACCGTGAACGTGGCCAGTACGTCACAAACTGCTCATCTACTGGGATTTTCACGCACAACCATCTCTAGAGGTTACACAGAATGGTCTGATAGAGAAAATATCCAGTGCCTTGTTGATGTGAGAGGTCAGGAGAAAGAGCAGACTGGTTTTAGGTGATGGAATGGCAACAGCAGCTCAAACAACCACTTGCTACAACCAAGGGATGCAGAACACCACCTCTGAACGCACGACACGTCTGGCCTCGAAGAGGACGGGCTACAGCAGCAGAAGACCACACCGGGCGCCTGCCTGTCAACAGGAAACTGAGACTGCAATTGGCACAGACGCACCACGGTCACAAAGGTCACCATGTCACAAAGCTCATATCTTCTCAAAGCCACGAAGACTTAAGGCAGCTCTAAAGGCCACAGGGGGTCCAACCTTTTACTAGCAAGGTGGCCCTAATACATAGGCTGGTGAGCGTATACCGATATTTCGCCGCACTCTTCGTCATGTGTTCTTACTCACTGGAAATTAACTTTGTCCACTTGGAATCTGGTCTCAAAGATGCCTGAAGTCAGAACTCTGCAACGCAGCAAATCCTGGTAGACAAGAACAAAAAAAACAACAAAAAAAACTTTGAAATGTATCAAAAAGGATCTTGACATCATAAAGACGTCCTGCAGGATTTTGAATTACAAAGCAGATCTGGTGCAGGGTTTAGACTCTGCAAAGGCCTTCTGTGCCCATGGATTTCCTAAGACAGGGCGATGACTATATATTTATTGCCCTTACTTGCAGACTTGTAAAGGAGAACGTGGGTTAAAACAGTTCATCTTTGAGAGACATATGTTGAATTCTAAAGTGAAAATAATGTACAGATGTTATGATGTTCTACTCCAAGTCAACAATGTACACACATGTACCTTGATATAGAAAATACTTCACCAGCTGAATGGTAAAAGTGTGGGATACGTTTATGAGATTCACCCACCTGATCGGTTGGAGTGTAGTCACTCTGTTTCACAATATCAATCTTGTCAAGAAAGCTGAAGAGAAAGAAGAAAACACCGTTATGGAGATAACAGTACCAATGAGATTGCGGTCTCATTGTTGAAGACTTGCACAGATGTACTGAGGCGCCGCGGTCGTGTCAAACAACTAACAGAACAGTTTAAACTCCAAACACAACAGTACTTTTCTGCAGGGAGTATCACGGCTTAAAATACTAATCCACTATTTAAAAAGCATTGCATGCGTTGAAGTAAAAGGTTGAAGATAGTTCACTCATAAACCACAGCTTGGATGTCATAAGTACAGCAGGTGTCTTTCTATTTGGCACAGAAGGGCCATTTAAAACAAACATATTGACAATGTGACTGAGACTTTCCATTGAAACCAACATAAATGAGATTGTGTTTTGTGGGTTGGGTGACCTTCAAGAGAAGGGAATACACACAACCACAACTGACAAAGAAAGCAGAGGACACACATGTCCGGATATTCAACACACCGAATTACTGGTTTAAAGTTTTAAGTGCTGTGAGATAGAAACAAAGAGGAAGTGAACCTCTTACAACAGTATGCAAATTTAAGAAAAAAGGGAAATATCAATAAAAGACAGATGGACAGAGAGGAAACGTGTGTGAGAGAAGTGCACGAGAAAGGTGAGACGAGAGTGAACGTGAAAGCGGGGTGAGGCCGACAGTGAGAGGAGCGGAGAGAATGAAAGCATAGTCTGACATTACAGAGCACATTTCAAAAATAGCTCCCCAGCGCCCTGGCCTCCAGCGCGGTTACCATGGAGACCCAACCGCAGGCGCTATTAATAGTCTATCAGCTACCAATCTAGTACGGCTGGATTGGATCCAGAGAGAAGACAGACAGACAGACGGAGATGTAGGAAAGGAAGAACAGGGGGTGAAAAGAAAGGCAAGAAACAGGATGAGCTTGAGTTGCTTCTTTTCTTTGCTTAATGTGTGAGCGAGGTAAGGAACAAAAGACTGGACTGTACCATTTCAACCATCTGACGGGGGGAATTATTCGGGGAGAGTTTCTCAACACGTAAAGTTTCAAGAAGACCGACCTAAGGAGCTAAATTAAATGCTCGTTAAAGTCACTAATTTACAGTTAATGCTCCAGATTCAAGCTTTAAACGCTGTTGGGCAACAGGCTTGCAGTCCCTCCTCACACATCACCCCCCCTCCTTCAAACATCCTCTGATCTGCAGATGACTCAGCCTCGGCCATGTTTGCTCCCAAACACTGCAAACTGCCGCTGTTACATGAAAACTATCCCACCGTAATCGTTCCTCTCGCTGCGGTGTTACCTGACTTTGGTTAGCAAATAATAAACTGACAGTCAACTCTGAGCTGCAAAGACACATTATAGACACCCTGTGCAACGAAATCCATATAGTGTTTGATATCGATTTCGACAATAAGAAATAGGTTATGTTTTGGCTGATTATAAAAGGGTGAAAGACGATCCAGGCGGAGGTGAAGCTGTATGTGAGACGGCTTAAACATGGGTGGCAGCGCTGGGCACACAACACACTGTCAACCATATGCACCTCACATAATAGAAGAACCAGTGGCTGTAAGCTCATAAACTGACCAGCGCAGCTCTGAGATTCCTCCTTGCAGACGGATGAAAACTGACTAGAGAATAATGGTGGAAGCAAAGATGCTGCTACGGTTGGTGCCATCTATCGATGGACTTAATCAGTATATGCAGGAAGGAAATAAAAGTAAAATAAAATCTCCAGTGAACAATGTGACCGTGATTAATTTCCGCTGTATACTAAAATAATATAATAACGTTTGCCAAGTGCACACAGATGGGCAGAGCGCTGGCGCCGCTGTCGTACAGTTGCCACTAGATGCTCCCGAAGAGCCAAATCCTACAGCACCCAAGCGATCGCTGCGGAACCGTTCCCTTCGGAGAACGTAGTTTGGAAGACGCACATTACCGCACAGCTTTCTAAAGTCATCAGTCATGTGTGTGGTATTCCATCTGATCTGTAAAAGGATTTCTCCTTTTGATTACGTTGTGTAGGGAGGAGAGAAGGACACTTGTTGCAGTAACGGCAATAACCACAAGCACAGAAATGTTGTTTTTGTACTAGAGGCGCACCAGCGAGACTGAAATTACATGAAGCTGTGTGACAGAGATCAGAATTCAGTTTTCTTCTAATGTGAAATATCAGGAAAACAAAAAAATGGTGTGTTCATGTGTTTGCAAAAACACACACATATTATATATACACACACACGAAAACACAAACTAAAGTGGATTAAATGTTACTGTGACAGACTGGTACCTCAGTGCAGACATGGCTGGTACTTACTATTGTGCACAGTCGATTAGCTGGTACTCGTTGGATCTCTCGAAGCACGCCCTGACCCCCTCATCCTGCCACAGTGTCTTTGCATGGTCGTAAAACTCCTGAGGGGCAAACAGAAATACATCAATGACAGCTTGCCAAATCAAAAATTCTTGCCGCTTAACAGGATGGATTACCAGAGTAATGTAGTGCGGTTTGTCTGTGTTTACCAGGCTGACATCCGACGCACTGGGTCAAGACACCCTCAGTTCTATCTGATGGGTAATGTCCCATCAGTGTATTTTAATTGTTCTTTGCTTGATTAACCACGAACCGTTTGTCAAACCGACTTTCCGTGTTTTGTTTTTTTACATGGTCGGAGAGAGAGATAGAGAAAGAGAGAGAGAGGGGGCGGGTTGTGTGTCTGAGGGCACCGGGTGCGAAGGCATTCTTGTTGACACCACAGGCGGTGTACGTCGTGTCGAGACGACGCCTGTGTGCATGTCTGCAAAGGTAAATAGCGGCGGAGAATAAGACCGACTACGATTGGTGTCAACGGACCTCCGCTCACAGTTCACGCATGTGAAGTGCAAGGTTTAACTTTAACTATCACAGTGTGAAATAATGTTTTACTGATTGTTATCCGACAATATTTAGTCAAATACGTGACGTGGGCATTTAAGCTTTTCTAGTCTGTGATATCTGATTGTAAACAACGGCTGGTAACCAGCTCTGCTAACCGCCAGAGAACCGTTGTCTGTGGTTACATCACGATTGCTCTGTTTGGTTAAAATAAAAATCGGGCACATGTCAATTATAACGTTACAATAACGGTGTTGTTTGGGTGACAACATTTAGTAACGAGATGTTTTCAGATAGTTCTTGTACAGTTTTAAATGAGCTGGGTGACCTGATAGTGGAGTGGTTTCACTAGAACACCCATGTTTTGGGGGTTTTCTTCAAAGCTATTTTTAACCAGATAGTGGCGTCTGATTAATTGTTCATCAGAGAGGCGGCTCGTGGAATGAAGCGGTTCCCGTGTCTGGTGGTTTCAATTTGAGCTTTGTCTCAACAACATCCAATACAAAACTAGCAAGGAGGAATGCAGATACAGATATAGCACAAGGGCAACTAGAAGGACTCAGCTGTGTGTGCGCTGCATGTATAGGGCTGTTCCAATAAATGAACCGTGTGGTTGATGTTCTCATTCAGGTTGCGTACCGGCTGCCGCCTCGTTTCGGGGGAGGAAAACACGGACGCCCGTCTGTCTCGCAATCACTCACGCATTTATACCAGTTATGTACAACTATAATGAAACTGATCAATTAGCTGTGTGTCTCAATGCGTTATCGGCTATCCCCCGTTCAGTAAAGCATAAAGCACTAACCAGAGGAATGAACAGCGTCAGTCAGACGCACACGTCCGGTCGGCCTCAGGTGCCGATTCTCTGTTTAAACGTGACGCTTACATCCCCCATTAGAGCCCAAGCCGCGCGCACGGAGCCTCTCAAGAAGATCGAGAAGCAGAATAGACTTTCGCCATCCTGTTTTGTATGGGAAGGTATGCCGTGTTCGTCATAAACAAGTCAACCAACCAAACAAGTTAAGCCAAATAGCGGCCGTAAACAAATAATTGCTTTCCAACAGCTCAGCGCGAGTGGAATTCCTGGGGCAGCAGGGTGATTCGGTGGTTAAAGAGAGCGTCCCGCAGAGGGAAACTCACACATTTTATCCCTGCAGTGCTACTGAGTAAGACATTTGTTATCTGTCGGCTTGATTACTATAAATCAATTCGGGTCGAACGACCCCATGTGGTTAAATAAATTAATAAATGATGGGAAATTGACAATACGGTTGCTGCCCTTTACCTTGTTTTAAACCATGTGTACAAAAGTTTATCCTTATCTTGCATTTGGGACTTTTATTGGTGGTTCCTTTAAGATTTATTTGTAAGTGAAAGTGATTAAATATCTATTATAACCATCCACAGTAAAACTGTGTGTGTGTGTATATATTAAGGGTCAAAGCTAAACCATGAAAGTGGCTGAATACATTTTTACAATGCAGCATGTGTAACAATTGAACAGTTACTTTCATTTTCATTTCCAAATAAGTTTCTTAGCTAATATCAAGTCTCCAATGAGAACAGAAAAAGTCGCTTTGTCACTAGTCGCCAAGAGGGTTTGGAAAGTCAATTTAGTGGCAAAAACCCGGTTCTACGAGATTCACGTGAGTGACTGTTTTGATTTCAAAGCGACAGGTTTGCAGGTATGTGATGTGCTTGAACCGTTGAGTCATTTAAAACCGGTTTGCTGGATCGTAGTATGCATACATCCATAGGGTCACAACCTGTGGCTCTAAAAGGAACAAGGCGTGGAACTAGTTGTGTTAATGTAGAGGAGCAGGTTACACAGACAACCTGATTTTCATTCCCTTACCTCCTTTGCTTTGAGATCACGAATATAATCTCAAATAAATTGCCAATACTCAAACTAAACATTTTTACTTTTCTTTTAATATACATTTTCTCAATTCATCGGCAGGTCTATCAAATGTTCTTCTGTGGTTTTAATTCCCCACAGCCCTTTAAAAACGTTCTCATATTTCAGAAGATTAAACTTTACTTTTACATTTTCACAGGGAAAATAAAACCTACAATTATCGTAATAGTTACCAATTCATGTTGTGATGATCAAATCATTTAGGTGGAATGTTAACGACATGCTATCGAGAGGAAACCTTGTTAGCTGCTCCGTCACTCGCATGTAAAATAAATTGTTTGTGCGGTTTATTCATGCCAGCGAAATGATCATGTGTTTACAAACAGAGGGCTCTTTTATGCATCGGTCATGCTACTCCCCCTTCCTCCCCAGATGTAACGCTCTCCCTCTTGTACAGCCTGCCTTTCTTCTCCTCCTCCCTCCAGTAGCCGTTACACAGTACAGAAACATACCGGTGGGACCTAAATCCTTGACAGGAGATGAGAAACCATCAATCCCCACAAGGGAGTCAGCACCGGTTTAAAATCGGCTGGTGCTGGAAAAAGCAACAAGTGTAGGACTGTCGGCGGGGAACAAGAGGCGCTTCTGGCTCCCTGAAGGTTGCTTCATCTTCACGATCAGGATCTCAGACAGGTCACCTACTCTGACTGCATTAATTAGCAGGCTGGTCAGAAACACTCGTCTCCCCATAACTCATGGAGGCTATTAACATGAACGCCGTGCCCCCGATGCACTGAAGCACGAGGCCAGCGCTCCGGTGCCTTTCATATCATTCACTACAAATCACAACGTCACATTACTGCCAATAACGGCAGCAGAGTTCTTAGACTTCCCAATGTGATACGATGGGATGCAGTCGTTTCCATTTTTAGTTTGGATTGATGGGGAAATCATTTCTTGTTGGCAGTTTGAACATCGGTTATAAAAAGAAAATTGAAATGATCGCGCAGCGGAAATGTAGTTCTAGCACAGATTAAAGTGTTCCTTAAAAGCAAACAAACGGAGGTTGCGATAACGATGCTGCTCAGATTCAAGCTCTCAAGACTCTAGTTCCCCACACGGAAGTGCAGACTGTTCCAAATAACCCATCTGCATTCAAACACCAGGTGGTTTAAGTTTGAACGAGGTTTGGTGAAATTGTTTTTGGGGCAATGTGATGGATTGTTTAATACAAGCCTGTTTCAACAGGCGACTTCGATATACTAAAATCAGAAGTTAAAATGCTTAACATTTTTCACATCTAAACATGGTTTAACATTGAATAACACTGTTGTACACGTACGGGGTAAAGAGGGCGTAGAGGTGCAACTCTGAAGAGTTTATAATTTACTGGCAGAAAGATATTTCTGTATGTCCGATGCCATTGACCTTATGCCGAGGTGTTAAAAGGAAATCTATTTCCATTGCTAAAAATTGAGCCACAGCTTCTATTCATACACGAGATTTAGTGAAGTGAAAAAGACACTTTAATTGTCAGGTGGCTGCGGATAAACAGTGAGACTCCCAAACCTGCAGGTGTAGTCGCTTGACTCAGACAATTAGTAATGTCCCACCGAGAACACTAAACTCACAGAGACCTCAACCATCAGGTCATTAGCAAACCTTCGGTGTTTGCTTCCCGTGTCAAGGGATTATCTCCTGGGATTTGGGGATTATGAATACCTAGCATCAGATACCGAAACACACACACAGCTGAGGATACCTGCAGCTGTTGACAGTGGACGTCGACCAGAACGTTACTTACGCTACTGGGTATTATCCCACTTTTTAGAAGAAACAACAACAATGACTGAAATGATTGTTAAAAACGTTGAACATAGACAAATATTGCTACGTGTGGTAGATAACAGTAACATGGTATTTCTACTTGAAGCTGTAGGCCACGTGGTAAAATGGCAAAGATAGGCGCACGCCGTTGTGTTCTTTGTGCGATACGGTTTTACTCACAGAGGGAAACTCAAAGTCCTTCTGGTTGACGAGGTTGAGCACATATTCGATCCGGTACCGGCTCTGTGGGGACGCCAGCTGCACCGGGGGAGCCAGAGTGCTCATAGCTGTGACTATGGTCTGTTGCAAACACACAAACCCACACAACACACATTTAAGACGGGGACACTTTTTAACAGTGTCTTGTGGAGTTTGTGTTTTTTGCCACTTACCTCAATTGCCTCTTTAATATTATTCTTGATGTCTTGAATTTTCTGCTTCTTCTCTCTGAAACAAACACACCGATTCGGTCACAACCATGTGAGGAATTATTAATGTACAGCAGTTAGTTAGGATTGTCCTCACAGAGAAACTGAAATCAGAATAAAAAGTATGCCGCAACTGTGTTAGTGTCTTTTATCACCGGCCTTAATAGCTGGTATATTGTTGTCTTAGTCATGAAAAGAGGGCTTAGCCAGCAGGTATTGTTTTAATGAAGTCAGAAAAAGAAGGGAGGAGTTGCACGTTACAGTGACACGGCACACTTCAGTGAGCAGCAGGGACATTGTTTCTGATCTCGACGGGTAAACAGACCTTCGTTGGCACGCGCAGTGGAGAAATTATGTCTGCTGTGAAGGAGAGCTGTTTGTACAAGACATTTGGACTCTCTGTGACAGAAATGTTTGTATGAAAAGGCAACCAGAGAGCAAGTTGGTCTATCTTTCACCTTGAGCCTGCCGGGACAACAGCGCATTGTGTTTACAATAGTTCCATGTCAGTGACAAAGGGCAAGATGGGCCTCTAAAAAGGTCCGTGCCAGGTCTGATTCTTTTCACATGAGGCTGTGCTGCACTCGACCCAATTATTGCAACGTTTAACAATTCCTTTACACCAGTGCAGCCTGCCGTCATTGGCTAGAGGCACAAAGCCACCTCACAGGTCAACTCCAGTAGGGGTCCAGATCAGAGCTGCAAGATTACGTCACATTTCAAGTTGTTGCTTCCTTTCTCACAAATGCATCTGCAACATATTTAGCGCGCACACACACACACACACTTTTGGTCACAACTTTTGCGCTTTAGCAGACGGAGCAATAACAACATAAAAACGAGATGATTTTATTTAGTTACCAGCAACTGCTCTTTTGACAGGAAAGGAAGCCTCAAAGAAAAAAACACTGTTTTTAAACACGTCCAGGTCAGAATTTGGATTTGAATTACACAATAGTGAAAGGTCACAGTCCCCAAAAACCATTTGACTTAATGCAGTATAGACAAACACGAAAGCAGAATTACAATACAATTACTGCTTATTATGACTGTTGTGCAACTGGTTGACAAATCTTAACAGAAAAGGAGCAAAGAGGTATGACTGAGTTCATTGGGTTAGGAAGGAAATTGAAATGGCCTTGTTTACTTTTTCAACCTGATAATCATTACGAAATCACATGCTTGCTTGTGTGTGTGTGTGTGTGTGTGTGTGTGTGCGCGCGCGCACACTCTCCAATCATGATGGTAAGATTGCATGCACAAGTGTGGTTAGAGAGACAAACATGTTTCATTGATGCCGTCTGGTACGTTAAGGTGAAAAAGTGCTGATGAGCAGGATTAGTTTCAATTTCATAATAATTACAATTTTGTTATAATCAATTGAGTAAATACATTTGTGTGCAGTACCTGAGGCAATGTGAATAAGGTACCTGAGGCAGTACCTTATAGCTTTTATGATACGGTTACCAGCAAAATTATAAATAGTAAGTAAATAGCCGCCTTTCGGCACAAAATAGTATTAACCACCAAACAATGTGTATCGCATTTCAGTAGTCTAGAGAAAAAATAGTCCCTGTACGTGCACATAAACAATATTGTCTCTCCTTGCAAGATCTTGCACCATCTCATTCATTCACATCGCTCATAACGTCCTTAATCGTCCGGTTGCGAAAGCTCGCATTGCCCCAAACCGATCATTTGTGGGATTTCCGGCGTTCTTCTGGCGATCGCCGCCGAGCTAAAAACTGAAACGTCAACTACCGGTCGCGCAAAATCTAACCGGTTACTATGAGTGTGCAGTGATGGAACGCTCGGGTCAATGCGAACAGCAACTGTACATTATCGCCCAATAATGTGCCCCCGTGACTCACTCTCAACCAATCAGAACGGTGGATTTCATCTACCTGCATTATAATGATAAATAACTAACTGAATGTCCCAAGAAAAATCCTCAGCTGGTACTAATGTCCCGTGTTTGCATTCAGCATCTTTCAGCTGATTGTTTTGGTTTTACAGGCCGTGAAAGATAACTCATTTGGGGTTTATCGGAGCTTCTTCGGCCAAAGCAAATACGTCTTGGTTGTAACCACTTCACAGCTCCATTGACGAGGCCAGCAGTTAATGACCTTGTCTAATGACCGCTTAGTCATAGTGGAGAAGAATACAGGGAACTGACTCGGTCAATCATTCATTCATTCATTTTTTTCCCAAAATGGGGCCAGCACTTTGAACCGGCAGCCTTCCGGTCACAAGCCAATTACTCTGATCTTTAAGTTCCCACAACAATCAAACCGTTCATCAAAAATCTACAAAGCTCAACGCTGCATCACATTTCCAATTCTTAAAAAGGTCAACACTTCATACAACGGGCACGTCGTGATAATTGGCTTAGAGAAATGTCTCAATTTAAAGGCTCCTCCAAATGCGACCGTCAGCACTTTGCAACACGTTGGCCCGATGATTTGTATTGCGGCCGACTTTGGATACATCCTCGCGTTCGGCTACTTTGGAGACTCGACTCAAATCATACTCACTCTGCATTGAAGCCGTTGACATGAAGTATCCTCATCTGTTTCACGATGGTGCTCTTTCCTGACTCTCCCGCTCCTGCGGGACAGGGACGAAATAAGAAATATCAGAAATCTGTTGACATGGGAAACAAGACCACACGCAGTCACACGCGAGATAAATACCACACGTATCAGTCTGAAATGTCACTTTACAGTATGTGTACCGTTTCCCCATTTCCTGTATTTGGATACAAGCACTGTACCTCAGTGTTTTCAATATAAGCTGTACATTTGGGCTGTAAATCACTGTCCCCAGCAGTGGTTTCACACATTACTCTGACATTGTTTGGCAAAAGCGGGAGTGGAGGCAAGGACAGTGCCGCATGGTCATGGCTGAAATAATAACTGATATATTCCACTTGATACTGTGATCCCAATCACAAGATGAAGACTTCTCCATGGAAAGTGGATTTTTTTCCCCCCTACAAAAAGCAGTCACAGAATAAAAAGAGCTCATAGTTCATCATCGTGCCCTGGGAGGAAAATGTGATCGCTGTTGTTGTCTGTGTGGTGTTTGCTGTTATTTATGAACGTTGCTATGAGACACTAGCTGGTTAGCGCTGTATGGTAGTTAGTATGTGGATGGCCTGCGCTGCTTTGACAACAAAATTTGCATCTCTTGTTCTAAAATACGTCGCCTGCCGTATGTAAAAGGCGAGCCGCAGCTCTCACGCGACCCGATGCCTCTCCGGTCTGAGACAAGAAAAACTCCTCTTATCTTCATCTAATCTGTACAACTCAAGGTTAAATTAACAATGACTCATAACTTGCGACGAATCAAATACATTTATTATTTGAGGAAGATTTTTTTATAGGTGCGTGATTGATTTCATTCACGTTATTCTTGTTGCTCGGCTCATAAACGGTTTCAATAATTGTCTTAATGTGCATCTCTCATATGTATGTAATCCGCCAAGAGACTACATGGTGTATTTACAGCAGTATGTATCCGTTAAATAAATCAATAAAAGGAAATAGCTTTAAATCCAGTGTCTCAAAATAATGACATCTAGCTGGATGTCAACCGGTCTGAAATCGTGGTCACGTTTAGCCAAATCTATGCAAACGTCGGCTTCACCATGTGACTAACAGACTGGTTTGGATGGACATGTTGTGATTTTTGTTCCACACAGATGAGCTGGGGAGATTTTTTGCAGTATTAATGAGTTCATGTACTGACACCTTTTTTTTGGATCAACCCTGTGAAAACAAAAATATAGCCAAGCAAGAAGTCCCAATATTAAGATTGAAATCGCATGCCTTTCTAGTCCAAACAGGAGACCTAACTGTTGGTGGAGTTGGATCTCTCGGACAGATGATCGGTAACATTTACGCCGCTTGGGGGCAAAAAAACATTTCCAAATAACAGCCATCTAAAGACAATCCCATTGTCAAGTATCTGCCCTGACCGGCAGTCGGCATCAGTTTTTTTTTTTTTTAAAGCCAGTCGACGAGATTCATCGGTGCTCGTCAGAAGAGTCTGGGATTTGGGCATTTTGGTGGCTCGGCAAGCTGCATTCAAACCTAACCTAACACGTCAGATAAAAGTCATGAACTCTGATCCAGTCAAATGTGCGTGATCCCTGTGGACGGATGAAACACTGGGAGTCAATTTAACAGCAAATACAGTGACGATACGACAAGCATTTGCAGAGGGTTGTGGGGACAGGATTGTCCCTTTGCCTTGCAAAATAGATCCATAGAAACAAGCAATGACTTTGCCAAAATGGACATTTAAATAGTGGAATGTTGTCACACAATCATATTGCTACTACAAAGTTGCATGAAAAATAAACTGTAAAAGACAGAAAACAACTGATTGATTTTGGTCGGTCGTCAGATCTTCAGTGTACTCTTGTATGTAACGTGTAACGTGTCTGCACCACAACAATCACTAACTGTGTGGTGTCACTTTTTAAAGTGAAGCAAACTTTACTGGCACCATTGACACTTTAATTAGGTGATCCACTTAATCCAATAACCAGTGTAGTTCTAGTTAAAGGTTTGGCTGATGGACACGTTTTATACCATATACATTTAGACCATGTTGTGGTTCTGACCCCCTTCGATGCCATGTTCTTAATGGTTAGAATACAGACGGTACGACATATCTTTTCCTAGTATGGCATGTAAACAAAGCACAGGGCAGTCCGCTTTTCAGCTGCACCAGGACGGAGTTGAGTGACTCTTTTGTGCTTCATTGGGCTTTAGTTTCCATCCAAACAACTAATCCAAAACATGCAGAATCACAAATGACCGCCTGCAGGTCCCCGGCTCTGTGAAGGAGTCAAACTGATAGATGATATGGGACGAATTGCTTGACGGCAGACAAATATTTGTGTTCTTTTACGCGAGGTTTGCTGTCCTTCTGCTTTACTTAAGTCACCACAACTTCCCCCCCCAAACAAAACCACGGGCACGTCGTACTTCACACACCCTTACTGGCATCGCAGTAATCAAATATTAGAATTTTGACAAAGAACCCCACGGCTTCCTAGAAGTGGTAACCCTGCCGCGACACAAGAGGAGGGTCCAGGCGGCAGGCAAAGTTGGACACTCGTGTTTGTCTCTTATGTAATGTGGAGACCCGGCCCACCTCCAGATCCAACACACACACACACACACACACACACACACCTTGAGTCTTTGTGGGTCTCTGTGATTCCTCCCAGACCGTCAGGCCTTTATGGCACAACTAACAACGACCTGCACAGCCCACCGTGAACACGCGCACACGGGACGACGCATCGGGGTTGTTTTTCTTATGACGATCATTGACAGACGTTCACCCAACTTACACACGCGCGTCGACGTCACCGGGGGCTCTGGGAGCGACCCACTGACTGCGCCTCGGCCGCTTTTCTGCTCGCTAATGGTGGACCGCTAACGTGACAGCGACGTGCCGAAAACACGGCGCGGAGCTGCGTTTTTTTGGCCTTATGCAATGGCAAAGTCACAGTGTTGACAAGCTTTCCCAAAACAACATCCCAGAAGGTTATGCGGGGAGGCTGGAGGCCTCGACGGTGCGGACGGAGAACTTGCCTGTAGAGCAGCAAGCGAAGAACAACAACAACAACAACAACAACAACAACACGACAATCAAACTCACCTAAAAGTAGTAGTCTGTGCGTCGCCCGGTAGATCTGTTTGTCTTTCTGGAGCTGCTTTTCTATCTTTTTGTTTGCTTCTCTTTGTGCTTTCTCCTCATTTCTCTGGTCTTCAGTCTTACTGTTGCCCAAACAACCCATCTTCCCTCAAGAAAATGGGGGAAAAAAACGGGGTCCAGGGGAGGAGGAGGAGGTGGAGGAAGAAGCGGAGGGGGTTATGTGGAAAAATAATAAAACAAATACACTAAACTCGTCTACTTCCCTCGTTTGACATGCGGATTTGGTGGCGATGCCACCCACACGTACGCCGCCCGGCGGCCCGAGGCCTGCTCCGAAAAGTGTCCGCGGTGCGGCCGCGCACAAATTATGCGTCCATAACGCGTGTTTCGCCGCGAGAGGAAGGGCAGGAGACCGAGGCCGCCGTCTCGCTTAGCTCGATCCCGCTCGCTGCTTCTCCTCCTCCTCCTCCTCCTCCTTCGCGGGCAGCGTAGGCTTTTTCTCCCCCCTCCCTCCCCCCCACCGTGGAGCGCTAGCACTCGTAATCCGCGACGTTCGTCGAGACGCCGACGACTCGGGGTTTCACCTCAAACGGAGGCAGAAGGAACAGCCTAATTTGCATCTCCAAAAAAAAAAAAAAAAATGAAGAAGAAGAAGAAGCCCGGGTCTCGCGTCTCACTGCTGCCGGCGACAGGGAGCCGAACTCGGCGTGTCCGAAAACCTCGCCCGTGCTGCGGCGCGGCTCGTTTCCGCGTCTTCTTTCATGATAAACGCTTCCAAAAAGGCGTGCGCGTACCCTCGCTATCTGTGTCTATCTCCCCGGGGTCGAGCGGGTGGAGGGGTGGGAGTGGTGGTGGTGGTGGTGCTGGTGGGGTGGGGGCAAGACGGGAGGAAGGAAAATAATACGAACACCCCCGACGAGCTACATGTGTGATATTCTCATCGCTTCCGTCGTCATCCTCCGGCTCCTTTTCGTGCGTTGCACCAAACTCACTGCGGCCGTCCTCTCGGCCGGATGTCCCTCCAGCTCCGGCCCGATACCCCGCGACGTGTCCTCCTTATTTGCGATGGCTGTCCCTCGCTGTGTTTCTCCTCCAAAGGGCCTTCTCTCTCGCTCTCTCTCTCTCTCGCGCTTTTGTTGCTCAAAACGTGTTATCAGCCCCTCACATCACCAGCGAGCCTCCAAACAACTGCGCACCGGCGCGTCTTTATTTTAAGCTCCCGGCTCCTCGGCTGCCGATGGATCCCTTCAAAAAAAAAAAAAGTGAAGGAAAGAAAACGGAAACGTGACCAAGATGCGAAAAGTCCCTTCGACGTGTATCCACGTTTCTTGCAGGTGAAAAGGCAAAAAAAGAGAGAGGAAAGCCAGCCCTGCTGTCAGGCGACGTCTACGCGCGCGCGCGCGGGGCCTATGCGAGTACTCACACGGGCTGCACACTGCCGCACAAACCGATGCGTACAAATGCCCCTCCTGGATCCGAGGTGGGTAAACAGGCTACGGGCTCGTGACTGCATGTGCATTTACATTGACAAAAAAATAGGACGCGGGGTTGTTGTAGCAGCACATTCCCACCGCGGAGGCCGCTCCCCTCCGCCGCTCCCGGAGGCTGAAAGACGGGAATAACCGATTCTTGGAGGTTATTTTTTTGTCTCTCTCTCTCCCCCTGCGAGAATAGTAGCCCGACTACATGGAGGAGATAAGACGGCGCTGAAGAGAGACGGGGTGGGGCCACCCGGCGCTCATTGAACCCTGGGAAGGAAGGACCGAGGGAAGGAGGAGAGGAGAGAGGCCGCTTCGCCTCGTCACGTGGGCCGGGCGCGCAGCAGCGTCACCGGCGCGGCTCTGCGGAGGAAAAACGGCGCCCTCTTCGAAGGAGAACGGCCGCACGCGGTTGCGCAGGGTGGGCGTCCATGTGTACGGAGCTGCTGCGCGGGCCCCCCCCCACAGAGGACACGCCTCAAACCCGCCAGCCCTAACCCGAATAAACAATTAAATACATCACAATGTTGTTTGTGGTGTTTGTTTGTCTGAAGCCTCTTTGATACGCCATCTAATAATAACAATAAAGCAATATTGTTGGTCATAATAATAGTTGAAACATTTAGACATGAATTTATATCTTTTATTTCTTAATTGCTAATAGGATACATGAGTAAATGTCACAGGGCCACGCGTCTTCCAGGTTTTGCTGACCCGTCCATCCCAGGGCAACATAATCAGACATTTCCACATGTCTGCTCGGGACGTTTACAATTAATCTTATCTGCAAGTCTTTGGACTGTGGGACAAAACAGCAGCAACTGGATGAAACCCTTTGATAGGGGACATGCGAACATCACACAATAAGAACCTGATCCCAGGACCTTCATACCGTGTGTGCACCTGAAACAACCCGTCTGGTAAACAGGGACGTCTGCTGCATACCAATAAAACAGCCCACTAAGTTATATTACAATACGAGACTAAGATGAGCAGACCGTAAAAGCGGTCAAAAGTGTGAATTATTACGTATGGCTGTCAAAAATCTTACGCCGCTCCAGAGAGGTTTTATCATTTAAATATGTGTAAAAAAGAACAAATGAATAACAGTTATTATTACCAACAAATATTTCTGTCCCTCTTTCCTTTGTAAATACTCAAAATTTGAATCAAAGTTATGGTTGTGTAAATGAATGTGTAATATTCACAGGGGCTGCCAGCCGCTTTGCTGTTAGGTCTGTTGCACACTAGGTGTCACCCCTCTTCTAACTTTGAGCAGCAGCATAGTTGCCATTCATTTGTATTTAAACATGTAAAATCAAATAAAGTCACAAGTATGATTTAAAAGTATTTATCTGAGCTTAGTTAAATGGACTGCCTGCTTAGTTTAAAATTGATATGATAATGATACGCTATCAATCAACCCAGAAAGTGCGCTACTTTATCTTTCATTGTTGGTGTGTCCATGTGATACCGGCTGATTGTAGGATCCACACAATACTCATTAAAAAGATGAAGTTGTTATGCTGGCCTTTTCTTTCAAACATAGAGCTGATTCCTTCTCTCAATGTGACTCCGAAAAACTCCACACAGATACATAAAAATGGCAGAAAGCTAAATATGATTTGCCTCAGCAAAGTGAAATGGATCAGCAGACTAAAAGCTGTGGCTCTGTATTTTAATCCCCTGACTGTCCTCTGGGCTTTGCGGTGGGCTTTGAGTGTTGTGCTGACCTGCTTCCCTCTGGAGCTTGAGGCCCAATCAGTCCCGATCTCCAAGGAGCCATCCTCCATCGGTCAGACCAACGTGTTTTTAAATTTGGTTTTCACCGTATGTCATCCGAAACGCACCCTTTATAGGGAATGTTTCGGAACAAAACATGCACTTGGATAAAAACTTCCTAATATTGGCTCCTTTTCTCACATGATAAGTGCATGCTGATAGTGCACATACCTCAAAATGTGTGTAGTGTGAACAGTTTGGACAACCGGTTTGTGTTGTGGAGAAGTGCAACTGATGCTGGTCCCGTTCCCGGCAACTCATCAATATCGCCTCAGCACTCATCAAAACTGCGCATTAAAAATGTGCAAGGCATTCCCAATCATACGTCGGCGTTCCAGTTAGCCATTTCTGCTTGAACAAAACCAAAAACATTTGGGTTTTGCTCTTACACACCCTAAATTACTGAGTGCATCCTGAGACAACTGAGCTTCCCAAACACTTTTCCTCATCTTACTGTCCTGTTTCTCTGCCCAAGACCCGCTCTCGCACGTCCACTCACAGATGTTCAACTGCACTGTCATGACATTTTAGCCACCTCCTCAGCACTCATTCTGATCCTAATCAATTTAGAGCTACTGCTGAGGGGTAATTGAGTGTGTTTTTCCTCTCATTGAATCCGAAGGTTTATCTGTCCACAGAGGAGCATCATCCGTGATAATCTACAGACGAATTAAGTTATATGTTTACATTACAGGTCATTTAGCAGACACTTTTATCCAAAGCGACTTACATTACATTTTAAACCCATGGCTTTTTCACATTTTTGCCCGGGGAGCAATTAGGGGTTAGGTGTCTTGCTCAGGGACACTTCAACATGGAACATGGGGCAGTCTGGAATTGAACCCACAACCTTGTGCTTCCCAGCACACCTTCTCTAACCCCTGCGCCACGACGACCCCCGTTTAGTTTTGGGTTACTTAACAAAGTTAGGATCGCTTAGATTGTTTATGGTTTAAAAATGATTAAATTGTTTGTTTTTTTACTGTATTCTGTAATAGAACATCTGAAGCTGATTTACTTTGTAAATTTTTTGGAGCATATACCTAACATTTTATTATTTTTAGCATCACTGTGTTCACAAAATAGTTCATATAGGTCATTAAAAACAGCATTCGCACTAACGGCTCCGACCGACTAAGTCTATTTTTAATTATTAATGAATCGTTCCGTCTAATATGTTGGAAACTAGTGAGAAACGGCCATCACCAGGTAGCACACCTGGTAGATCACTTTTGGATTAATGATCATGTGGGAAAAGCAGCAAATCCTCATGAACACCAACCCTGAAGGTTGGTGCAAATTCAGCATTTTGCTTGAAAAATGACCTAAAAAGATCAATTGATTTTCTGCATTTCTGTATCCCTATTGATAATCTTCATATTAGGAAATGAACCCTACACAGAATAATCGACACACACTTGAAAGTATCCACAGCGAATCTCTGCTTGAAATGATGGTTAATTGAATTAACCAGCTCTTTAAATGTCTCGTCACTGGTGATAACACTCACACACTTTTAACGCTCTTGCAGGAGTATTCACAGCTGGTAATTTCAGCAGGTTTATGTTGTTTGTTTAGGCCTTTTGGGGCAAAAAAGAATCATTTGACACAGAAATGTTGCATAAGATCCTTATTGGCGGATAGTGCCATATTTTTGCTTATATCCTTATATCTTGGAGTAAAGTTAATGTTTCTGCTCGTCTCGCATTGATCATTCCTCTGTAGTCACACCAGCTCTTAATGGCTTCACAACCATGAATATTAGATACACTTCCCTCCACCCAACAGAGCCAGTATGATGAGCCAGCCTGACGCGGCTGGAAGGAAACAAACACCGTGCCGTGCGAGTATCCAGCTGGATTTCAGAAATAAAGAAATCAGACATTTAATACTAAACAATGCCTGAATGAACGAAAAGAGGCCTGCGTGCACAAACCGGACAACACTACTTTTAAGCGTAATCGCGATCAAAGCCGCCATAATATCACGGGCCCGGATTAATGTATCAGTGAAAGCATGTTTTGTTGCAATGGTGTGGTGATTTTCCTGAGTGAGATTAGCCGTGACGTGAGGATAGTCACACAGATGCTGGGTTACAACCCATTATGTCTGCGAGAGAGACAGACAGAGAGGGAGGGAGGGGGGGAGGGAGGAAGGAGGGAGGGAAAGGAGGGTGGGACAGAGACACAAGCAAAAGATCATTTTCACCCAATTTTATATCCAGCTTCTCCGACCTCTCGCCGGACCGTCCTCCTCTCCGTCTTGCTGCAGTTTGACTGTGTTGGACTCTATTCGCTGTCTTTGAGGATGCTTTGACCGTGGCTTCACACACGTTCTCCCGTTGGAGTTTCCCTCCAGTTTGCTAAGAGATTTTCGTATTCGTGCAGACACCGAGGGAGGGAGACGGCGCCTAAAGGAGCGGTGTGGGAGTCTCTGACGCCGAGGCGCCGACATGGCAGGGGACCTCTTGGTCGGGATGCTCTATAACTTACTACTGCCACTGGTCCTGCTGACTGGTGAGTGGACCTCTGTTAAAATCATTGTACTCAGACACGTTACGCGGATAGAAAGGACATTTCTCAGCGTGTCTCCCTCCAGAGTTCATATTATGTTTCAATATACAAATGGAAATTCAGCAGCAGTTTCACGTCAGAGTCTTAAGTTGTATGTGTCTTGTTGCTGAAAAAAATGCAACTAGATCCAGATCAAGATTAATTTTCAAGATTGCTTTTATTTCTGTGTGCTATCAGTTTGTTAGTTATACTGAAGGTTTATTGATGACCTGGTCCAATGCAGGATGTAATATGTCGTTATTCACATCTAGTGGTCTATGAGTTAAGTCTTGAGTGTTGAGACAGCGCTTTGCAAGAGGCAGTGTGTGTTTGTTCGTATTTTTAGGTATAGACCACAAACGATATACCTAAACAATAATTTGATTATCAAAGTGACTGTTTAACTTTCACTATTGTCTTGGATCTTATGAAATAGTTATTTTGTTATGTTAGATTAGTGTGGAAATAAGCCTACTTTTTCTAGCTCATGAAGGTAAATTTGCATGACAAAACAAACTCAACAAATTCCCTTTGGCACTAGTTAACCAAAGAGTCACTACCGAAGAGCAGCGCAGCTTTCAATGTCATCATGCCGACCCAAAAGCTCTCTCTGCACCCGGGTTTCTCTATTCCACGTGCTCCAACGCTAGGCCACAGCACTGTGACTGTGGTCATTTCACCTTTTAAATTGTATCTGTTTTACTTAACAATCATCAGAAATTCGCAGAGAGGCGGGTTACACGTCATTTTCTCTGACCTGCTTGTAACACAAAGAACAGATTACAAAACGAAAAAGGAAATTCTGTGGACGAGTCGCAATAATCGAAAGTAAACGTGTTCTTTCCTCTGCACCTCAGCCTCTTCGTTCCGCTACAATGGTCTGTCGGTGGTGTACTTCCTGTTTCTGCTCACTTTGCCGCTGATGCCGAACCCCAGCCTGGTCACCATGAAAGGTGAGATGGATGGATCATATCTATGTTCCCACAGGCTTTTGCGCTGACAAAGTTACAAAAAGTGTTGATGACAATGTCAAATTTATTTACAGTTACAATTTGAGTCTGCAAATTAAGAGGATCACATAAACATTCCTCCATGTGACAAATAATTGTCATTGAGAAAGAGGCCAGTGGCAATTTCCTCTATTGCCACAGTGATGTTCAGGTCATTTGTATGAGGTACTTTAAG